GCTATAAGAAATGTTGTGAATAAAAAACTGTTTATGGGAGACGCAAAACTTTATCTTGCATTAACCCATCGACACTGTAACATCAAAATTATCTTTAGTCGAAACTCTATCATACGATGTCAAATTTAAGAAATAGCAACCAACAACTATAGGCTCCTCAAACTTACCTCAAAAGTTACCTAACTAACGTAAGCCTTCATTTTATTCCAAAATATTAGAGATATGAGAATTTATTTAAGAACAGCAACATTAATCATTTTTTGTAACACCAATAAAATCCACAAGAATTGACTCCTTCTATATACGATATCGACGAGTTTCTTACACTGATGACGCAGGATAAAATTTTTCATGACAAGAATGGAATTCTTGGAATGGAACAGTAATATGCAACTTTTTAATTCTCAAATAATGTCATAAATTAGTTAGATGTTCAGTTGCAGAAAAAGTTGATGTCAATCCTGGAAATTTAGAAGCCTCTTTGACAGATACTTAATTTTGTCAAATTAAGCAAGTCAATAATTAATATATTTCATCTTTATAATCGTTTATGTGTGGCATACAACGGAAAATGTGATAACCTTATTACATAAACTTGTTCAACTTGCAGATGAATTGTTTTCCTTCAATACATGTACAACTGTACGTACCTTCCTTGTTATAACGATATAGGCCTGAAACATCTGTTTGTTTCTCATACACTTCAATCGTTCAATGAAATTATTTTCCTACAGGAGAGCAACATGCAAATACCATTTTATATTTTGAAATATTTTATTCAGCCCTCATGCTGATTGCTTTAACTTATATAGAAATATAAACTATAAACATCGATGGAACTTTTGAGTTCATTGAAGTTCGTTTAGAGTGGATTTGATTTCTTTGAATCTCCAAGAGCGATTTAAAAGTTATTCTTCACAAAAATCGCAATCCAAATCGAGTACCTCACAACTTGTTACGGTTTTAAAAACTTTTACTTTGTTAAACAAAAATAGAAATTCCAGCGGCATATGTCTGTTTGTAATATTTTCTTCCTTTGGAAAGAACAAAAATATAATTCATTTATTTCTATCCATCTTTATATAAAATCTGACTCGCCGGTATAACCACTGTGGAAAAACAAAACACGTTAAGACAGACGGCACCTATAGGTTAATTGACATACGTTAAATTGCAAAGATCATATCACACTGGAACCGCATAACAAGAAAGGCTATGGGGGTCGCTTAACCTTTAGGGGTTCTTTAGCCTTTCAGATTTCAAATAGCTTATTTTCACCCAAATTCGGCGGTCGGTAACCGCTCCCTACTATGAGAATCTTAGTAACTCTCACGTGTCCTTGTATTCTAAATACCCGCGAGCTTGCGGTCAAACATTCACCAGACATCACATGATATGAGCAGTGGCAGATTCGGAGTAGGAAAAATATATTATGAACTTTAATATTATATTCAAAATATCACCACGGGCTAAAAAAACTATTTTAAATTGCCCGCAGTATGGCAAGCCATGATTAGCTGCATAAAATTTGTTATCCGTTAGTTGGTAGTTTTGACTATTTGGAGTGAAAAATGCAGACCTTGCATTGAATTGGTCGGTGGTCTTTGAATGTAAATAAAAAAGTTAGTTAAAGTTAGCTATAACATAAAAATATAACGGAAAATAAAAGAGAGTTGGATCATTTTCAAATGCTTGGTGAAGCTAGGAACAAAATATTTCTTTTTAAATGGACAACAGTGAGAGAAGATCTTGTCAGTGTTGCGTCAATCCTAATTTTTTTGCAAGTTTATGGGGTAAAATAGACTTGAAGGAATCTTTATCATTGATATAATACATGCATATAGACACAACATTATTATCGATACACTATTGAATTATATAGAGAGCTGATGAATATGCATTTCCTATGGGCTTCCCGTAGATCATTCTGATGGCTTGTATGTACCTATTGGCTGACTATTAAAATAATTTTACAAATTTTACTGCTCTGAAGAAGAACAGAAACAAATTACAAGAAATAAGACATCGACACTATGGCACAAACTTGAAGCTTGTGAGTTTTTTTTCTCTGTTGGCAGATAAATTTCTATATCTTGAGAATATAGCTGTGATTGAGCCAAGAAGAGTTATCTGCGTGTGATTTTTATTGGATCTAGCAAATTGCTAGTGGTAAAGCACACCTTTATACCTCGTGAACTGATTAAAAATTGACAACGAAAAATTTGGTAGACTTTATATGGAACGAAAAATTTTATGAGTTCAATATTTACCAAGAAATTAATGTACCAACACTGGTTTGATTTTTTGCCTATTTTGTAAAACCCAGCAAATGTTCAAGGAAAAAAATTAAGTTTTCATATTTTAATAGAAAGAACAATATGAGACGAAAAGGACAAAATCCCCTCAATAATTTTGGTTAGTCGGCAAATGTTGGCAAATTTGTAAAACAAAATCGGCAGGAAGATATAAATGATTAAAAACTTTATACTAACTACTCACATTGGGAAGTCAAATACACAAATTTAAACTTTGCCTAGATGTAAGCTGGAGTAAGCTATTGTATTTTTATTGGCAAATCCAAAGAATTATTTTTACACATGACATTGTAAATTTGTAACCATAAACATTTTGATCAGAAGTGGGTTATTTTGATTTTGCGCTGGCTGTCGACCGTAACATAATTGCTCCCTATTTGGACTCAACAAGATGTAATTTTTGTGTAAGAAATCCAGAAAATTGTTTGCTATCTGACTGACTTGCGAGTTTTCCTTTCATATTATAAAGTTTGTACGTTTCGAAAGTTTCCTTCCGTTAATCTTTCACTGAAGTTTCGTTCCAATATTATCTGGCAACTTTTACTGTAGTTTGTCGTCTGCATGGTTACGAGGATTTGCATAATAGCCTTGATAAATGATAAACCTTTTATTTAGGACACTTGTTTATGCAAGTTGAGAAATGAAATAAAATGAAATGCGTTTTTTGATGTTCATGTCTTTCCAATATATCGGCATATTACGATGTTGCCACTCGGCACTTTGATATTCAACACCCCCACACACCCCATTGTGATCACTTTGGAACGGTCCTGGAAAGAGCCACATGCACAAAATTAATTTTAAAAATTAAGTTTTAACCAACCCTCCACAAAGCTCTTGTGATAGTTAACCATTTGCGATATAGACAGAGGCCTAGGCCTTTTGTGGGACTCCACTTAGTGTTCGTGGTAAATAGAATTTCAATAATTAGTGTATTGCATCTTGACAATCTCTGATGCACCTCTATTACACAAAGAAAAACTTGTTTTATAAACTTGCTTAACTTTCATTAATTGATTAGTTAGTGTGCAGGCTGTACTTATCTTCCTTGTTGGAACAAGATGGATAAGGATCATGTGTCTGTAGTTGTCACTTCACTGGTTGTCTGACAAAATTCCTCTCCTGCAGCTAAAGCTGACGTATATTCGCATTGTTTTATACTTTTCAGTGAGCACGCTAAAAACAACACACTTAGCATAGCTATCATGCTAATTGGCAATTACAAATTCATTATTGAGGACAAACTTTGGATTTTTTAATTCAGGCGAAATAAGCTAAAAGTTGTATAGATTTTTTCTTAGAAGCATTTCACTTAAGAAAAGAGAAAAAATACAATTTGTAGAAATTACAACAAACTTTCGTACCTCATACTTAAGCTGTTACTTACTTGTGAGTTGGACTTTAATAGGAATTATAAGACAATCAGTTAGGAAGCTAGGAGCCATGTAGTTAGCGCATGCAAGCTTTGCTGATCACGTGACATGTGCAGGATAATTTACACTCCAATATATTATCTTTGACGCTATCCTAAACTAATACGATTAGTATTAAATGACGTTCCAGTAATTCTATTACTCACAATAGCAATTAAAATGGCATGTTCATTCAGTTTTGTAATTCCTTAGCACTCAGTGCAGCTTTCTTCAAATAAATATTATATATTCAATAATGAAGTGTATTAGAAATTGTAAAGACTTGCTTACATATGTTTGTCTCTCATTGTTCACTGTGTTAACCATTTGAATATTTTTATACAACTGAAATCTTACCTTATCTATGAGCATGAACAGCAAAGCCTGTTAAAAAGTGGAGGGGGCAGGAAAGCACTAGAACATGGAAGATGTGAAATGCATGCCCCCGACGTCACTGCTCAACGGTCCCTGTCAGTAAGGGAGAAATTAACAACCCCCAGAATTTCAATTTTTCATACATAGTCATGTCCTAGGTTTGATGACTCGAAATAAATAGTCATAAGTTTTTAAGACACAAAAAGGTTTAACAGCATTTAGCGATAGTAGATGCCAAAGCTTAAATTTAAGAAAGCTACACAGAATCAACGTCAAACAAATCAGAAATTCGACTGAGCCTACCTAGCGTTTTGAATAAAGGTTCTGTGCTCGATTAATTTTGCCTTTTGAGGTAGTTTTTAACAGCTTGATGCACGAACGAACTTCAAACAAGACTTGTTGGGAGAGGGAGGAGGCAAACGCAAGCATTAAACGAGCTAACACGTTTTTTGAAGATGATAAGATGATTTCGACTTCAAACATTTAAAATTTATACTAATTATCTCGCCGCTTTTTGTTGTTGGATATTGTAACGCGCTCCGTGTCAGAAAGGTAATTTTCTTAATATGGCATTGTCAAAAAGCCTGTTAAATTGGGAAATTATATCTAAATAATGGTTGACCAAGACATACTTGAAAAGTTGGTTTAGATTTGAATCGCTTGTAAAATTCATAACACAAATCACACATCATAAATCTAATGAAATTTGCTGTGCAAACGCGTATATAAATGATTCATTTTTAACATAACCTGGGCAATTCTTCTATTTTCAATTCCACAGTTTGCAACTATGATTGAAGAACACGTTTCGAGCATTTTTACCATACTAGACTAGAGATAATAATTTATCTGAACTCAATTAAGTAAAAATTAAGTAAAGAAAAAAATAATAATAAAATCAATGTAAATAGCTTATTTTAATCTCTCTGTTAGAGATACATATTACAGCTACCTCATCCTATTTCAAAATACACACACTCACAAATATATAATATACTTTCAAATAAGACGTTTTTGTACAAATATTTCATGTGAATGGGGGCAATTCTCTCACTAAAACTACAATATGTTATCATTAATTATTTATTAAGGCTGTATACAAATATCATTACGTTTAGAAAATTTCATTGTCGTTCTTCTTCAAAGACGCATTGTTAAAATAGAGGAGGCTCTAATATGATATTCTAAGTATAAACAATCTTTATGAAAAAGAAATACTATAAATTGTCTACATATCTAGACAGCTGGTCAGAAGGTGTTAATGGCCCAAGTGCATCGTTGTCTTCTTGATTCAGGTCAGGCGAGGCAAGTGGGGCTAACGGTTGAATTCTTCTGTTCGATCCAAACAAAGATGGGTCTGTCAAGTCAGTGGTATCTAGTGTGTTTGACGATGGATGTGGCGATGCGATTGTACGAGGTGAAGCGATTGTAGTTTGAGTATGAGGTGACATTACAGATTGTCTTGGAGATGGTGACATCGTCTGTTGCCTAGGAGATGATGATGAAGGTAGAATAGGTGGAGTTGAAGGTGACATAACCGAGCGTGGTGATTGATTTGGAAGTAACGTCGTTCCAGGTTGAGATGGGGTGTTTTGTTGAGGCATTAATCGTTGTTGTAATGACGACTTATTTGCAAAATGTTGCTGAGTTGACTGTTGTAACAATTGCCCACTAGACAATGGATGCTGTTGCATCATATTATTATAATGATGTTCTTGTTGGGCAGTATTCAATCGACGTTGATTTGTTACAAACGGAGATTGCTGCAGCTGGTTGTAAATGTTTTGTTGAGCTACTTGTTGTTGTGAAATGCCTTGAAGTCCGTTTGTGCTACCCACAATGTTTTGAACATTTTGTAAATTAGACATGTTGGAAACATTATGTTGCATTCCTTGCATTGACTGGACTTGTGACATGTTGTTAATACTCATGTTTGGATTCATATTTGACATTCCATGTACATTGTTCATCGTATTGAGACTGGTCATAACCTGACCACCTTGATGGAGGTTGGGCGTGGCTGACAACGGTTGTTGATGAAGCTGCTGCTGTTGTTCTTTGCTTGTTGTTGAGCAAGTTGTTGTGCCTGATGTTGAAGTTGCGCTTGCTGTTGCTGAGGTGTCAATCTCATTCTAGACCACTGTTGCGGCATCATTGGTTGAGAAACGGATTGGTTTTGAATCATTTGCTGCAACTGTTGTTGCTGTTGAACTTGACGTTGTTGTTGTTGTTGTTGTTGTTGCTGATGTTGCTGCTGTCTTAACCGTAGAAACATCGCCATAAGTTGTGGATTCTCTCTCATCATTTGAAGACACTCAGCAGTTTGTTGACCTTGATTATTTTTTATGATATTTACAATCCTCGCCATCTGCTCTTGCAAAATAGGTCGTGGTTGACGTTGCGGTCTTGGTTGATTTGTGGGATACATTGGTGGCTGCTGTGGTACATGAGGCTGCTGAATTTGATTATTTCCGTTGTACCAGTTTTGCATCGTTGATTGCGTAGGTTGAATTTGCCGTTGAACGTTTGTCTGTCCCTTAACAAGATTCATGTTCATGGTAGGTCGCATTTGATTACTACTCATTGGACCATTCATTGCATTGTTTATAGGAGTATTAACTGGTCCTGTAGGCATATTGGGTCTGCTTACAGGCATTGGTAAATATTGTCTTCCTGTATTTGCCTCACGGCATATGGCTCGTGCAACTTCTACAGCAGCAGGGGGTGGAGGAGCAGATGTTTGAGTTATTTGAGGTTGGACATAACTAGGTGGACGAGCAGTTAAAGACGAAGGATGAGTTATGCCTTGATTGACCATGTTACTGGAATTAGACGTGAGTTGCTGTTGTTGAGGTTGTTGCATACTGCGCATGACAGCCATTCGACGACGCATCAAATGAGCTTGATGAAACTGTTGCTGAGCTTGTTGTTGTCGGAATTTCGTCTTTATATGACGACAGTAAGGAACTCCACATTCTTGTTCACGACAATGTTTGGCGTGATAACAACACAAAGCAATAAGTTGTTTGCAAATGGGGCAGCCATTATTACCCTTCTTTTTGCAATTTTTCGTGTGCTCTACAACTCTTTTCATTTTCAGACAACTTGGTACCTTGCAGTTAACATTGGTGCAGTTGGTGGCGTGAACGAGTGAATCAATGCAACGTTGAATTGATAAACGACGCTGTTCTTGAGAATTGTTTGGTTGTGCAGATTGGTTTTTCGTCGGTGTTTGTTGTTCAACATCCAAGTCAAAACCAAGTTTCTCCATGTTATGTTCGTGTCCTTTTTCGTTATAACATGGTACACACAGGTCAAAGTCCTAAAAAATATATATTTTAGTTACGGTAGGAAGTCAAAAACCATTTACTATTCTCGACTATTTAATTTATTTGACAAAAAGATGTGTGCACAACAACATGTTGAATTTTTCAAATTGCATAATGCTTCCGTCATTTTTGTTAATACCTACAACATGACTTTGTGTGCCAAAGGATTAAGTCGTTCACGAAGTCTTAAAAAATACTCTAAAATGCCGTTTGACTTAAGTGCATAGATTTTTTAACAGTGCAGTCGGAAAAATTAGTTGACTCTCTAAATTACCTTCTGATCATTGAATTACATTTTTTGAAGAAATGTGCTATTTACTGATCAATATGAATAATTAAATTATCAAAGAGAATGAATAATATAAAATAAAACAATACTTACCTCACATTCACTACAGTGGTACCTTGTTTCAACATGTCTCTTACAAAGATTACATGAATAAACAAAACGATCTTGTCCTTGATTGTGTAAATCAAATAACATGCACATTGTGGAATATTTAGCACGACGCAATGATGAGAATTCCCAATGTTTATCTCGTGCCAGTGTCAAAAACGCATCACGGCCATCCATAAGATCGCATGACATTGACGGATCTGGATCCCCTGTTTCTGTCGTCAAGGATTGTATTTCATCATCTTCATACATCCTTATCACGAAAAAGACCTGTAAAGAACAAATAAAAATAAGAAAATAAAACATCTTTTTACTATACCAAAAGAATAAAAACATTTGTGAGCATCAATAAAACTACCTCTTTGTGTTTTTCCATGGTGTTATAGAGTCTTTGAGATAAATCACAAACATTAAGACCTTGACCATTTGCTTTTTTTGTATTCTTTCGTTGATTGTTCTTTTTACTTCCTTTCTTATTGTTACTTCTCTTTCCCGCCTTGTTCTTACAACCCTTACTGTTTACCTGCTTTGGAATGTACAACATTCATGATATTTTATGATGTAATGATAAAAAAGAACAAGCAATACTGCACACGTTTAATTTAAAATACTGAGGTTACTCACCATATCACCGGCCGCTTCAGCAAGAGCTGACGCTTTTCTCTCTTCTTCCTCTTGATCAAGTTCTTTTATACTATCTTCTAAAGTATTCGGCCAAAAATCACCATCGAAATACGGCAATTCTGTTGCTTTCTCAAGATTATCATCCAGCGCTTGCTTGAGAATATCCTGAAAAAAATAACTCGACAGTCAAAAGTTTATTAAGTATAGAATTAAAATTCTATTAACGAGGCAAGAATACCTTGTACTCCACCACAATTCCTTCGGCTGCAGCTTTATCTAACATTTTCTTATACCAATCTACAAGACGTTTGTGTCGTGGAATCTTCTGCTCAGGTGGATGACAATGAAATATATAATCATCTCCTTCACATGGTGGACAAGCCCATATATGAGCCCAGACATACCTGAATATTTAAAAAAATTAACTATGACTTTATTAATACGTATTAATGTACATATTTTAGCAAGTATTTTATGCAAGATTCTTACGTTTTACAATAGTAGACAAGCAACCTACCTGAGTTTCCTTGTATACTCCAAGTATCCAATAAGAATCTCATGGTAAACGGCCGTTCGAAAATGTCGCGGATGAAAGAAATGAACACTATCCAAGTAAGAGATGTAAACTCGTCGCGTGTTTGGTGTGGGGCAATTTGAACCATATTCTTGAACATGCATGCCAAAAAAACAAACATCTACACCACCGATTTCTTCAAAGGCAAAAGAGCCTTGGCACGATAAGGAAAACCGTCTTGACAAGAACTGTCAAACCTTGAAGTAAAACAATTTATAGATTTGCGTTATGGTAAAATGAAAGATTTTTCCAATCTTTAAAAAAATGTTAGGTGTACATTACACGTACAAGTAGTGTGAAACATATAAAACACTTATAATACACAACATGAACTAGACCATCTACAATATATAATTATGTACCTTGATTTCATTCCTGGTTTAATCTCAACAATTTTATCGACACTGGAGACTACGCGTATCGTTACTTCACCAGCACCGGAATTATTTCTCTTTAAAAATTCATTCACTCGATTTTCTAAAACTTCACCAAGCTTTGTATGTTGGAGACCTGTAAAGGACCATCGTGAAATAACAATGACGATGTTTTCATCAATGAAAAAATAAACTTTAAAACATATCAACTTACGTTTTGCGTTATATTTATTTTCTTTTTACAAGACAACGCTTTTCAAGACACTGTTTACACTGAAACCTTTATATAATACAATATGTTATTTTGACATCTGATAACAATTGACAGTTAAGTATGTATAATTATTACTATACTATATAAATAAGCAAAATGAAAACAAACATAACGAGGAGCCGATAATATAATTAATAATTAAGATATGCATGTTGCACAACTTACCCATTTGACCAAATGGACTCGTGATGTAGTACACAAATCTTATGATTTTTCCTTCCGCAATCAATACATTCGACAAAACTACAAAATAAAAATAAGATAAAAACATTACATGAGTATGCTGTATATGTCAAGTACTAGACGAGGCGTTTGTATTTATCAAAAATCAACATACGGTTCGGGATCCAAATGATTGTTAGTTAATCGCTCAAAGCATTCTTTCCTTATACATCCACTAAAACCATAAAACATATTTATGTTAAGCACTATATTTACTAAGAGCACGCAAAATGATTCATTTACCCAGCACTCATTGGATCTTCTCCTAACTGCACTTTCACCAGGCAGTTCGTTGAAACATCTTTCGCAATAATGATATCTACAGTAAATAAACAATAAAATTCCAAAGTAAAAATCCAATAATGAATATCTAAATAAACAGCAAACTAACCAACCTGTTTTGATAAGTATAATAAGGAGCATCTCTAGATATTGTACATAAATGCTTTCCAAAACAGCATAAAACTTGCGGATGAAATACATACTAGAAAATTTTTCATAAAATTATTGCTTGTAAATCAATACTTCATACTACATAATATGTACAAATGCAAATTGTGTGCAATATAAAGAGATAACGTTTGCTTACTTTTACGGCCGCAGCAAAATCCTAACTTTGCATTACAACGTCAATTTCTAGCTCAAAACCTCAGCCAACTGTTAAAGAAAGGCAATTCAGAAATGTGTTACAAAATACAAAAGGAAAATCATAGAGTGTAAATTGAAATATCTAGTTTAATATACCTTTGAACAATATTTGTAAACTTTGGATGTTTTACGATTATAAAGCCAGGCATTTTCAAACATCAGCCACACGTCATCACAAAACTAAAACGAAAACAATAATTTGCTGGAAGATTAAATTCATTAATATTTCCGACTCGCAAAACAAGATAGAAAGCAGGCGTTGAGAAAAAAAAGACTGGATGTAGGAAATGGAGATCAGAACAAATATGCATGTGGCAATTTCGTCAAATTCTATAAGACTACATGGTATCTGCGTGACAAGTGGTACAAAGGGTGCATGATATAGGTTTTGTTACATGATATAGGTTTGACCTAAAGTACGTACAAAGACAAATGTGAGACTACTACCAAAAAGTATGAAGGGGTATGAGAATAAATTCTGCAATTTTTACGAAAACAAAGAAATTCGACATAATGCTGAACACATGGTACATACCTCCCAAGGATCTTTATATTGGCCAGTGTCTAACTTCCTCTTGATTGTAGACAGATCCATTGGCTTCTTTACAATATCGAAATAATCCTGTAGAATATAGTACATATACATATCAACCAAATGCAATAAAACAAAAGTACATATAAACAGAATATGGGTATAATTAAAGAGTAATCAATGATAGAATAGTAAATAATTAAGATGATTGTGACAATTTTATTGACTGTTAACGAATTAAAGAATTCTCTCAGACTTTTCACTGAAACTTGATCTATTCTCTTGGTGTACGTACTTACCATGCATCCCAACATCTTTGGGTCAACAGGTTGCCGAAATGGTAAACCTTCAGGATCCATTTTATACAGTTTTTCCAGCGTAGGCATAAGATATCTTCGAAGTTCTTCAGGAAGAAAATGTCTACGAAATGGCTGTCGAACAGTTGAACTCAAAGAGGAATGTGTTGAACTTGTAGAACATGAAGGAGGTTTCATGTCTTCGATTTTTGGCGTGGCTGTCATGTTTGGTTTCGTATCGGGGATTTGCGCAAGCTGACTTGAGGTATCAGGTGTTGTTTGACCCGCTGACTCAAATGATTGCTGAAAGAAAGACCATATTTAAATAACATTAACATGAAATATTAGAAAAATTGAAGCATAGGTAAAAATTTAATTGCATTTAAGCAATGCTCTGCAGCCAAAGCAAAAGACTACAAAACTTGTTTCGAAAACATGTTCTGGTGTATGGTTACTTTATTCATTGTTCATCCATCACAAATCAACTTTAGATAAGCCATGACATTATGTCATAACGCAAATACTCACTTTTGCAGATATAGGCGCTGTTGGCATTTGAGAATGATTCGTTTGAATGCTTCCGACAACATTAGCGAGGGTATTGTTCAGCTGAGTTTGTACCGGTGCAACAGATACATTAGAGTTTACTGCAGGAGAAGGCGATTGACGAGGTGTAGACGATTGTGGTGACATGCGTGGTGAAGGAGGAATATTGCTAGATGATTTACCAATGTTTTCATTGATGAGGAATGATATGGTAATCCCACATTGTGCGAGATGTTATTGGACAGTGAGGTTTGAGATGGCATACCAGCTGCCATCGGTACAGGAGTTTGTCGATTCATTGCTCCAACAGGTTGCGTTAAATGTACTTCAGCATTGTTACCTATATCTCCATTCATATCTCCAAACGTCGAAACTAAAACAATTTTAAAACGATAAATTTCATATGAGCAAGTGCCTAAACATGTAACATAGTCTTTGTTACACAAGAAATGGTTGTGAAATAACTGTAAGAGTTTCTGCTGGCCTTGATTATTCGTTCTTTGTGTGATGTATATGGACAATTTCCTTAGCTATGCATACAAATACGATACACAAATTCAATTTAATAAAATAATGAATGTTTTCACAAAACGCAATCCAGCGTTGTATGTCGTGGTAAAGTATCAACACATTCGATTTGAAAAGATTGGAATTATAGAATGTATGAAGCTTTTAGTTCCCAAAAGTAATTAGCAAAAATTATTAACTCACCAGGCATTGTAGGTGCAGTAGAACCAGGAAGTAACGAAGGCTGTGGTAGACTATGGTTATTCATTTCTGAACGACGACGTCTTTTCTCTTCAAGTTCTTTTTGGATCTTGTAAATTTTTTCCGCGAGTAAATGATAATATTCCTCCTAAAACGTTTATGTATGAAATCAAACAGGTTGAAATCAAAAATATCCAACAAAAATATTAGAATGATGTTTTCGAATTATTTAGCCACTGCAAGAGAAAATTTGCAAGTGCGTGTTGATGAAAACTACACGTGATTGCTCTATACAATTCACTACTCTGAAAAAACACTCAAATTATTTACAGGACCTAAATAAGTACATCTGTTCAGTGGTATACTATGAAAAATCTAAAAGTTTATGTAATGTAAAAAGTTAAAAACGTCAAACAGTAAATGATTTGTATCGGAGACATCAAAATTATAAATTTAATGTTTTTTTATCGATAAATTTCGCTATAGTTGGAAAATGTTCGTCCAGATTATACACAATATTGCAATAGTGTTATTTTTTACTAGCTGAGAAACGAAAAAAGCGGAAAATGTGTTTCGTAACACATCACACGCGCTGGAGACCAGTTTATCTTCGGATGGTTCAGGTTTGCAGGCCCATTTGGTTGTTGCTTCGCTGTGCTTAGTATGTTTATTTGTGTCTATACTATAGTGGGCAAATTAGTTGTAGATCAATCATGTCAAGCAAATATGATCAATAGCTGTATCAGCTGTATTCAGCCTTGTACACTTAGTCAATATTGTATAAAACCATGACAAAATATTATACGTTGTTATTCATAGAGTTGCCTTGTAATACACAAATCATTTCCATAACGGATTGAAAAATTGTGTACGAAATAAAAAACGATACACTGTCGTTATGAAAACACTTGTTCACAAAGCGATTTATTGTTTAAATGAAATATTGTAAAACTTGTTCAAGGTTTATATGATTGAACAAAAACTATGAATTCTAATGATCATGAAACACTACCTCAAATATATATTCGTTCTCAACGCGTAAGAAATTTTGTCTGATATAAATGGCTTTCAATGAATACAATGAACTGAAATGAAGAATGCAGAAAAACTTACCCTACTGCTGGCAGTTTTACATATATCGCCGACTTTTCGTGCATATGCAACAAGATTAACCATCCTTCTATCTTTGAGAGCTTTCGGATCATTTACAGGTGTTGGAAATATTGCAGTGACACTTAAAATTTAATATAAAATATTAATAAATTATTTCAAAATTTCAAAATTTACAAATTTACTCACAGTTTTTGAACAAGATGGTTTCTCAAATCAGCAGTGACTTGTGCATGCCACTCTTTTGTTTTATCCGCTAAATAAAGGTAAAAATCCAAAATTATGACATTTAATGGACTGCATTAGCAAATCAACACAAAATAGCAATATCTGATAATGAACTTATAATTAATGATACAATCATAATGCATGCTCATTTACTGAAGGTATTATTTACCTTGTGTCTGTCGTTTGTCATTGGCATGCTTTAATGGCAAACAAACAGGACAGTCGCTTCTTTTACAGTTTTTCCAGTGGGATATTATTTGCCGAGATGATGCACAATGTGCAACTAAATAAAAATAAAAATTTTTTGTTTTCACAGTATTGACATCTTTGAAATGTCCATTTCAAAAAACGAATATTTTGTAGTCATTAACTGATAGATCAAAAAAGCATGCAAATAACTGAAAATGAAAGGTAGTTCATAATAAAGTAAATGAAAGGTAGTTCATTGAATCAGGTAGTTCATAATAAAGTTCATTGAAAGGTAGTTCATGTTTACAAACATGAAAGGTAGTTCATTGAATCAAAGTATGTTACAGTACATCACATAGAATGTCTTCCCACCCCCACTCCTTGTTCTTTGAAACTTTTGTAGCACACAAAAAAGATCATTTCAGAAAGGAATATAATAGAAAAAATCCAAACAGTAGAAATTTGTTTGATGAGTAAAATATGGAATGTAAACAAACCTTGACATGATTTTCCTGCATTACATACAGTCATGTGAGCCAAAACATTTTTCATGGTTCTGCAATGAGGTAGATTACATGACTTTACTTCACCATTAGAAATATTTTGCTCTCGTCTTTGACATTTGTGTGCATGAAGTAGAAGAACAAGTTGTTGCTGAATCAATCTTCTCTTCTCAGGGTCAGCTGTTGGTGTTTGTGAGGGGACAGTCTACAAAGATGACAAAGTTATTGTGAAATGAACTAAAATGAAAAATAAAATAAGTGTGAAGTATATGTAAACATTTGATAAAAAATGAACAATTTATAACAAAAATACACATTCATCAGTACTAATCAAAGACTTTCTCACAGCAAAGTACCAGTACTTTTTACTAAACTCTAAACGGTATTCCCATGCTCCCATGCTCTAATTACAAAAATCAGTTTAACTGCATAACTTTATTATAGTACTTACTCCTGTCGTTCCAGTAACAGTAGTAATGCCAGGTTCAATTTTAGCAATAGTGCCATCAAGATGAGATGTTATGTTTAATGCATTGAGACTCGTTGATGATCCTAAATTGGAAAGATTCGTGTAACTTCCCAAGTGATTTTCCATTGAATCTCCAGGCAGACCCATTTGTCCAGATGCTTGTTGTTGAAGGGGAATTGTACCAGACGTCATGTGACCTTGATTCGCCCCCATCATCTATAGTATTAACATTAATATATTTAGGAAAATATATAAAATGAAAAAAGTCTCTGACCAAAAATCCAAACTTAGGGAACATTTTGAAGGTATTTGGGTTTTTTTATTTTAAAACAAAGGTATTGAAGATGTATGTTTTTTTATTTTACTTTATTTTATTTTCAATTAGGAATTATGGTACCGCTGTAGTTAAATCAATGTTGAAAGAAGGACTAAATAGCAAAATGAGATGACCTCACGATTACTTGCACAATGAGAAAAAAGGACATAAAAACATGGACATTTGTCATGAATATACCTAAAAGATTGAGGCAAAAGAATTCTTTCTGCCCTGAGTGTCATACACCTGATGGTTATATGAGAAATTAGGCAAGTATGTATGTGTAAGTTGTGAGGTTGGTATAATGAAATGTTTCATAAGGTTTTAAAAACAGCTGCCAAATGCTGTTTAGTTGATTTAATTGATTTGACAAAAGCAAACAATAAAATATCGGAACTGGAATGAAGAACAAAAGTACAAAAAAAGTTCTTCTTTATATGAGTGTTGCTATTATTATTCATGACACAATTGAACAAATATTATTTATAAATATAATTTATTATATATATATTATATATATATAAATATTATTTATTATATATATATATATATATATATATATATATATATATATATATTTTCTTACATTTTGTCCATCCTTAATTCACAATATAAGGACCAACTGGCTTTGGTATGTTAAATCAGATCATGAAACAAAACTATGCAAGTTTGTTTATTACTTGTAGTTGTGCAAGACAAAGGCAATGACAAGTACGAATTGGAAAACATTTGTGTGAAATTTGCATGTTATAAACTCATAAAAGGTTAAGACATCTTTACTATTAACATATTTTGGTAAAGTATATTTTGTTTATGTTTTGCCGAAGAAAAACAACAAGCAAATTCAAAAATAGTGACTATTGTGAGAAAATATACAGAATTAAGTATGTACCTAATGTACTTCTTTTGGGAGATGATAAATGTTTTCACAAGAAAAAATAGGTTAAGGCTTACCTCTCCCAATGTGATTCCACCAAGGTTCATAGTCAATCCACCTTGATTTACTGATACTGCATTTTGGTTAATGCCCATACCACCATGATTTAAACTCAATCCGCTTTGGTTAATGGCAACACCAGTTTGATTAACAGGTATTCTAGCATGATTTAATTGCATACTCCCTTGGTTTAAAGGAATTCCACCTTGATTCACTTGCAAACCACCTTGTGCAGCAGGCATTATGTTTTGATTAACAGGTATACCAGAATGATTTATTGGAATTCCAGATGGATTAACAGGCACACCAACTTGGTTACTAGCCATTCCAGGTGGGTTAACAGATAGTGGGCCCTGATTCATTGGCATTGTTCCTTGATTAAGTGGTATTCCAGCTTGGTTACCAGTCATTCCAACATGGTTTGCGGTCACTCCAGTATGATTTATAGGTAATCCAGGTTGTCCCATCATGTAATTAGGTTCAGATTTCACAGTGACCATGGTATTAACAGACATTGAATTTAAAGCATTTATGTGATTTGTTTGATCAACAGTCATATGCCTTGAAAAATTATTCATTGAACTAGAGTTTTGATTTGAAACAAGATTGCTTCTAATTCTTGATGATAATGCAGGATTAACATGTCCTGGTGATGATGCTGCATTATACCCAGGCAATGGAAAATTTTGAGGAACACTTGTCATGGGAGTTACAGTACTCATAGTATTTGAGATTGGAGTTTTCGCACGATTACTCGGTCCTTGGTGATGCTGTGAATTCATAATGGCAGGTGACGCAATCATATTGGGAACAGTATTTGGAGTTGATGACTTTGTTGCACTAGTGGTAATTTGTGAAGGTGAAACAGTGGTCTTATTGAAATTTGGTGAAGGAACTGAATTTGAACAACTGTTAATCAAAGGACTATTTGGATTTGATAAATCTTTCCCAACAATTGCAACAGAGTTTGCAGTTGGATGCATCTTGTTGCTTGACAAATTGTTATTTTGCGTTTCATTCTCCAACAACTGTTGCAATTCGTTGGTTTTGCTATTATTTTCCTCTGCCTCTCCATTTTTGGGTTCAAACAACTCGTCAGGCAGCTCATCAATAAAAGCATCTACAACAAACGTATAAATCATGCAAATAAATTGAGGTAAACCGGCCGCAAAACAAGTATATAACTGGAAATATGGCGACAGTTCATATTATAACAAAACTTGTCCCAAACAATTAAAGAACATTTAACTAAACAGCTCCAATTTTGTTTACTGCATACCTTCGCTGTCCGTCGATGCACTTGTACTACCAATTTTCTGCTTCTTATTTGGAGGTCCGTCAACTTGTTGTTCGGCCATCATGTCTACTATAAACCTCTGGCTCAGAACACAACAGACCACTAGAGAGTTTCGAGTAAAACGACTTGTTGATCACCGTAATCCATGAAATAGATAGCAAGCACTATGATCATTGTTACTACAATATTAGATGGAAACAAATAATCGGATGAATATACAAACTTTACAAAGCAACCAATAAATTATTATTCCACAGAATACAAGTATAACGTAAACGCAAAACACCAAAAACAAAAATCATGGCGGCTCACCATCATCGTTCCAACATATATATTTGTGATATCAAATCCACGGCGTTGAGAGTATTTTCAAACTCTCAAGCCCTTTCTTCTTATGCTGCGGCCACGGTGAACCAGCACTCGCAAAAATAAATATACAGCAAAATTCCTTTAATTTCGAATTTCAGACAAAATATGTATCGATATATAAAATGGCCGTATAACTAGTCGCTGATGTGAAGCGCAACTTCTCCGCTAAGTAAGAGGGGTGGCCCAATAGCATATGCTTCCGCAGCGCGGACTATCTCATTAAACATTAAAATATTAACTTGTGTTTGCGCATGCGTCTAGTGTTTTCAAAATTCAATTGAAATTTGTAACAATTTACCTCATGATGAGAACAGAGTTCGGTCTACTCTTTCGATTTTGATGATAATATCAAGATGGGATAGATGATGACTAACCTTTCACCAGATTATTTGACTGGACTGACTAGTCAATGTATGCAGACTGTGTGTGCAACATAATTGTACGAATATCTTCTGCATGATAAAAAATGTCCATAAATGTTAGGTTAAGTAGGTATAAAACCATTAACGGATTAAACCTGTTTTTAAATACTTTCTAGACTGAAATATGTTACAATTTTTTGTTGACTTCATTCAAAGATAGAATAGAGAATCAGAATGATAATTTTTATGTGTAATGATCGTTCGCTCAAATAATGATTCCCGGTTTGGCGGTTGCAAAGCTTTCATAGATGAATTCCCTAGAAGTAATTGCTGCTGCCGATAGTTTGGTACCCTAGTCGTAACTTTAGTTACAATGATTATGTGCAAAGGGATCATAACAAAATTTAATAAATACAGGTGTATAATTTACAGGTGTATTTATGAAAAGTCTACACCAGTACTTTATATAGCTCAGTGGCTTTTACATGTGATTATTAGTGAATCGCCGGCGTCTATTGATAGTTCTCAGAAGTTCAGATACTGGTGTATTCCACGCATTGTATATTATGTAAACCTAACATGGAAAGTTTGCAGGTACATCTACTTATAACAAGAAAATTATTGTTGCATATATATTATTTGAGAGTAACTATTCAATAAGAGAGTAACTGCAAACATGTAACTACAAACATGTAAGAGAGTAACTATTAAACAATTTCTAGTTGACAGAAGAGGAAAGAAAAGTCTTAAGAGAATGTCGTGTAAACAGCATGTTCAGAGGTACATAAACCCTGACAGCATATCAGACCTAATGTGATGTTAGAATTGAAAAGTTGAACTGACATTAGTCAATGTTTAATTTTTATCATCTTATCTGAGGAATATTTGCAAGATAGGCAATTCTTAATTGCAATTTTGGCATTCTTTACATTGGCTGTTGTTAGAGAAATTTTGTTTCCAAATCAAGAATATACTAAATATCAGATGAATACCACCTCCCCCCTCCTTACCAATAGCAATGTTGTTAATCTTGTAATATACTGTATGGAATAAAATATTGTGCTAAAAATATAATATGAGAAATTTTGGTTTGAATCTTTCAAGTCTTTCTGTATACGTATCATTGATACTTAATTATAATTGTGTGCAGGTGTTCCTACGGGAATTTTTTCTGCCTTTCTTACAAGTTTTGCTGTTAGAAGTGGTAGGTGGTCATTGTTTAATGAAACTACCTTTCTTTTTGTATTTTTCAAATTTTGTGTTGATTACACTAAGTATCCAAAAAATATAACTTACGTAGTTCTTGTAACCTACATGTTTAGGGAGATTTCCACATCTAGCAAAATGGTCTCGTTTCTACTATGGAGGTGTGTATTTTAAATTTAACATGTTGCAACAAGCACATAAAAATTTCATGGTGTTTTAGTAGAAGAAATCTACTGGATATTGTTGAATTTGGCAGATTATCTATTCGATGCCCACATAATAGTACTAGAAGAAAGTTATGAGATTTTTCCATATCTGATGTGTAAAAGGACAGCAAAAATAGTATTGTAAATTTTTTTATTCAGTGACGTTTACTGGTGGGTTGTTATTTGGTGTGGCATCCTACAGAAGAACTTGTTTGGAGAAAATTATGTCTCTAGAAAATTCTGTTTTGGCTGAGCAAGTAAATGAGTACTTAAGGAGGTAACTTCAAAACTACAATTTAATTCTTGAATTTTGAACACTTCATTGTTCTGCAGTTGATACATAACAGTTAGATCTAGCTTCTTCACCATTTTGGTTTCATGCAAAATATTTTGGTGTTTCTGTTGGCCTGAAAATAAATATGTTTGTGTTCATTTTTTACAGGTCAGGAGTGGAATATATAGGTCAAAAGCATGAAAAAAAGGATTCAGAATTTGATGGTTTGTACTGTGGACCCTTTTCCCCATTAATTGTGCTTCTCACTATAGAGCTTACTGATATAATATAAAAATCTCTTTGAATAATTAAATTTGCTCCATGATATTCGGTTTAACTAAACCTTACACAGTAAAATTTTGAGCAAAGGAACAGCATGCACCAAACGAAACATCAACTTAAGTATGTTAGGTGATATTATAAATGAAACAACTGTGCTATGCTTACACCAAGGATATCTCTGGGTTCATTCAAATAACAACTCCAATCATGCTAAAAACTTTGGCTTTGGCTACAAATATTCTGGCTGTAGATAAAAAAACTTAAGTTGTTGTTAAAAAAGCTTTAGGTCAGGTAGAAACTGGAAACAAAATTTGATATCAATTTTTTTCTCTAATGAAATGAAGAACCTGCCATGCCTTGTCTGATGTAAGGTTTTAATTAAAGCTGACTATCACATATGCTATATGACAGTTGTTAAAATTTTGTATTATTAAACTTAATAAAGTATAGCTTTCCAATGTTGTTGGTAGAGCCACTGGGTAGAGCATACCCTTTCTCAATTACAGTTTTGATTCCCGCCAAAGAAAGAACTTGCTTAGACCCCATTAACAATGAGAAAATGAAATGACAAATAAGACAATGCCAGAATTGTAATTGTTGAGGTTTAACTTTATAAAGTAAATTATTACTTTTTGGAGGGCAATTTTGAAATGGAGGCCATAATTTCTTAGAAAAATAGCTAGGAGATAAAGAATTTCAAAGGAAATATGGCCTAGGGATTTTTAGGGAGGAAGGGGCTCCTGTGACACTGGCTCTCCGACATTGTTTTGCAGCACTATTAAAACACCATCCATTTAATTTAGTACCTAGACAAATAAAATCGGGCAGTATGATTGTCTTACTAAATTTTTATTCGTAATGTTTTTGTTTGCCCTAATTCTCTACCATTTTTTTACTTTTAGATAGTAATCCTTATGATGTTTCAAGAGATGTTGTGACTGGAAACACCCCATATTTATCCAGGTGTGTTAATTGCTATTCTGCGAAACATGAACTATACCAACGCGGCAATTGAGTTTTCTTAACTCTCCTCTACATTTGTTTTTATGGATGTAGATCGTCCAGGTTACTAGAGTCCTGAGAACGACTGTTGTTGTTGATGTTGACTGACGTTTCGACAGCCTTAGCGGTAGTTATGTGAGCTCAAATGAGTAGTGAACGTCAGGTTAGCCGTATTTGTTATCTGGTTCTTACGTTATTGTATTGTGTGTACGGGAAATGTGTGGGTGTCAATTGTGTATTGTAATCGTGGATTAGTGTAAAGTGTAATTCGTGTAGTCGCTCGTTTGTTTGTATTGTGAATAAATCGTTTGTAAGTTACCGGTAATTGCGGCTTTTGTTCCAAGTTGGTATAGCAAATTTCTAAAGTAAGCCGTTGTAAGTGGCTTTAAGTAATGCATTTGGCCGAGTCCCAGTCAATGTTGTGTATTGTCCGTCGGTGATTTTCGGCAATGTGATTGGTTTTGTCTTGTTTCTTTGTATTATACATATTATACGTTTCTTTGTATTATGAACAGATCACAGCAATTACCGCAACTTACAAACGATTTATCAATAATACAAACAAATGAGCAACTAAACAAATTACATTTTACACTAATCCACGATGACAATACACATTTGACACCCACACATTTCCTGTACACCCAATGCAATGACGTAAGAACCAGATAATAAATAAGGCTAACCTGACTTTTATTTTAATTTGACTCAGAAGATGACTACCGCCTAAGGTTATGGAAACCTCAGTCAACATCAACAACAACAGTCCTTCTCAGGACTCTACTAACCTGAACGATCTACATCCACAAACTCCTCGGTAACAATACTCCCGGTTCAAACCATTTACTTTATGACTTATTACACTTGGTCTATCAAAGTTATGCTTAAAGAAAAGATTAAAAAAAGTTTCAACACATGAGTTGTGAGAGATTCATGTTTCTAAAACAGTGGAATCAAAGTTAAAAAAAATTATGTTGCTTTAACGGAGCTTGTGTGACCTAAAAGTTATAGAGTAATAAATACAATAACCATGACCAGCCGACAATTTGAAGAAGTATAATATAAAACAAATTCCGAAGAAGCAAGACATCTTGAGATTGCAAAATATGAATCAAAACAAGAAGAGAAGTAAACTGTAATTTTTCGACTTTATTTCAAAGTCATCCTCAGACAGAATGAGCAGTTTACAACCCAACGAACGACAAGGTGCAGTTTACAAAATAAACTGCTCCGACTGCCACGCATCATATATCGGCGAAACTGGCAGGAACTTAAACATAAGACTTACTGAACACATACGAGCTACTAAGAAACAAGACAAAACTAATCACATTGCCGAACATCACCTAATTACAAAGCACAACATTCATTGGGACTCGGCAAAATGCATTACTTACAGTACTGACTATAGACAACGGCTTACATTAGAAAGGTGGTATACCAACTTGGAACAAAACCCCTTGAACAGATCACAGCAATTACCGGCACCTTACAAACGACTTATTCACAATACAAACAAACGATCAACTAAAAACATTACACTTCACACACAATGCAATGACGTGAGAACCAGATAACAAATACGGCTAACCTGACGTTTACTCCTCATTTGACTCTGAAGATGACTACCGCTAAGGTTGTCGAAACGTCAGTCAACAACATCAAAAACAGTCCTCAGGACTATACCAACCTGGACGATCTACCTTTCAACATCGTTGAACACACATTGTCCAACATTTTTTCGATGATTGCAACGGCTTTTAATTTTTCCGATTCACTGGGAAACAAAAGTCATTGTGTGCGAACGATTATGCCTTCATGTAGCCAGTGTGCAAGTTTAATCTTGCTATGCAAATATTTGTATTTACTCATTTTAGATATAGTTCTTATAAATGTAAAAATTGCTTTTAGTGAATTAAAAAGTGAAAATGACAGGAGGACTTCATCCAGTACTTTGGAAACATCGTCCACATTAAAAGATGAATTAAGCTTTGAAGAACGGCGAAAGCAACATAGACAACAGTTTAGTATGAATCAATATCCCATCATACGATCAACAAGGAAACCTGTAAGTAATAGTACAACTCAAAAATACGTAGTGTACAAATTTTGAAAAAAATCATACAAACCATCATGCATCGTTGAAAACTGAGAAAAAGAGCACGAACGTTCATTTCTGTAGAGTTTACTTGATTGTATAATAGCAATTGCCTTATGAAGGATTGAGTTCAGCCATAACGAGAAGAAAACATAACATTTAACTATTGATTAGCAAAAGTTGTTTCGTTTTGGTGCGTTAATGATTGAATAGCACTTTTGGAGGATCCTACAAATAATTGTTAGGTAGTTAAAACTCAGAGTACACAGTTAGTTGGGTTGTGCAGTTATGCTCCTGGGCAATGTCCTTTGTATTCTTAGGTTGTGACGATTGACTGCTGAGAACTAAAAGTTTGAATAATGTGTGTAATTGCAAGTATCTATGTTTTAGAATGAAAGAACTACACCTAGTCACGAAAAGCCATCTACTGAATCTCTTCATCAAGGTAAATTTCTGAATGACTGATTCCAGATATCTATCATGGCGCTGTGCATCCTATTGCTTCAACGCTACACAAATATTATATTCGTTTGCTTCAGATCCAAGTGCACACGTAAAGAAAAATATATATGGGGATCCTATTGAATAGCTTGTTAAATATCACATTGTCTTTACCAATGTCTTGCTCAACCCATGTTTTAAGATGTATTACTTTTCAACTTCTGCAATCTCGATCTTGCCCCTGGTGTCAAATGCAGTATTATCAATCAAATTTTGGACTCTGGTTTATTCCTGTATGTAATTGATTGATTACAACACATATTTTATGGTAACATATATAGTAAGCAATATTTTCGATGTAAGTTGAAAAATTTGAGTTGATGTAATTTGGAATTAAATATACGTTTAAGTGTATGTTGTGTGGTCGCTCAAATGTCGTACAGTTTTCTCAACAAGCTCACAAAATAATTCAGCCTCCATTGTACTCCACAACAAAACAAGAAACATATTATTGACAAGATAATTCCAAATAAATATTGGTGTACCAGCCAACAAAATATACGGTTATCAATGAAGTTTTGTTAGTAATACTGTCACCGTGCTTATTTATCGTTTTTATAGTCGAATATTTCTGTATGATTAACTAATGTTCTGCATAAGTGAATGTTATGTTGGAGTGACATGGGGATTTCACGAGCGTAATTAGGATTAAACATTGCATTTACATAGTTACGATTATGTAAATTCTGAATAATTTTCTTAAAATATATAAATTCGCCATAGGCGCAATGTACAATACAAAAATAGATACGTAGAAGGTACAAGTGGGTAGTGGGCCAATATTGTAGATTATGCTTGTTCTGAAACTACTAACTTTATTAGGTAATGCTATTTGATATACAAGGAGTCCAAAAAAAACGGTACCCGCATAATTTAATTATGAATGCACTGAACGTATTCCGCACAATAATATTGCTAACATGCATAACAGTTTAATGAACATCACAGTTCTGTGCTCTGGGATTTTATAGAGTTCATAAAGTATTTAAAGCAAAACAAGACGAAACTCGAAAGTACTTTATACACTGATTTTCCGCTCAAATTTATAATGCAAAGCTTTGTAATATCAGAGCGACATTCACTGAGTTATAACGGCTACAAAAACGTAATCATATTTACCATAAGTTGCAACGAAAATGGACAAGCGTTAACTAAATGAACCAAGCGGAACAAATTGCTATTGCAGATTATCTTATGCAGATTTTATTTAATCCATGAATATTTGTGTTGATTCCGTTTTTTGGGGGATACTTTTACAGTACATTACGTGACAACGTCAATCATAACGAACATAACTGATCATGACGAACTAAAAATCGTTACTCTATCAAACAACCGTTTTCATAAGATTTATTATTTAATATTCTATACAACCACCCAAACTCCAACAATAACCTGTAGTAGTAAAATTGATTTTTAATTTGAAATATTTAATCAATGTTTCGAATACTTGTTTCTCAATGCAGTTTTAACTGATATCTCAACTCAAGCACACCTTATTTAAGTAATTACAAAAAATTGCTTAGATTCAAGTATACAATGTGTGGAATTATGTGCTATAGTGTTCCAAAATAGGTGGCAGGCGTCTATTTTGGAATACATCAACTTTTTGCAGAACTTCTTTCCTAAATTAGAGAGCGAGGGAACTCTATAATATAGTAAGAATTTCGCTGATACTCATTTATGTGCCTTTTTTTTTTTGTTAGTGTGTTGAGATTGAGATACGATTTCGCTCTAGATATTTATACTTTTGGTATAACAAAAATCTTCAATTGATCTTCTGCAAACACCGATCTTTTATCTTTTTAAAAAATGCTGTCATTAAATGGCAGTACTTAGTCTAAAAATAAGTAAAAATAATTGGTTACACTTACCGTAGGAACTAAGAAATTTTAATTGACTTTGGTGACCTACGTCGTTCTAAAAGAGACACAAGCAACAAAATTGTTAGATTTGACGAATGATATAAAAACTTACAGCCCTGACTTCCACTTCTTGCATCTTCTCGTCCTCCGCATCTGAAAAATACTAAACAACAAGTTAGTGGTACGTCAAAACAAGGAACAGGCAAACAAGCAAACAAACACATACCGAAGTTTTACTCGGCTACTGTGGCCATGTAAGATTCGCTGTAAGAATAACAGTAAAATACTATCATGACAAACTGTCGAATTTCGTGTGTTTCGTAAGATCGGTGTTTGCAGAAGACCTCTTAAAATTTCTGTCGAAACTCGTACTTTAAGGTGATTAGCAGAAGGCAGTTGTAAACTGCAAACATTTGCAAATAAGACTTACTTCGATGTTAACATGAAATTGCTATCACGTATTTCAAATTTCAGAAAATATTTGCGTTCAGTATGTTTTAACTGCTTTGTCAATGAAGACACTGTTATAACATCCCTCAATGTTATAACAGCTTAACATGGACAGGTTTTTTGACTCACACGGTATTCACTTTAAGGTTAAAGATTTTGCAATACTCTGCCAGCGTACTGCAATTTCATTTTGTAACTGTCGTAAATCAATTGAAAACTAAATTTCAATTTAAGGTTACATGCTCGATTCGAACGTCTGAACGTTTAAAAGAAGCAAGCATGTTCACTGCATGTTCAAGCATGCTCATTACTCAATGTATGGAATTACGGCAGCCCTTTAATCCCAAATCTTCCAGTCATTGCTAACATCGATAGCATGAATGTACGAAGAGACTTTGAAATATAAAATGAAAGCATTATTTCATAGAGGTATAGTTCTTTTCTGGCCAGTCTGGAAGAATTGATACCAAGGCTGAGAAAGGATAACTTTTGTCGAAGGATCAAATCTTCCATTTGCAACATCTTGACGAATACTATATAGTCTAGAAATATAAAATATTGGAGATATCATCGATCGTATCAACAAATAAATATGTCTGTTATTAAGACATCAGTAACCGTCTGTATTTCTAACAGATATTTCTTGGTACTTTATATGGTATTTTATCAAATATTTTAGTATGTACAGATGATTGTATTTCAAAGCATGAACACCTAAAGTATGATTTTGATATCTGTACTCTGTAGAGCAGTTTTCATGCATTGCCAAAGTTACACAAGGAGATGTTGTCCTTTCCCAGACCCGTCTTGCAAACAAAGAAACCCTCATGATAATAACACAGTAAAATACTTAAGTTCACAAAATTAAATAAAGCACCAACTAAAGGGGCTGTTTATCTGATCCCGGCTAGCAGGGACTCAGTGAGGCGTGAAATGATTTCGAGGCATTGAAAGGGGCCAAAACTTCAAGGTTAAAATTACAACTGTTTGTTAGGCCAAATGAAATGAACAAGAGATTCCGGGGTTTTTTTTTTGTGTATAAGTCTCACGAGAATAAGAAAAACTTAAGGCTAACAAGCGGAAACCAGGCATGGGTGACCCCAGTTTTAACGATAGACCATTGGCATAACATATTTAATTAGTTTACAAATACTTACTTTTATAAAAACGATCTATATTCTTCCAATAGCATCTACATAATCGTAATTTAGGTACTACCGCCGCAAATCCATGCTCCGTCGCGACAACAAGATCTTCCTAACGATTTATGAATTGTCATTATCCGCCTTCTTTTAGGCCTTGACAAAGAACTTCTCTTCTCATTAACCAATTATAAAACCATATGATAAAATTGCATCTATAGCCGATCTCTTCAAAGTACATTGAGCCTGTGTGTCATTCACTCTAACATCAAAACCAAGAGCTTTGTAAACTTCCTCAAAACAGCAAAGTTTTTGCCTTATACACCTAGACAACATCGTCACTCGACAAAAATCAATGAGAAAACGTTGTTCGAAAATATTTAATCCCCATCCAGGTACATGATCAGAGTATATGATTGGTTGAAGTGCAATGAAAATAATTCAATACAAAAACAATAAGATATTGTTTGATTACTAAATCCTCCGAGAGTGAAGAGAACAATGTTTGCCATGTTGGATGACATTTAAACAAAATGTTTTGTCAAAAATCTTCCAAAATGACGACAATGACGTATTGCTTACCAAAGCGTGAAAGCCGTGAATTGGTAAATCTCGAGCTATTTTATGAGAACTACACGCGCAAATGGAAGATGTTTGCTTATTTGGAAAATTTCAGTACAATGTTTATGCTACATCCATTCCACTGTTTTGCCAAGCTTATTTCTTTTAAAAGTGTCATATGGCCCACACGAAGACACACTTCGCGGTTATAACATGTGAAGATGTCAATCCAGGCAAACGGTTCTGTACATAAATTTTCTACTATGACACTCTGTTCAAGTTAAATTATAGAATATTCAAACAAAAATAAAATTGCAAAACCATGCATTTTTAAAAAAATTGTGGCTTTCATGGAAGTGTAAAATGAATTTTCTAACTGTCGACACCTCTATAACAAAGGAATTCGTTACACGACAAACCCATGGATAAACCAGTCTCTAAGATAGGCATCGTTAAAATAGAAAGAACTAATCAATGGATACAGTCTTCATACTTGTAACAACCTGTTACCACCCGTATCGCTGTTCATTGTGCATATTTTGCCTGTGGAATGTGCAGGTTATAAGGTCAGTAGATGTTATGTATTGTTTACAATGAGGGGGTGTGAGGATATGAGTTTGAAAATCTTGGTGCAGGAAGTGACAGCTATGGCTGTTTCTATCGTATAAACGTCTATTCCTTTCAAAGACTTCATTTTTGGAACGCTGGATACAGGATTCTGACTATTTCTTTCCAAATAATTCACCCATTCCTGTTGTTTAAGTGTTTTCTTTATTAAATATGAGTCGCTTCAAAACATGGAAATACAAGAATGCGACACCAAGGATTCCTGATGCAAAAGTACAATGTTTCTTCTTGTTTGTGTTGTTCATTGATATTGTGCAATGAATTTGATATATTTTACCTTAGAATGACTTCGATAGTGGAAAAACTATTAGCGAAATATTTTTATTCACGTTGTTTTAGCGTCTGTAATGGTTAAATTATTATGGTTTGGTTGTCTTTAGGAATGTATTAAGGGCTTTGATGTTGGTGATGTAGACTCCGGTGGAAATCATATAAAAGCAAATAATACCTTTTTAGCTTTCAACACAAATGGTATAGTTTTCTGAACGTTATTGTCAATAACTTCACGTTTAAAAATACTTTTATTTCTTTTCTTGTGCTGTTAAGGTGGTCACATATCTTTGTTGCCATATCTTGAGGAAAATCTGTCTTCTCCACTTTCTTTATCAGCACACTCCGGTATGATTTTGGATAGTTGTTGTTGAATAAAAGTCACTATGCTGTTAGTATGTAACTATCTTCTTGTTCTTTAGATTTAGTAAATGACTTTGCTTTTTCATCATATGATGACAATATTCTGGCAACCTGTTCTAAAGATTTCCTAGTAAGTTACTTAAATGAAATGATTAGTGCATAATGATTATCATAGCAAAAAATTTCATCACAAAGTTTATTCGTTGTCACTCTCTATTGAATATTTCTTTCCTATGTCTTGAATATTTGTTTCCTACATCTTGACTTTGCATGTTGATCGTTTTATATGGTTTCTCTAGATAAAAATTTGGAATATTTCTGATGACGATAAATGGAGAGATGTGGGCAATGTGCTTACGTTAAGTAAACATCAGGTTAGCAAAGCTTAAGATAGCTTTCTTCCATGATAAAATATTATTTTTTTACAGGTTGTTTTGAACTCAGGCATTTCTAACACACATTTTTATAAACATTAAAATTTACTTTGTAAAAACTAATACACTGAAGAAGCAAGTATGATTTGTTTTAGAAATCTGTTGAGGCTGTTTTATTCAATCCGGCTGCAGAAAATGTAAGTAATAATGAAAATTTTATGTATTGTAATTTACATAAAAAATTGATATTATGTTACATATTCACATGGTTACAGGTTTTGGCTTCAGGTGCTGGAAATGAAATAAAAATCTGGGATATTACATTGGGCAAAGATAACTATAGTAAGCATTTTTTCTACCTTAAATTTTTTTCCTATATGTGGGTAGATTTGCAAACAGGTTAAACTTAAAAACTCATTTTTGCATTTTAATTGCACAGGTAGTAATGATCATGGTGATGTTGTTCAGAGTATATCATGGAAAGAAAATGGTAGCCTTCTTGCTACTGCTAGCAAAGTATGTGTGGATGCAAAATAAAAGCTTTGCCTTTCTTGTCATGTTGTTCAAATTGTTATTATGTATGCTCATTTAGAAGTATAACGAATTCTAAAATAGTTGGAATTTGTTGGATTATAGACTTTACATTTATCGTCAAAAATTTTGATAGAAATGTAAAGTTTAAAATGAGATCCATACTATTTAATGTATTATATCTATCTCATATTACTTGTTCATATTACAGGATAAAAAGATTAGAATATTTGATCCACGTGCCTCAGGTTTAGTTCAAGTAAGAAGTGTTTCATATCTTTCTTTTTATTTCACTTCATGTCTTTTCATTCTCAAAAAGCTGCTATATATATGTGTAGCATTAATGATGTTATAATGTTAGTTGTTTATAATTTATATGTTAAAAATAAGTTTGATGCAGTCTCACCGACTTGTTGTGATGAGATTGGTCCATCATTTATCATTTAGGAGGGGGTGGTTACAGATGGTGGAAAAGAGTGTCAGGTGCAATGGGTTGGCGATGAAGAAAAAGTTTTGTCTACAGGAGTTAGTAAGGTAAAACTTTACTGGTTCACAATTTTGTATTTACTTATAAAACTCTTTTTTATTTAAATGTTTAGTATCAATGGCATGGCTTTGTAAATTTCTATCTGCTACCTACGTAAATTTCAAATGATTAGCATTTTTCATTTTTTTAGGAATTTTCTATTGTTTTGACAGTTTTCAACTCGAATAGATAAGCGGACTGCCTACACCACTCTTTACCATGTTTTTTTTTCTGTATTTTTTTCATTGTATACTTAATTTCATATAATGTTTAACATTTAGTCAAGAAAACAAGAAGTTAAACTATGGGATACAAGAAATTTGTCAACCAAACTTAAAGACTATTCTCTTGGATCTTCTTCAGGGTAAATAAAAGTGATCTGTATGCTGAATGACATTATAAAATTCTATCACTTCAAAGAATAGCACTGCGAAAGTATAGTTATTAACACCGAATTTTTCAGGTTCATCAGACAATTGCTTAAATTGTCCAGGGAAGTGCGAAGATCCTGTCTTCATTTAATTTCAAACTGCATATAACATTCTTTCATATGACATTCCTTTCACGGGAAAATATAAGCCCAACAAATTGACCTGCTCTCCACTGTGTGACTTCATAGCTCAGTTAGTCAGAGCACTGCACCGGCACCGCAGAGGTCATGGGTTCGAATCCTGTTGAGTCACTCGAATTTTTCAGGTTCCTGAGATGATTGCTTAAATTGTCCAGCAAAGTGCGAAGATCCTGTCTTCATTTAATTTCAAACACCGCACTGCATATAACATTCTTTAATATGACATATAAGGGTAACATTACAGTATGATATGAAAGAATGTTTTTATGCAGTGCAGCGTTTGAAATTAAATGATATCTTTTACTAACAATTGTTCTGAACCTGAAAAATTCAGGTGACTCATCCCCTTGAGTCACCGGAATTTTTCAGGTTCTTGAGACAATTGCTTATATTGTCCAGCAAAGTGCGAAGATCATATCTTTATTTAATTACAGTATGATGTTGAATTTTTTGTTTAGAACACCAATGATGTTTTATGATCATGATACAAATATACTCTTACTTGCTACAAAGGTAAAAAAAATAAATATTTGAAAAATATTGTATGATTTGATGTTTGAGGGTCAAAATGTATGATGCTTATGTGTTATGCACATTGTGTAAATTTTTAAGTTCTTGCTTTCGTTAGGGTGAAACAAGTGTACATTTGATTGAAGTAAAAAGTGATACACCATACTTAAACCCAGGTAAACACTGATCAACCACCATTTATATACCCTGGTAAACCATCACCTTAGGGCCCCCTAATATAATTCATCATATACTATGATATACCATACTTAAACCCAGGTAAACACTGATCAACCACCATTTATATACCCTGGTAAACATCGCCTAGGGCCCCTAATATAATTCATCATATACTATGATATACCATGCTTAAACCCAGGTAAACACTGATCAACCACCATTTATATACCCTGGTAAACCATCACCTAGGGCCCCTAATATAATTCATCATATACTATGATATACCATACTTAAACCCAAGTAAACACTGATCAACCACCATTTATATACCCTGGTAAACCATTGCCTAGGGCCCCCTAATATAATTCATCATATACTATGATATACCATGCTTAAACCCTGGTAAACACTGATCAACCACCATTTATATACCCTGGTAAACCATCACCTAGGGCCCCTAATATAATTCATCATATACTATGATATACCATACTTAAACCCAGGTAAACACTGATCAACCACCATTTATATACCCTGGTAAACCATCGCTTAGAGCCCCCTAATATAATTCATCATATACTATGATATACCATACTTAAACCCAAGTAAACACTGATCAACCACCATTTATATACCCTGGTAAACCATCGCCTAGGGCCCCCTAATATAATTCATCATATACTATAGCAAACCGTTACGTATTTGTCACCATCTTTGCTTTACAACCAAACATGTACATATAAACTTTCGTAAACTGTTATTTACTACACTACTGAAAATGTGGTTGTACACACATTTGTAGTTGTACTGTTGTATGTAACTACTTGAAATAATTGAATAGTTGCATTGTGATCCACTCATCCTTGATTTCAAGGTATTGTGCGTTAAATCATGAACGTCAATAAGAGTGATGTACAAACTTGTAATGTAACGTATTTTTCTTATTTCTATTCCTCTTTTGGCTTAAAATTACAGTTTCCACCAATCGCGTAACGGAACAAATAAAGGGAGCTACATTGATACCAAAACTTGCATTGAACGTGATGTCTTGTGAAGTGTTGCGTCTTATGGTTTTAACAAAGTCTTCTATTGTGCCATTAAGTTATCAAGTGCCCAGAAAGGTATGTGTTTTTATGATAAGAATGTGAAATGGATGATATGAATGCTTATAAGTTTTAACATTCTTTTCTGTTTGTATATACGTCTTTATGAAGCGCTTTTTTTAGCATGCCTTACGTATAACCTTAGCTTTACACCTATAACTAAGACATTTAACACCATGTCATACCTTGTTAATCTGACATATCTTGATCTCACTGATCATAATCTTACATTTTAAAAGGTCTTCCATCAATACTTTACATATCATGATCTTACCTACCACAACTTTACTTGTCAAAACCTTAGATATATAATATAAGATGATGCGGTTATAAAATACCGAAACGAAGTAACCTAATGAGCGAGTCTTCATTTATGACAAAAAATGCGTCTTGTTTTTGCTTCATGCTAAATATATTTATGAAAATGCAGATGTTTTATAGTTGTATTATGTCAATCCATGTTATCCTTTATTCTTTTCGTCAATGAAGCTTTGAATCGACGATTTTTTTTTAATTTTGAACGTAGACGCGACTATTGATGTTAAGCTGTATAAATATGTTAGAAATTTAGAATTATTAACAATCTATTCCTTTTATTTTTGTAGTGTAAAAAAAACCAGGTTTTTCTGTCATTAGTCGGTTATTTAAACATAACCGGACTAACCATGAGACTAGCCGATCTTTAAAAAATCCTGCTCATTTCGGTTAACTAAATAACTGCATCATCCTGCATACAAATCAAAACCTCTAAGACCTTGTAGCTTTGCATTAAGGTCTTACTTATTCATTTCAATATGATAATGTTAACTTTGGTGATTTCTCAACATGTTTTGACACACAGTTTGCGTAACTATTTTTTCAATTGAAATTTATTTGTAGTCGCATCGAGAATTTCATGCAGATCTATTTCCTGATACCTACAGTTGGGACCCAGCCATGACATCAGAGGAATGGTTCAATGGAGAAAATAAAGAGGTAACAATCCACGCATGCGTTGTGTTTCCATAACGAAACGGAGTTATTCATCAAATTTAATCTTTTTATAGCGGTTAAAAGTTAGCCTAAATCCCTCAAAAAGGCCAGTGCGAAGTAAGAAGACACGAGCAGTAAACATTTCTTCGACTGTTGACTCTGGTAAAGAGACAGAAATAAATCCTAAGGTAAGCCTCTAATTTCGCTTTTTTTTATTTAAAAAACTAGCTAAGAAAGTCACCAACCAATGAATGGAAGATTTGACTCGTTCAACACTAACCACGCGTCATGCTTGCCTTCGTTTGAACTGACATGTTTTTCACTTCAATACTAAGTACAAGTATACTTAATAGTCATCATAAACTGTAAATAAAAGTTAACGTCTTTGGACTTTTGATATTTTATAGTTATATGTTTGAACTTTCGAATAATTCAATATATATAGGTGAAAGATGATCAAAAAACACTTATCTCTGAACCTAAAGAAGCATCGCCGCCCTTTTTAACTTCGAATTCCAAGACAATTGAAAATGAGATTGTCACCAAGAAAGCTGTCACATACACAAAATCAGCTCATAAAATATTTTCAAGTATACATCATTCAAAGTTTCGACATCTCCATGGTTCAGCTGTTCATCGCAGTAAATATATTGAAAATGTCAGAAATCTCAATACATCAACGCTTAACGAATGTGATGGTTTTCAATGCAACTCAAAACGTGCTGCATTACCTATTGAAGGACCTGGAGGGAAAATTGCAATTGTAGAGGTGTGTATATGCATTACTACGCTTCACTTGAATAGAAATATTAAAAAATTGATTCTTTTCAACTTTTTCCCAAACTGATTAAGCTCAGCCATGATTCTTCAAGAATTAATAAAAGAATTTTTTGTTGATATGTACGTATACTTTTTACAAAATTAGCTAAACAAAACAGGTCGTCTTCCTGAAACCGGTATTCCAGTCATAGAAAACAAATGTCCTGTCATGGACTTCGTTATGAATCCATTTGATGAAGAAACTATAGCTGTAGGTATGTAAACCTGTAAAAGCGGAACTTTTTCCTTTACTCAGACGTTATATATGTGATTCTAGAGAGTCCAAATTGTATAAAATCGTAACTTCTCGGTAGCAATGAAAAGCTGTTACATATTTCAATTAATCTATAATTAGAAAATAAACAATTTTCTATTTTCAATTTGTAATTAAATACTATTTTTCAGCTTTTTAATTGAATGATCTTGAACTCGTGTATTAACAAAGGTCACCTACCCCCTAAATATTACTTCACATGTAGTTCATTCTTAAAATATTTATCATTTTGTTCAAATTGACATTTTGGATGATTTTTTTCTTTACTTGTATTGCTTAATGTCCACCTGTCTTCTCGTTTTAAGCTTGTGATAACGGAAGTATAAAGCTTTGGAAAACCGATAAAGAAGGATTGAAAGAAACGATTGACGAGCCCAACCTGGTGCTTAAAGGTATGCGGAATGACTTATGTGAGGATTTATGTATTTGTTATTATGATGATAATTTAATAAAATATTTACAACTTACAGGACACAGAGATCGTCCAACAATTGTGAGATATCATCCTTGTGCCGAAAATATTCTTACTTCAGCGGGTTATGATCTTTCTGTTAATATATGGGATGTAAACAGGGGAAGTGTTGCCCTCTCTTTAGGTGGACATCTGGAGCCAGTAAGTGTGAATAAAATATGCACGTCACTAAGAAATTAAAGATGTTTACTATATTTGCACAGCAAACCGAGGAGACCTTTGGAAGAACTCGATAGTGGATCAGTTCAAGTCCGAGACAGAAGGTCGAGAGTTCTCACAAACGTCTCAAGGTTTGCATAAGCCAGTGCAAACACGAAAAACATCTTTTATTTCTTTTATAAAATAAAAATAACGTGAAACGGACAACTTTAAAAAAAACGTTTTAATATTTCCTCTAAAATGCAATCATGATTGATTTTCAAATTTTTTGTGATTGATTGATTTAATTGGTTGAGCTCAGTCCGTATTGCACAGGCTGTAATGCAAACACGGCTATAGACCAATCAGCGCACCCCTTTTTTTGTGTTTGTTTTATGAATTACCAAGATCTATATGAAGTGGTTATTTGTTTTTATAGTTGTTTAGTTTAGCATGGAAAAGTACGGGTAATCAACTGGCAACTTTTTGTCGAGATCAGAACATCAGAATATTTGATCCAAGAGCAAGCATTTCAGCTCAGAGAGTAAGAATTCTTACAGTGCATACATTTATATCAAGATTCAGGAATACATATTACTTAATACTTTTCGTTTTGCGATGAACATAAGATTCAATGCGCCTTGAATGATATAATGCGTATACTGTTACTTGTTGTAATGTATATAAAAATTTATGAAGCGGTGTTTCACTCATAGTTTGGACCAGGTCCTGCAGGAGGTCGTGGTGGACGAGTCACGTGGGCAGGCCCTTATGGTGATTGGCTTCTTGTCACTGGATTTGATAGGTATAATTTTTGCAAACTGTGTCATAATTGAACTTTCATGAATTACTAACGCTTTGAATTGAGCAACCCGTGTTCCTATCACTGTTTACTATTTTCCATGTTTTAGGTCAAAACGTAGGCAAATATCTCTCTATGATTCACGTGATTTAATGAAAGAACTTGGTAGAGTAGAGCTTGATGTTACTCCTTCGACGCTGATCCCATATTTCGATGAAGATACTGGAGTCTGTCTCCTTACGTCGAAGGTGCATATGTAAACTGTAATAAATTTAGAAATGTTATAAAGAGATTTTTGTGCCATTCACTGGCCCTGCAATATTTGTTGCTGGTGTTCACTTAAAAAAAATTTTATACAAATATGAAACACAATTTTTATTATTTTTTTCTTACAGGGTGACGCAAATATTTTCGCGTTCGAGATCATATCTCAACCTCCTCATCTTTTTGAATTGTCTCACATCAAATTATCCGAAGCTCATCAAGTAAGGGTGGCCATTTTGAGTATATATTTTCTCCAGTTCTTGATTTTTGTGTAACGTTTTACCTACAATAATAGCTGCAGCTTGTTTTTTCATTAGATTTTTCTACGCAGATCCTAATTTGTATAGCTATATGCCACAATCAATTTATCATTTCTTTTCATCTGTATATTGTATTGAATATGCTTATGCTCCAAGTGTTTGTTAAATTTCTAAGGAACATTTCATTATTTACCTACATTTTATTGTGAGGGAATCAACTTCTTCGTTCCATTCGCTTATTCATTTTCAAAATCAACGCATACAAAAATCACTTTTACATATATATACATCGGTAAAATTAATACCTATTCTTGACATGAACTATAAGCATGCATCTAGCATTCTTCATGATTTATGGGCTATGTGATTTTCCTTTCATTCTTCAATACTGGTAGTGATAGTAATTTTACATCCGTTACCATCGACGATGGACATCTCTGATTCTTTGGGCTGGCGGGAATTGGGTTAGATGTTTTTGTTTTATTTTTAAATAGGCTATTGCTTTCTGTAACAAAACGGCATGCGACGTGAAGGAAGTTGAGTTTCTCAAAGCTTTTCGTCTAACGAAGACTTACATTGAACCCTTTGTAATATCGGTGCCTAGAGTTCAGGTGAAGTAATGATAAATACCATGTATTAAAACCCAGTTATATCTCGAGTTCATTAAAAGAATATGTTTTTCACATAATACTGATTTCATTCATTTAAAACTCCATTAATCCCTGCGGTGGTAGGTCAAGGCTAGTTGACGAAAGAAATTCGAATTTGAAATAATAAATAAAATTACTGTGAAAAAGAATTTCACAAAAAATATTTTAGAACCATGATCGACAACTGGTATTAATTTCCATTTATTTTGAACTTCAAATATATTCATCATTCACTATTCTTGAAAGTTGAAACACCGCTGAATTCTGATGTCAAATTTCTTTATCGTGCACAAACCTAACTGGCTATTGACAGCAAAAATAAATCAAAGGAAATTCTTGTTGTCATTAAATTTACGAAATGGTGAAAAGCTAAAGAAATATGTATTTCACAGAAACAATATTTCCAAGATGATATATTTCCGGACACTCCAGTCACGTGGGAGTCATGCATAAGCACATCTGATTGGTTGAGTGGCAAGAACAACCAGCATCGTAAGATCAGTTTGCGACCAAGTGGCATGAAGTTATGTAAGTGTGTTCAAATAGATTTCATTTCAACACAATGTTCATTTGCGGCATGACTGGTCGCATTTAGTAAAACCAACAAAATGAAATAAAATAATTTGATAAAATAGAATATGCTAGATGGAATTTTCAAATATTCTCAATGTAGAAAAATTCGTGGTTTGCACGACTTTGCTAATCAAAATTTATTTCTATTATTATTGTATACATTAAATATTTTCATAGTAAGTGAGGCACCCAAAATTGATGTCGTAAAGAAATATGAAAGTCGTGTTGAATTGGATGAATATAAGTCTGATGAGAGAAAAAAAGAGGAGGTTAATATTTGATTTTGAAAACGAGTGACTTCATGAAAATATTGTATCTTTCCACACAAACCAACGTGAACATTTTCTGTTCTTTTGAAAACGAATGACTTCATGAAAATATTGTATCTTTCCACACAAACCAACGTGAACATTTTCTGTTCTATAGTTACTCAGTGCAATGTCAGCGAAACTCACAGATTATGAGAACGCACCGTTACCGCAAGACTTAAGTGAAGGAGTCGATGAGAGTGAATGGGTGAGAGACATTTGAAAGCTTATCACTTTTTTGCTCGCAGCAACAAATCAAAGTTTTTAGTATGAAATATACCTGCTGAAACAACCAACTGCGATTTTGGCGAACATTTTTGCAACTTGTTTTATTTTTTGTAGGATGATTGATTTCTGTCAAAAATTCATCAAATCAACTGGCTAGTCAATTTTTCGTCAATGAATACGGACATTTATTGATAATTAATTGATTCTATTTAAAATGTTTTCAAGTAATTTGGTAAAGTTTTTAACTTTCACAGGAAAATGAAATAGCATGTACGTATCAAACGTTAAACTCGATTTTCAATTTCCACAAATTTGACAATTGGTTAGGTCTACGAACATTTTCCATTTCTACTGTTTTTATCATTCATAATTATTAGCAAATAAAATCATAGTTGGTGATAAAACCATAAAAATAATTCAGTTGTAACTTCAAGTAGTTTTCGTAGTTTTTATTTACTTTTGTCGTAAACTGATTTGATTTTCCTTATTCTGAATACGACAATTTAAGTATACACTTTTACCCAAATCTTCTGCAATAATAAATTATGTGACAAAAAGCCATTTCATCACTCTACATGCCCACTCTATCTCTTGGAATTAGTCGAAGTTCCGAACCATGCTTTAGAAAAACATTTCCTAAATAGAATTAATAAATAAATTATGTATCGAATCCAATTAAACAACCATGAATTACGTTTAATGAACAAAACATGTTTTCTACACAAACTATATAAATAATTTACCTGCACTTTGAGATGGGTTGATACCAATACCATCTACATAAAAAGTAAATTTAACTTTAATGTTTGTAGAAGTGAATGAAACCATTTCCTCGAGAATATATATTAGAAATAAAAAACCATCGCAAACGTACCATTTGTTATGATAGCGCTCGTGGCAGGAGCAACCTTAAACTGAAAACACCAAAAAAAGTATTAGCCCAGGAACCACACATACAATATAACATCACTCCTCATCTATAAACACTACATTCTATAAAATATCTCCCAATGCTTTCAACTAATTATCCAACAGTTTTTTCCTCAATCGAGTTTCTTTTCGTTTCCTAATTGTTGCAACTTTGCAACAGTATCCAATAAAGGGTTAATCAACAATGAACAAAGCATTTCACTATTGCAAAATTCCATTGAGTCATTGTCTCGTTCATCGGCTTTATGTAAGAAAGCCTTCACAAAAAATGTACCTACGTTACGAAATTGAGACCGTCATAAATTTAATTTGGAAATTACTTTATTAGGTTGCTGCCAATATGTATTACATTAATTTTGAGTTATAACAGTTCTTTTCAGAACTACAAAGACTATACTGTATTTTTCATTATTTACCAGAAGTACGCTCGTCAATAATTTATTAGATGAAACGTACGTACTTATTGTTAATATTTGCAAACGACTGTAACAAGAAAAATTTCTCACGTTTGTTTAGTTTCACATACGTAAGTAGTTCCCAACTTCGCAAAAAAACTCTTCTGAATTTTTTTACTTCCAAACATGAAGATGCAACAATAGTTGATGTTGACAATAAATATTTTAGAAACTATTTTATCGCTAATCTATCAGACATGGAGTTTGAACTGTCTTAAACAAACTTTTTATAATAACTAAATCTGCAGTAAATACTGATTACAATGAAGATTACAATTCACAATCCTAACTACAATTGAGAGGAGATGACATATAGCTATTCCAACATGAACAAAGGATGATCAGTAATTGGTGAGGGCTCACTCATACACATATACGCATGTTTTAATTCATAGAAAACAATGGATTTAAAAGAGGGCAAGTGAAGCATACACGTCATACATATAAGAATATGAGCCCTCCCCCCTCCAATTATTAATCTTTCTATGCCGTTGTTTCTGATAAAATTTCAAAATCTTCAGCAAATTAGTAACTAAACACAAATCAGCTTCAACATTTATGTTTATGTATCTATGCCAAAGGCCAACCAAGCAAAAACAATCTGACTCATTCTACTTTAACTGGTTCAATAGTTTTCACAGACTCCAATATCCATGTGTGCTCTTTGCCCAGTAAAGCCAGAATAAAAACTTTCCGAGAAAACATGTAAATGGTCAAAATTAGCACAACGGACAATTAAAGATGTTTATTTCTATAATCTGTTTCAATGCATCATTACTTAATAAATATGGCTACACCAAAAACATCATCTAGAAATCTAATATGCTGGAAAAAGCAAGATGAATTATTGTTGGCAAAACAATGTGGACTTTCTGGATAGATCTCAACATCTCAGTTTATATGTTTTTGTTGCTGAACACCTAAGTTGCATGTGTTACTTTATGTTAGCTACACTTATATCATTATATGTAAATGAATTAATTTGTATGCCAATTGCACAAAAGAAGAAATCGTTGGATATTTTGGATGATAAAATGAATATTAGCAGATATAGAGAATAGCAAAGCTTACATACTTTAAATATTAGTATAAATGGCAAGAAGATTAGTCAAAAAACCAAATTTAAATCAAAATAAACATCAAATATACATATCAAAATGTTAAACTTGAAGGACAATAGAATGCAACAATAGTTGTGATGCACAATAGCTGCACAAAAAGCACAAATTTCTTAATAGTAAAAATTTAACAATTGAAACCCACATATTTCATAAATCATATACCTCTTCAGCAGCAAATTTTAAAACATGTGTAAATGGTGTAGCTTCAGGAACACTAAGTCTAAAGGTAATAAAAAATTTATAATTGTAACAAGCAATATACACAAAATTTTAAGAAATTCATTACTGAAAATACTCATACACTTTAAAAGGTAATTTGGGATCGGACGTAAGAGTAATCTTGAAAGTTACTTTCGACCTGCATAACGCATGTAGAAATTAATAAAACAATACTCCAGTCTCAATTTGATTTTGGGAAAATACTCACATTTTATAATAAGTTTTTAAAGACAATGATGACGAGCTTTTGACCCTTGATGAGCAACAGCAAAAAGACAGAACATTATGTACAACATGACGTATGCCACAAATAAATCTTAGGATTTGGGATTTGGTAAATCTGATCCCTTGGTCCTGTCACCCGGAAAATGTTCTTTTGAAGTCATGAATATTTAAATACCATTAGCAGAATATGCCAGAATTACAAAATAGTCTTCGCAGGGGCGTATTGCAGTGTCCCCCGTCGTCGCCTACACAACGCTTGAACCAGCTTTGGGCATTGAGCAGTTAGCGCACCAGGGAGTTAAAAATAGAGATAAAAATAGCTCTTTACGTCACGTGATTTGTGATTATCATAGGAATTGTAAAGATCGAATATCGACGAAGGAAATAATATATTTTTTAATAGAAAGTTTGCCATGTAATCTGGCGACTTCATTTTGAAAAGCCCATATGCCTCATGCATGAAGATGTAGTCTTCTTGTCAATCTTTGCTAAAGCGATTTAATCCTGGCAGGATAGACAGACGTTCACTTAGAGAGTTACTTTGTTCAGCTCTTTCTGTCTGGTATGTAAAGACAACCGGGTATTTCGCTAGATAATGGATAGTTCTGCAGGTGAATCTGGCAATCACAGCCGGGCATCATCCGAAGCCGATTCAAGACACCCTGAAGTAAGACTGAGAAGTTTTAATGAACTGGTTATAAAGGATCGTTCCTTTTCCCAAGTTGACACTAGAAACAACAAAGGTTGCGTTCCCCTTTATTTTGAACGCGCATCGTCTGCTTGGTGGTATCCGAAATTTGACTCTCGGATTTTGGAAAAAGAGTACCAAGAATTTTCTTTTTGTCAATAACCGCCGCGGTAGTTAAAATATTAATATACTTGCTTATAGCATCTTTAATATGGATGATTTATTTTGGTGCAACACAAACAGACGAAGATCGACAGCCTGTTTTGATCGCCATTGCCTGTTTTAGGGCGATCTTTTTGCTTTACTCGCCTTTGTACAGTCATCACTCTACAAACATTTACCGTTCATTGCTCCGTTGTTTCTCTCAATTTTAATAGTAACAGCTGACTTGCTTTTTTTTTTGCGAAGCGTTGAAGAATTTTCAGGGCCGCTCACTTCGCAATGTGTTCTTCCTTCATCCTAATCATTTACACTGTATTACATTCCATACCGTTATTCGTCTCAATGATTGTTTTGACATTATTCTCTATAGTCCACGAAATTTTGTATGCGTATGAACTCGGATTGTACGAAGATGCGACAAAAATTGTATGCACTGCAGTACTGCATTTAGTTGTTCACATCATTGCCATTCAAATAAGTTTTATGGCTCAAGTTCGGGACCGTAGTACCTTCTGGAAATTTGGACAACGTTTGCTAGCCAAACGTGAGGCAGAAATAGAAAAATCTGCCAAAGATTCTATGATACGCTCCGTAATGCCGGAGACGATTGCGGAAGAAATTGTTACCAATAATTTTCGAAAGAAAGAGTTGACTTTTCGTCCATTTCGAATGCATCGTATGGAAGACGTCAGTATACTGTTTGCTGATATCGTTGGATTCACTCAAATGTCTTCAAACAAAACTGCTGAGCAACTAGTTGGCCTTCTTAGTGATCTATTTGGCCGATTTGATCAACTTACGGCTGAAAATCAATGTGAGAAAATCAGTACACTTGGCGATGCATATTATTGTGTTGCAGGCTGCCCAGAACCAATACCCGAGCATGCATTTTGCTGTGTGGATATGGGATTAGCTATGGTAAAAACCATAAAGGAATTTGATGAAGAAAACAATGAAGAAGTTGGTATGCGTGTTGGTATTCACACTGGTACAGTTTTATGTGGAATCATTGGTAACAAAAGGTTTAAATTTGATGTTTGGTCCAATGATGTAACTTTGGCTAACAAAATGGAGACAGCTGGTGTCCCTGGTAAAGTGCACATAACTCAAGCCACAAAAGATTTTCTTGATGATTCTTACATTTACGAAGATGGTAATGGAAGCAGTCGTCATGCTGCCCTCGAAGGCATAACAACATACTTGATTCTTGGCAAGAAGAAAAAACATGAGAAGAAGAATTCAAGTCGTCATCATAAGTCTGACAAAAAGGCAGATGAGTCCGTTAAGAAAGTGTCAATTCGTATTGACAAAAATGATGTTATGCCTTCAAGTGATCAATCTAATTCTTTGTCAGTTCAAGTGCAACCAGAAAATAAAAGTCCTAGAGGCAGCTTAAAACATCAACATCAAGTTGAAGAAATATTGGATTCAGATATTCTCAATTCATCTTATACATCAGAGGAAGAGTATGCATATTATAATGGTCGACGACCATCACAAGTACTTGGTGGTACTATTAATGAAGCTATTGCTCGATTCAGACTCAAAACATCCAATGACAGGGAACTTGTGGCCTTGATTAGAGATAATGAGAATTCCTTTGCAAATCCACCATTAGTAACAGGCTCATTGTGGTTTCGCGATAGAAGCTTAGAAAAATCATATCATAAGGAAGGTCAGGATACAACACTTTTAAGTCCCACTGTTAGCACATTTGCCTCACCTAAGGTCAACTTTTTATTTGATGTTTTTCTTTCTAATCTGGTATATGTTTGTGTTGTTGTTCTAAGTTTTACAATGCTCAGCATGGTTGGTGATATTTCCATTGCAAACTACCTTGTATTTGTTCTCACATTTTTCTTGGAAGTATTCTTCCTTATTTTTAATTATAGCCGCTCCTATCCCCAGCATATGAGTTTGTTTTCTTCATTTTCAAGACTTCCAGGCTGGCTGTCTAGTCATATTTCGGGTTCTTTATTAATGTGCTTGCCGGCTATTACAGTTTTACTCAATTTCACAGTTTGTGGCAAAATAAAGATAAGAGACTTTGTCACTTTTAGTGCAGATGTTATGATAGTCACCCTGATACATTTTTGCAACTTTACACAACTGACTTCCGTTGTAAAGTCAGCTTTGGTAGCAGTATTCGCCATTATCTTCATCATCATCCCAACTTCAGTTGGTGAATGTGACAGTGTTGAGAAACACCTACAGCGTGATATGATTCCAACACTCATTCTTCTTATAATTTTAATATTTATCTTGAATTATCGCAATGACATTGGTGTGCGAATGAACTTTCTTGTTGATGCAGAAGCTGCCAAGGATAAGGAAAATGCAAAAATGAATAAAGCACAAGCTGACTGGTTGTTAGGAAGCATTATCCCTAGGCATGTAATTGCCGAGTTGCAGGAGGAAAAACTTTATTCCAGAAATTATGAAAATGTTGGAGTTATTTTTGCATCAATTGTGAATTTTGAGGACTTTTATGAAGAGAATTTTGAAGGTGGCAAAGAGTGTATCCGTGTTCTAAACGAATTGGTTGGTGACTTTGATGATTTACTGGAAAAGGTTCAGTTTTCGGAAGTAGAAAAGATCAAAACTGTAAATGGCTCAACATTCATGGCTGCTTCTGGTCTCAATAATTCACAGGGTAATGGAAAAGGGAAAAATCACTTAAAACAACTTATTGAATTTGCATTAGCAATGATGCAAGAAATTAGAAAATTCAATGATAATATGCTCGGGTTTGAATTCATACTGCGAGTTGGATTTAATGCTGGTCCAGTAACAGCTGGTGTAATTGGAACTAACAAATTGTTTTATGACATTTGGGGTGACACTGTGAATATTGCTAGTCGAATGGACTCAACTGGAGTTGACGGACGGGTGCAAGTCAGCGAAGCATCAAAAAATCTTCTTGAAGAATTCTTCACCTTTGAAGAACGTGGTGAGATTCCTGTGAAAGGCAAAGGCAAAATAAAAACGTTTCTTCTCGTGTGTCCTAGCCATGATTCTCTACATATTGAGGTATAATTTATTGTAATTTCTACTTATGAAAAAATATAATACGTAAATATCTATGGTATTATATCCCAGCAAATTTTGCAAAAAATTGATATGTACAGTTAACGAAATGTGGTTTTTATATTTTTTACAACTTAAAAGTTTTTGTCTCGTTATTTAGGTCAAAGATTAAGGAAAGCTAGCGTCGTTGTGATGAACTAGAATTAAATTTTGATGCTTTGACATAAATCAGAATCAGCTAAAAGGCCATTCGAAAGCTTCGATATTTTAGGAAATGTTAGGAAAAAAGAAATTCTTATGTAATTGCCAGGCTATAATAGAAATGGTCTTGTGCAGCATGTACACGATAATCTTTTTATTATTTTAATGAACATTCTTATCCTTGAGAATATTAATGACGATTCTGGAGAATTTCGTCGTAAGATGTAATGCAATTAAAACACTTTACTATTTTATGTGTGTAGCTTTAATGACATATCTAAATGTATTTTTTATTCTTGCGAAAGTATATCTTTCAAAATAAAGGTCTTCCCTTTTTGATTTTGTTTCTGTAGTCTCGGCGATTGACATTCGATAACTAATTCATTGTCATTGTTCATATTACAAACCATCCAAGCTGACCAGCCAACTCAACCCAGTTTTATCAGGTGTTACCCCGATTTTAAAACACAGCCCCTGATCGCCCGATTTACGATCACTTTCATATTTGTTGTAACTAAAAGTTTGAGTTCACCATATTTTCACCTTAGTTATGGTATTTACAAGGTTACATTTTGCTTTACTTTACACAGAACATGGCAAAGCTAAAGCGCGTTTACTCAAATCCCAAAGCCTCGCTTGGATCATCAAAGTATAAAAAATTCATTTGTTCATCTTTTTTAAATCTCCATACTATTTTTAAACATTTTTACTATCACCAGATTTTAACTACTCTAAAGTTGACATCTTCGTTTCTTCACTAAAACTTTACAGTAGTCTATCTTCACGTAGGTGATATCTCCTCTAAAAGTCTAGAACTTCTTATAATCAGGCCAAGGTGAATCATTCAGTGCAATTTGTACTGGTCTTAACCGAAGAACCATTAAACGGGGGGGGGGGTTGTGTATGATGTGTCGCCATGTCGACAATATGTCATTGGGATGAATGACAAATAGTCAGTTTTGTTGACGACGTTTTGACGACAACTTCGTTAGAGACGAGCGCTTAGCGCGGTAAAAGTAAATACTAGATGTTTGTTTGAAAGTTTCTGAAAGACAAATACCCAACAGTTTTACACTGTAACAAGATATAGATATTCTCTAACAGTCTTCAGTGAATTTTCCTCAAGAAAAATGCTATGGTATGTGATATGTAAGGAAAATCTCCATTTACACTCATTCCTATTTGCTAAGACATAAATAGTATGGTCGACAGGTAGAGTACTACTTCTCGAGAGCAGTTTTATGTTGGTTGGAATGATTCATAGCTTGCTGGTCACAATGTAATTTGTAAAAATGCAACGTTTGCGATTTTATCTGATCATTCAGATAGAAATGGTGTTTTAAGTGTTAGTTTTATAGAAGTAAAATAATTATAAAAATGTAATATAACATAATTTTATTTACGTAAATTTGACCGTCAATTTTTTCAAATATTCATTCCAAGGCTTCCTCCTATCGAAAGGCTGCATTATCTACAACATCAAGAAAGAAAACTGGTAAGACATGATTAATGTATGTGTATACATACATATATATGTGCCAAGTTTTCAGAGTTGTAGAGTCATTAAAGTGTTCAATACAAAAGAGTATTGAGCTCTCTTTGTAACAACTACACTTCTGGCTATCCCAACCAGCCTGTTTTATGATTGCTCACCCATTAGAGAATATATCTACATTATAAATATGTGCATTTGGTTATCTGTGTATTGTTATATGTATGTATAATCAAGAACTTCTGTTGTCTTCTCCCCATTGGAAGAAAACACTTTAATGCAATAAATAACTAATATATGACCTAACACCAACTAGCTACGTTAATAACCAAATGTATATATTAGATAACTGTGTATATTCTTTTATTATACACAGTGTGCGAATTAGTTCAGAAAAAACGATGTGCAATTTTTTTGACAAAGTGTTTCTTTAGAGGCATAATCAAATCGACATTACGTTCATTATTATATAGCGCTAATTGCTAAATTAATATTTTTGAATGTGAACAAATTCATATGATTTACGACAGTGTTTTTCATTAAAACTGCTGATTTTTGCACATCGTTTGAAAAAGTGATGTGCAATTGTTTTCAATTTAGCTAAAACTATGTGCAAATTGCACATTGCACACCGTTAATTCGCACACTGACTATACATACTGATGTGAGAGCAATCATGAAACAGGCTTGTTGAGATAAAAGTGTAGCTGTTTTAGTTTTTCTTTTAAACAATTTTACATATACATGTAACTATATTGTTATGTGGGCTGTTGTAGGAAGCATAATTTAAATATATTTTTAAATCAAGGTCCTAAACCTGAGCTTACTGATGAACAAAAGCAAGAGATAAGAGAGGCATTTGATTTATTTGATGCTGATGGCTCGGGAACTATTGATGCCAAAGAACTAAAAGTAATTTTTCATACTATCCAATGTTGTTTCTCAACTGTCTAAATTTCACTTTGGACAAAGTAATTAAAAATTGTACATTCGACAAATTTCAAATCAATCTTCTTTAAAAGCATGACACAACCACTTTAATGGCCTCCAATATAATCTTCAGCTTTAATCATTTTATTTTATAAAACATATAGATCCAACCAATTCATATTCTCAAATTTTTAAAACCTGCAATTCCGTCATTATTTTACAATCTTTCTGCTATTTCATACAATGCCCTAACCAAATGATTAAGTATATTATTTTATGACATGTTTTATTTGTGTATCATCTCATGTATGTGATGGGACTGCATTCACAAATGTCATGCAAGAAATGGCCAAGTTTTTTATCATTTATTTTCTGTATGTTGTGGTCACATTATTTCTTGAAGCAATTCATTTTATTATCCATTGTATTAGGTTGCCATGAGAGCACTAGGTTTTGAACCAAAGAAAGAAGAAATTAAGAAAATGATTTCTGATGTTGATAAAGATGGTTCTGGTAAGATCTTTTCTTGCGTCGACATGAACAATCTCCAATGTTGTTCTTGATGTTGCTTTTCTTTGAAATTGTTTCAATATTTCTAGGAACAATTGACTTTAATGAATTCTTACAAATGATGACTGCAAAAATGGTAAGTATAAAAATTTTAATTTGGAGTGATCATAGATACCTTTGCACATACTTTGTCTTGCCTTTATATGATTTATCAAGGAATATATAATAATACCTTGTGAAATTTTAATGAAATTATATTGCATCATTAGACTTATGTTTTGTAAAATTTTTGTCATTATAAGGAGAGTATACATATGGTATACCAAATGTGACAATTATTCAATAGTGTACATCAAGAAAAAGGGAATTAAATTGATATTGTGTTTTTTGCTTATGTTTTTATAAAGCAAACAAGAGGGGCTCTTTAGCTTTTCAATGATATGTTTTTTATTTCATAATAATCAAAAAGAATCAGGTATTCTTGAAATATAAGTTGCAAGTTGAAATTGCTTTCTTCCATCTTTGGAATTGAGCGCTTAGTTAATGATTTTACGCAGCCATTTCAAACAAAAGTAAATGAAACAGGTTTTTCTCTGTTTTATATTGTATGCTGGAGAATCCTCAACAATTTCATTATTGTATTCAATTCCCAATGATTGAAAAATGCAATGTGGACTTGCAATTTTTATTTGAAGAGTACTCAATCATTTCTTATCATTATGAAATTAAAAACATATCATTGAAATGCTTTAGAGCCCATCTTTTTTGCTACCAAAAAATATCAGCGCAAGACACAATATCAAATGCCTGATTGTCAGCTGAAGTTTCGTTCAGTTTTTCCACGCAGTATTAAGTGATCATCAAATCTGATATGCTGTTTTACATGAAAGAATATAAGAAAATTCATTGGCCAAAATCCTTATGGGGATCGTGATTTTTAATTGAAGTAGTGGTTTCTTTTGCTTTCCTTTTAGAGTGAAAAAGACTCAAAAGAAGAAATATTAAAAGCTTTCAGATTGTTTGACGATGACGAAACAGTATGCTGTAAACATTGGAAATAGCATTTGAAAAATGTTCAAATTTTATGGTGATTTTGAATTTTCTAGGGCAAAATTTCGTTTAAGAATTTAAAGCGAGTAGCAAAAGAGCTTGGGGAGAACTTGACCGACGAAGAACTGCAGGTATACCGACATCTTTTCTTAAACAATAATAGATGAAAATGTCTATGGAAAGAGTTTCATAACAGGCCTTGTCCGTATGAAATTTAACCATATCTCTGTCCTAACAAAACGCTTTGCCAGCTTCTACAGTTGATCATTTCTGGAGATTGTTTTTTTTCCAAAACAAATAAATTTTGAAGCAAATGTATGGCTCCCCAAAGCTAACGTAAATCTTACTGCAACCAATGTAAGGCTCCCCAAAGCTTACGTAAAACTTACTGCAACCAATGTAAGGCTCCCCAAAGCTTACGTAAAACTTACTGCAACCAATGTAAGGCTCCCCAAAGCTTACGTAAAACTTACAGCAACCAATGTAAGGCCCCCCACAGCTTACGAAAAAACTTACTGCAATCAACTGAACTAGAGTTCCCCACAGCCTACCTATAGCTTACAGCAACCAAAGTAAGTAAGGCTCCCCTCAGCCGACCAAAAGTATACTTCAGCCTACATAAGTCTCCTGCAGTAATCTTGTATTATTATATGATTCAATCTCTTGCTTCTTGTAGGAAATGATTGACGAAGCTGACAGAGATGGTGATGGGGAAATAAACGAAGCCGAATTTCTACGTATTATGAAGAAAACTAGTTTGTATTGATTTTATCTTATTTTTCTTTTCGTTCTCTGTGAATAGTTCTGTTAATAACTTCACATGTCGCGTTTATTATAAAACGATGGTTTGTAGTAAATTAATTGCTTTTGAATTATATAGCAATGTATTTCAGTATAAATCATAACAGATGCTTCGTGTTTTAATTGTACATTTTTTGCGATTTAAATTTTATCCAGCATTTTCATTATACTCTGAAGTAGGTGTGCAATGATGTGTACACGTTAGAGTATGCGTGTACATTTTGATGAATGTGTGTATACATTGAAGTATGAGTGTATACATTGAAGTAAGTGTGTACAACTTGAAATAGGTGTGTGCAACATGAAGTATGCGTGGATTTCTTGAAGTATATATACATACCTGTAAAAATGCTACACCAGCATATTTTAATAAAAAAGAATACTGAGAGTTGACTGCAAAATATATACTTTTCAACAAGGCACCGTTTACATAATATACGTAAATATTTTCATTGTAGCATTTCAAAATTTACATGAGAAAGCAAATATTTTATATTCAAACTATTGTTCGTTGGTGTATTTTAAACATGGTCAATGGCAAGAATTTAATTCTCAAATGAAAATGAAAGAGTTGCAGCCACAAAATCATTTTTTGCTCCATTTAAAATATTTGCGCACGCTTATTTACTTCAAAATCGGTGGTGTACCAGGTAGTTGGTGAGCAGTGCAAGTTCATTCAGTCGGTCATCGTCATGACTGTGAAGTGAAACAAATATTTTAGTGGACTGCGCATGTTTAGGTGATTTATATGAAAAGATGTGACAAAGCGAGTTTAATTCAAAAATCGATGTGTTTGTTAGAGATTTTGCAGTCATGTGCTCTTAAACCTTTGTAAAGCAGACTGTAAACATTGTGAAACTCTTGCCGGAAAACGTGGGAAGGTTTGTCTGAGGAAATTCAATTGATAATTTGGATTGACGTCAGGCAATAAGACAAGTTTAGTTAATCTGGAAAGTTTCAAGAAAAATACCCGCTGTCGTTTTTAGCATTTTTTATGATGTGTACATGATGGAAGCTGATAACTTAATTATTTAATAATGAGGATATACGATAAATTTTTTAAAATACTTAAATTTGAATTAATTTCTATTCCTCTCAGACATATTATGATGCAGCTAACAAGTTAAATAAACATTAGTGGTTTGATGTTTTTATAAGCAAAAATGTAGTCTCTTCTTGATGTCGTTATTATCACTATATCGCCCATAATTATATAAAAGGTGTTCACTTAAAGTTTACATTTGACTTGAAAATGTCAACGCACGAATCACAAAGTATAAAATCGGTAGTCTTTTCAATATGGTGGGGGTTTTGTTGTCTGTGAGGAAAAAGCAACGCGAAAATAGGCATAAATGATGAATCATTAATTATTACTAAGTAATTGTCATGGTTACTTGGCACTGATAACTATAAAGCACAGTGGAGTCTGTTATTAAACGTAATTAACAATTCTGGCTTGTATCCGCTTTTAATTTGACATTTTCAATTCAAATCATATCGTGAGAGTTAACGATAACCTTCAGGTGAGACGGTGGGACGATAGTCATCTGATCCATAATCTACGTTTACCAATCAGGTAATTCTGTATTTTACATGTTCTTCAGGTTTTATGTGACTTATGTGTATGAACAAAATGCGTAGATATTAATAATATATCACTAACGTAGAGTGTAATATTTCATGCAACACTAGCCAGTAGTTAATTTCGTTTTTAACTTTCGGCAAAATAAGAATCAACGACAAATGTTGTGTGTGCCTGTATTTCTAACTGACACATAGTAGGAACATTTCTATATGCTTGCATGCACGGCATTTTATGTCGAATTAAAACTCATATGAACGGTCAGAATGTTTTTAGAAATTAGATTTTCCATAGCAGAATGCCACCACATGAGAATGGACTATATTAGCGCGTTATTTGTTTAAAAATTTCTCAATTTTGCATTGAAATCATGTTACCTTTAAGACAACTTTAAACCAAGCGTTCCAAGGAAAGTATTGTTGTACATATACAGTGTATATTATAACTTTAATGCCCAGATTCTCCAAACAAATTTTGCAATTCTGAGAAAGACCCTGGGAACTATATAAATCGACACCATGAACAAGTTTAAACACGATTAAAACCCCGTTAAGCAATTTTGATTCTACGCATCAAACACGCTAGCTTCTTCATAAGCTATGTAAAAATTGTGCAATCATTTCTCGCGTGAACCAAACAAATAAAATTTGTCTCATACAAAACTAAAAAAATAAAAATTGTTCGTGTTAATGGCGTTTCACTTTAGCATCATTCACATATGTTACACTACACCTATTCTATTTTTAACGACATCTCGGAGGTATGCACGAGTGACTTTAAACAACAACTACTTCACAACTTCTTGTTTTGGCAATATCAATTCAAAAAGGGGAAACTGTACAAAAAATCTTTATTATTTGTCACATTTAATAATAGTTATTATGAAAACTTTCGTTCTATTTCTTTTATTATTTTTTTTTAGTTTAAAGTAGTTTTATAGTAGTGTTACATTCATATACTTTTCTTTTTTTTTTGTAAATATGTACTAATTGAACTACAATATCGGTGTTCAAGACATTTAGCAGTTCTAGTTGACTCCAATGAGCCGTGACCAATCTTTATCGCTTGACGTGTTTGGAAATTGTCTTTGGTGGTAAATTTGCTAGTAAATGTGTTGTTGCAGTGCAGCAAACGTTATTGAAATAGAGCCTGATTTTATCTCTATGAAATTTCGACAGTGTTGCGACACGTTGTATGCCCACGTGATAAAAATTTTCTGGCTTGAATGAAGCCGTTTTCCTGTGTTCGAAGGTTACGAAATCATTTTACGAAAGCAGTGACTTGAGTCTCATAACAGAGATGAAGACGTTGAAATTCTCTCTGGATGTTACCCTGTAAGACTGATAAAGGAACGAGTACATGAGATGAGGGATAGTGTATGTTAGATGTTTTGAAGATGAAGTGAGAGAGACCTGTATAAGTTGTTTGGGACATGTATGCTATTGAAGAGGTTAGTGAGTCTAGAAAGATATGGAGGTAGTTGTAGTTACTGTAAAAGATCCAAAGAAAGTCGAAAGAGGAAATGCATAAACACATTGATCAAGGAAATGCAACTAGTTCTTGTGAAGCAATAGGATTTGACAGACATGTGGTGAATTAAGGCAGGTCATTCGCTGTGGTGAACCCCTGCAGGGAAAATAAATAATAACATATTGACGCGTGTACACGAATGCGGAAAACTTGAATAAATGTTGAAGCTGAAGGTCCAAAAGTGATAAAATCCCTAGAATAAGGCAATTATAACACAACAGTTGAACCGTCGTGTGCAAATATATGCAGTACTTGATAAAAATGTACTTGATAAAAATGATAAGTCATTAAATTTTTCACCGAGCCATTGTGACCGTCACATGACGTAATTCTGTTTTTGTTCAGTCACGTTTACGTAAAAAAAATAAAGAGTTTTATGGTCGTACACAAACAACGAAAATTCAAAAGAGTTTTTATCTTGAATATTATCGTAACATGAGAAAGACTTGATCAACACGGTTTTCCTGTCAACGAGCCAACCTTGTAAAGACAGTGTTGACGAATCTATGCGTGGTTTTGCTGGTTGGCCTATATAATATTTTCTTAACATTCAAAATTCAACAACTCCCGTGATTTTCATCATTAGTATACTGACTGTGCACGCTCGTAGAGATATGGCAAAAATGTAAATGATGTTTTTTAATGCTTCGTTATTTGAGGCGCTCGAATCTTTAGATTTCTTTCGTTTTTCTGCATGACTCCAGTACGACAACGGCATTCATCTCTACTATGGAAGTTTAAATAAGATCAGAAATATTAGGCAATTGATATAATAACCTTGACTTTCACACGTTGATACGACATGTGCATGAGATGGTTTTATTTGTAGTGTAAAACGATGGTGTCGCCTGTATTTTTTATTCAACGTTCGTATTTGTTTTATCAACAGCCCTAGCATTCTTGCGAATGGCAGCCGGCTGAAAAATGAAGAACGCAAGCGACCAGTCAAATGAATTTTGCGCGTTTTGTGTGCCCATCATTTAGATAAAATTTTGCCTGCTTGTTGAAACGATGATCTTGAATGGTAAATATTTCCCAAAACAAAACTTTGACTAGTTCCATTTATACAAAATCATATGAGATAAGTCGTAGAATTTTTCTTACTGTGGCTTAACTAAGATAATGACTTCAGCTTGCGTCAACTTGCTTACGCATGTCAACGGATTATTTTAATTCCTTTGTATTTAAAGATATTAATCTTGCTTTTCTTGGGGACTCTGCCCTTATAAAACAATATTTGCACTGAAAAGTGTCTTTAAAACTACCGGATGATAACATTATGGTAATGTAAAAAAATTAGGCGATCTCGTCTTGTAATTTGCTCAAAAAAGATAAAATCCTGGCACAGAGATAAATAGTTTATGAAAACAGTGAAAATAGCACAATGACATTGACGATGATTTAAAACACTGCCATCTAAAATAGAATTTTCAGCTGTTCAAAAAAATTATGAAAAAATTACATATATTCAATTTAAACCCATTTTGGTTATGTAAGACGATTTTTCATTTACTCTGTTGAGCATAAATAATTTATACGTCAAATCTTAACAATCTGCTTGCCTTTTTCTTTGCAGTGTAAAGTATTCTTTGCAGTGGAAGTATTTATTTTATTTATTGCGAATAGTAACTGTTCATTATCAACTTAATTAACAAAATAATTATCACACAGTGCATGTAATATCAGGTTGTCATGGTTTTTGGCTTTCATTCCTTCGAACAAGAAGGCGTTGGAGTCTATCCTGTGTGCTTACTACCTTATTGACGGATATGTAGGCGGGTTTTTGTAAAAATTCTGTAATTCATCAATTTTCATTAAGTTTACATAAGGCATGAAATAATTTTGCTATATTATTTCTTCACTAACTATGCATTTATTGGATAACAAAAATTAGTGTGAATGTAAAAACGGCTCATATAACAAATAGAAAATACACGCAGACCTAAACTTGGTAAACGAATCATTCATTTCCGGCAGTGGGAAAATGCCCCTTGTCATGATCGCTTTGTAAATGAGGGACATTATTATTGCGATACAGTTATTTCTTGTCTCACGCCTTAAAGTAATTGTTTTGAATACTACGAAGACAAATTTCAACTACATTCTCGTGAACTTTGCAAAGAACAATCTGTATAATGTGAACAGCCTTAATATGTTTTATGAGGAAAAATATTAGTAAACTTTTTTTTTGTAACAAGACAAAATAAATGTTCCACAGAATATATTTCCTCCTCCCCCCTCCCTCCTTCATTATCCCATCAACGACATTGGTCACGACGTTCTTTTAACTCGATCCGACAACAAAAACCAGCAACAATCAGGACTTGCCTCCTTTCATGTTTGTTGATTTTTCTGTCTGTGTCGCAACACATCAAAAAGTATATGTCTTTTTCTTGAAGTACTTTTCCATTTCGCAACTCTGTCGATGTTCGCAGTTGCCAACTTTTTGCTGATTGATTGGATAAATTTAGCTTGAAGCGGATTTGACATAATCACTTTTCACTCCTGCTGCTCTTATATAAGGGTCATTGTAGGATCTTTATAAGTTCAGAACCGCGTGACTCTTCATAAGCTGGAAGTGAAAGTTTGTTGTTACTATTATTATATATCTGTGTTCTGTAATCATTCAAGGTGTGGAAAATCCTGTGTTTCTACTACATGATCGTTTGTTGATAAACTATTAACTAATTATTTTTTGTTTCATATAGTTTTATCGAAACAGGAGATAAAATGGCGTATTCAATATCATACTATTATGATCCCGACGATTTTGAGATAAAGATTGAAGAAGTTGATACATTGTCTGAGAAAGTTGAGATTCAAAAAAACATTCGTTTTTCTACGATATCTGCGCAGCTTTTACCCGATCCTGATTGGTGTAATAACTTCATGGGAAAGAGAAGCAATCGCAGACGGCGATTGATTTGTAGAAATGGCTATTATTTAGCAGTACATCCTAATGGTACAGTCAAAGGCACGCGTTGTAAAACTGATCCTTACAGTAAGTAAATAATTATGATAACAATGTTTTGTTTTAATACAATTATATCGATCAGTGCATATCTGCATGTAATTCACGTTTTCTACCTATTGTGTGTCTGGTTAATAATCTTATACGATCCTTCTTTTCAATAACTAAGCTTTAAATTTTTGGGTTATATCCAAATATGACTTTAATCTCTTCTGGCTGCTCTATTATAAGTGCTATTACTCGTATTTATCACACTTTGAGATGGAATGTTTTAACGCTTGTGATGAGCATGAATTGTCGACAAGTAAAATGCAAGAAGCATGTTTACATTTTTTTATGAATAGACGTTATTTGCATGGTTTGTGCTGAGAGGGGATTGATGATTTCAATCAATGTGTGCTGACCAACAAACTTTAGCAAGTTGTTCATTGTCGAAAATGTTTGGCTGTACTCGATAACAATCTGCATAATATGAAAGTGCAAGTGCGGTTTCCGAAATTCTATACGTGAGAATTTCCGACGTTTTAAAATATTTATGCATACTCAGCGAGAAGTTCACGAGTGTATTGAAACCGGTAAAAAAAAAAGAGCAAGGTGACAAATATTTGGAAAGTGGTTTTAAGCTGATGAAATTCCGGCGTTTTCACTTCATCTCAAAGTTCAAATTGAACAGTTCCCACTCATAAATTTAGTCTCTAGCATTTAACTGCATGGAGCTTCAATGGAGAAAAACTTTAAGTTGTTTAGTCAAAAAGGTTTCAAGTTACTCTGCTCAAACGTCAAAGTTCATCACAATGCAAAACAACCTTTATTGTTTGAGTCAATGTCAGTGTGTCACTGTCAGTACGCGATGTGGGGGTAGCGACCACTAATGACGTAAATAGTGTAACAAGACAAAACTTATTGTGCACGCAAGCATTGGAAACTGCGAGCAATTTCAATAATATTGTTGTAATGATTGTTCGCCATCACTCACTATTCGTTTATGGTCACATTCAACAACTTCGACAACATTGGGATTGCCAGTTAAGGAATTTATTGCTTCATGCTTAACTTGTCATGTGTTACATAAGGTTGTTATTTGAACTCTACCTTATATTATGTTCGTGTTTTTTTGCCAAACTCAGGGTGAATGACACGGGTTATGTTTCACGAAAGTTTGACCCTTTTATCGCCCTTAACAGCATGAATAATATAACTATATTATGTGCTATGGTCGTGAGCTGTCCGATTCTCGAAGATAACTTACAAAAGCATTACGCATCTGTTTGACGACTTCAGTAAAATATTGGAAAGGATTGCTGTATGACTTTGTCATATATACTATTCAAGTTACACTAAAATCAAAGTTTATATTATTTTGAGTGTAACTTGAGTATTTTATCTGTCTAATAATATTTGGTTCCATGTTTTTGAGCATTAGACAAGACAAATAGTTCAATCAAATTTTTAAAATCTCTATTTTTCATGAAATAAATGTGTGGCTGTCATTTTCGCATAGTTTATAATAAAAAATAAGTTTCAAGTGCAGCTTTAATGATATTAACAACTTTTTACGTGTTTCTGTCTATGTTATAGCAACGTTAGAAATCATATCTGTTGGTGCTGGTTTGGTCAAAATGCTTGGAGTGGAAGCGGAGTTGTTTGTGTCAATAGATGACAGTGGTGTTGTTCGAGCTACAGTAAGTTAACATTCTTATTCCTTTTTCAAACTTCAGATCTCAAAATGTTTCCTTAACGATCCAAGGAGAATAAATTCGTCAAATGTCAATCTATTAACTAGCTACGTTTGGCGATTAGCTCTGAAATTACTTTATTTTATCTCCAAACGAATTTCATATGTTTCATCCTTGCGTTCATGAGATTAATGAGAATATCTAGGCAAGAAGTAAGAACATCTTAAAATATTTTTTCAAGGCCATTGTTTGATGATTATTATATGTTAGGTTAAACACAAGGAAATTTCATTACATTTAACTACCACGTATAGGTACGATTTCTGTAAATTGAATGTTCGTACGTGTAATATCTTATGAAAATTCTCTTTTTTTGCAATCATCACATGGGCACCAATGAAATCTACAGTAGATAACAAATGCGTAAAACAAAAAAAAACATCAATGTTTGAACGTAATTTTTTTGAAAACTGGCTTAGAAACCTTACGTAACTATATGTGAGCAAGTGTGTAATGAACTCTGTTTCAGTTTATTATTCTTATTTAACCTTTGCTGCATGACTCTCCTAGGATTTGCATCACTCATTTTTCACGTGAGGATATTTGTCGCGATTTAGAATCATAGGATGATTATAATATTTGATTTTAAGTGTCTTATGACGATAATTGATATTAACTGAAATATGAGGATAGTTACCGATCTTCTATATCTTATTTAATAGAATTTATTTTTAAGGTTGTAGAAGTCTGAAATTCTTCTCACGAGAATATTTCTCTCAAATTATTTATATTTGTATTTGTTTTGTAGGACGTTGATAGTGAAGAATGTGTTTTTGAAGAAGCTGTTATTGAAAATTTTTTCTCTATTTATCGTTCATGTCGTTATTCCAGTGAAAGATGGCTTGTCTCTCTTGATACAAAAGGCAACGCACTCACGTCGTGGTTAGGAAACAGTCCTTGTCTCGAATCGAGAAGCCACTTTCTTGCTCAAATTATTGGCAATGCGTGATCTTTGATTGCTACAAGCTAATGTATATGCCAATGTATGGCTCACACGCCTTTCACATATTGAAAAAGTTCACAGAAATTCATTCATCTACAAATAGAACTTGGAATGCAGTTGCTGTACTCGAAGGCACTGCTCAAAAGAACAAGAACATATCCCTGCCAATTAAAATATCACAGATGAAATTATTCTTTTCATTTACCTACATCATGCTGTAAATCATAAAAAATAATTACAATAGAAATGAAATGATCGTAACCTTGAAGCTTAGACGCAATGAAAACAACTATTGATGGTTGTGACGTAAAAAAATTATTTATAAAGAAAAATGTTTGTATAGATATTGTAAATCTAATTTATGGTTGACAAGAAAAAAATGTTTTTTGAATATGTACAAGTGAAGCACATTTTCATGATGTTGATAATTCTTATCTGCGATTGTTTATTGTTGCAGTTTGTAACGAAGCTGTTTGAGCACATCAACATATTTCAGAGGTCAAGGGAGCGTTTGAAAAAATGACTAAATAAATAAATACATAATAACTTGGGTGGTAAAACTGTTTTAAAATGTGAAGCAAGGACTGTGTGTCATTAAAAGGTGCTTATAATAGTGATTCACGATCATTCTTTTAATTCAAGGAATTAATTTCTTAATTCCTTAATGCTTGAGTAGCTCCCCTGAACGGTGACCTGCCCCACCAAAGTTGCCCTCAGTAAGAATGTAATGTTATTGCCCAGAAGGGTTCAAACCACCTAATTGAAGTTGTATGTCTGGTTGGGGAGGGGCTCAGGCTTCAATCATAGTTCAAGATTGCATAAGAAACATTTTTGTCTGATTTATTATCTTTCCAAACTATCGTTACATAACGTTTCATAGAATATAGTAACTGTTATGTAGATGTAAAAATTTATATATTAAAGCTTTAAATGGGTGCGTTATGGCAAAATTTGACTTTCTTTTGTCTTTTTTTGTCATGTTGTTGAAGTAAACATCTGATCAGAGAGACGTTCTGGGATAGTTTTTGCCTCATCGATGCTTAATAAAAATCCATAATTTTGAAGATTCTTCGTTTGTTATTTATGTTTAACAACAAATATAACTTTGGAATGAGTTACAACTGTTTCAGTGTAACTTTTTACAGCAATAAGTTAAAAATTTTTTCGTTAACTTTAACTTTTAACCACTTCAAGTTAGAGTATGTAATTAAAACCTAAAATATTAAACCTCGTCAACATGCTTGGAATCATTCGTGTTTTCATTAGTCCACGAGTCTTCATCCAAAACTCTCGAGCGTACGCTACGTGCTTGAACTACGTTCAATTTATCAAGCTATCTTCAACCCGGCGTCGTTGTTTCTCCTCCGTCATGCTTGATTTTGTTTCACTGTTGGAAGGTTCATTATCAAGTATTTCTTCTATTTCAATCAACGAATTATAATACCTGTCATAAATATAAAAGCATTGTTTATGCACAAAATATGCAGATACAAAGTTATGGAGAAAAACAAAAACATCTCTAGAGTTATCACAGATATTACGAGTGGCGTAATAAAGTGTTGATGAGTTTGATATGCATTTGACAAAACAAGCTTAAGATGACAAAGAGCATGCAATAACTATATAATAGAAAATTTACAAAGCGCATATACAAGCACCAATTTCAGAGTTCGCTCCGTCACAAATTAATTGAGAATTAATCTGAGCATGTCAACTGCACCAACTCTCCAAATTCATGGTCATGGCAAAGACCAACTGTATGTACTAGTATCGATTATGGAGTAATTAGTTCGCTCAGTCACAAATTTTCAGATAAATTATCTGCGCATGCGCAGTCTGCTTGAACATGTGCAGTCAACTTGACCAGCTGGCATGCGCAGTAGTGACTTTAATAATACCACAACTTTCGTCAGCCTTTGAATTTGTGTATATATATATATTAAGCTAAAACTTCATTTAGTAGATGTCAACTAGCAGTGGAAGCTAGGTGCGATATAGTATGCAGTGGCTTAGGGGCCCAGACTTCTGTCGCGACGGCACTCTCCCTGCGTACCCCGAGCAAAGCCTATCGCAGGTGATCTCGAGGTCTGATGGGCGGAAGCTTGCTATTGCATTTCCCATGTAGGATAGTGTGGAGGGGCCAAAATCTCCTACCGAAACGTTAACATGCGGCGCTCTAGTGCCTTACGCTCAAGAAGGTATCGGGAAGCATGGACCGAAAACGAGGTTTTTTGCTTTTGAATTTAATCTTTTTGTTTACAAGAGTTCTTCTCATAAAATAAATAAACCAAACAATGTTTCGATTAACTTCTTCTGACACTGTGCCTTTTCTGACACTTATAATTTAAGACAACCTTAAAAATGTTTTAAAAAATTTTTACTGGTTTATATCTTTCTGATTAAACTCTCTCATTTACTCTTTCTCATTTATCACGAGCAAACCATCCATGGGCTTCATGGCAAACAGAATTATCTGTTTCCCTTAATTAATATGAGACACTCTGGTGCTCAACTATCTCGGTATGTCGGCAGGCATGGACCGAAAACGAGATTTTTTGTTTTCAAAATTTTTCTTACTTTTTTACAAGAATTCTTCTCATAAAATAAATTAGAGCAACCAACGATACTGCAAAGGTTCAAACAACTTCTGCCTTTTCGACTTATAATTTAAGCCAACTCTAAGCATTTTTACACGTTTTTTACTTGTTACCTTTTACAATGTAACTTTCTCATAACTCTCTTGTGATGAACGAGAGCCTCTTTATACAATATGACTCACTCATTATTAATGAAAGCATCCATGGGCTTCATGGAAAAAATGGATTATCTACTTTGCTATAATAGTTTCTACATAAGATAACATGTAATAAGCTAGGTAATTTGTATCGTCTAATCGCTTTGAACCATTATGTTATAAAATTTTGTTTCATTTGGGATAGTAAATTACTATTTACCTTACTATATTTTCATGATTCAATCTAGAAAGTAACTTCACTTCTCGAGTAATTTTGCGATTAAACAGCACACTTTTCGGATTCGAAGGATTCTTTTGATCGCATAGAGACAGCCGTCCAACGTATTACATACCTAAGCGTATACAAAGCATTTCCAAATCACGTACAAAATTTCCTTCACATGACCAAATTACCGTCTATTTAAACGATGTTGTATGTAATAAAAAGTTACCTTGACAACTGAAGCAAACCCTCCTTTTTCCAAGCATTTGCCACACCTCAAATTCATTCCGAACTCTTTAATTTCTTCGGGATTTTTGAGAAGGAGAACTGAGGTTTCGGAGACTGTTTTTTTTGCGAAAATTGATGACTATTACACGGTCTTGATGCACGTTACAAAGATAAAATTCGCTAGCAAATTAATTTAACTCCACAGTTCAACTGGTAGAGTGGTGTGGCTTGTAAATAGGAAGAAAGTTTTGAATTTTTGACGTATGAAATTGAAATCACAATCTATTTACAGAGCTCAGTGGGCTTGTCCCTTTTCGAGAGAGCGCAAGAACGAAAGTAGGAAAATCGGGATTTTTATGGTTTTTTAAGGAATCTCGGGATACTTTAAGAGCTCACTTGGGAATTTTAAAAAATAAACAGTTGGCTGTTGGCAACGTATTCCTTGGAAAAAATACGAAACCAAGCCATGTTATGCCACAAGAGGCGCCGAAGCCTAAACACCTTCTCTTGACGTCTTTGCGTTATTTTAGCCGTTAAAATGGTTATAATGATCCTTGTATATTCATCGTAATGGATGAAAACGATGCTGGTATTCTTCAGTTTGCACCATTTTCAAGTGCTGTTGATGCTGGATTTTGGACTTCTTTACAACGCAAGAAGTTAGAAGAGTATCATTTAGATGAATCAAGTAAAACTATTAAAGGGTATTACGCTAATGGTAAGTCTTACTGAATTAGGTTTTCATAATTGCTTTGATTCAAAGAACAAGAGTCTTTTGCTAATTTTGTAGTTAAAAAGTATTGAATTAAGGATATTTTCAAACGTGTAATAATATTCACTTTACTTGTGTATAAAATTTCAGATAATTTAGATGGATTTCAGGCACGATTTAACCTTGATTATGATGCGTTAGATAGGTAGGTCAAAAAATGTATTTTGATGTTGTTTCTGTAGATCTTGAATTTTACATCTTATCCATGACAAAATGTAACAAAATGTTCTAAATATTGTTATTATTAAATTGAAGTCATGGTATAAAGTATCAGAAATAAGGTTGAACTTTTATAAATTTAGTCATAATGTTGGTTTATAAAATTATTTACTTTGTAAATGATAAATTATATTTATCTGGTTTATAATGAAGTCAATGTTATCTTATTGTGTTTTGAAAGCAGAATTACTTTTGGATTAGTTTCAGTACCCAATCTAGTTTATGTACTGTACAAAATTTATGCATAGTGATCTGAAATCAAGTACCAATATGGAAATACTTTTTATAAACTTTTTTAGATCTGACATATGTTCCAAAAATAGATTCATTTGTCATGGGGAACTTCTCAATGCCAATACAATTGAAAATTTCAAAGCCTTCAACAAGCAAAAACTGTTGGAGTCAGTTGGGAAAAAGGCTAGTTTTTGAGTCAGACATTTGTATCTGCATGAAAGAATGAACCTTCATTCTTGCTTGAAATGGGCAGGTCTCTTTAAAACAGTTTCTTTTCTTTTGCATACATATTAGTATGTTAAAATAGTTCACATTTCCATATAGATATGGCAAAGTATTATATCAAAAGAAGCGTTGGAAAAACTAGAACTTCTGAATCAGTTTATTTTGATCACATTTGCTGTAAGTGATGCAATTGTTTATGTTGTTATTCATGTTGTACTACATAAAATTACCAATATCTACCTCTATTGTGCAGCGTGATTTTGTTTTTAAAAAACAGAATTGAAACAGTTTTGTCATCATAAATGTACATAAAGTGAGAAGTCTGGTTATTTTTAGGATTTAAAGAAATATCACTTTTACTATTGGTTTGGATTTCCAGCACTTTGTCCTTCAAATAAAGTGATTTTAAATCATCGTGTAAAAGGGTTGCTTGATGTTTTCACCAAAAACCAGGTTATCTTTGTAATTAGGATCTTTTGAATAAAGGGCCTTTTGTTAAGGGCAATTTTTTCTTTAAATATTTACTTATATGTCATAACAAAGTGCATTGTCTGAAATTCATCTATTAACAATCTTAGATATCAAGTCTTCAGACAGCCATTGATGAAGAAACAAAGAAAAATGGAGGCTAGTGTCTTGTGTTTGAAACTCATTAGCTTGATAGTATTTTCATAGTCTCTAGACTCAGACTAGTATAAAGTATGAAGGCTGAACATTTGGATGCATGCCTTAGAAATAAATGAATGGCAAAATTTCTCCATATGAATCATACAACTATTGCTCTTATAGCAATGCCATATTTTCTTGTGAAGATGGTGAATGATCAAGTCTACATAGATCATGTTAAAAACTGGGAATTGTTTTTTAAGGAGAAAACTAATGTGGTAAGCATGTATGGCATTAGGCTGTTCTCATCTGCAATATAACTCATTTCTGTGTCAGTGATAACATAATTATTTTTTTTCAGGTCACTGTTGGTTTTGCAGACCCTTGTACTTTAAAATCTAATCCTGGTTGGCCTCTGAGAAACTTTTTAGCACTTATTGGTGTGCATTGGTTAGACATAATTTATTGACAGTACATTCATTTCTCAAAGTCTTCGAAAGCTCCGAGAGTGTGTTTTATCATATGGTATTCAGACAAACTATATTTCTCATATTTTGTTTTTACAGGGGAAGAGATTTTGAGACATTGCAAGTGATTTGCTATAGAGATCGTGTGAGATCAGGAATTAGGGAAATTACCCACAGTGTTGTCCTGGAATTTCCAGTGGCATTGTTTCAATCAGGTATTGCATGAAGCCAGCTTCCTCTTTTTGCCCTTTTGTCTTTTTGTCTTTTTTTTCAATCTTATGTAAGAAATCATGCAATTGCCAAGTTCATACATGCTTGTCATAATCTGTGGAAAACAACAGATTTTAAAGAAACTTAATATGGCAAAAATATAAGTATCTGCCCACCAACCATTGATCTTGTATTGCCCCTGTTTACAAGAATTTTTTATATTTTACAAAGGTATTAAAGTAGTTATTATGTATTTAAAATAGTTATATTACTACCTAAATGTGTTGTAGAGTGCCCCAAGTGTGTGGGCTGGGAATTGAATCATCGACAAAAACTAGGTCCTAGGATGGTCAATCTTAGTTTGTCTATGGATCCAAACAAGTAAAGTGCAAATTATTGCTGTTTTATTGTAGGCATTGCGGCCATGTTGATGAAAACATTTGTTTTCTCGTTGGGTTTGTTTTGCAAACAAGATGGATACGTAACTCCATTCAGTAGCCTAGTCAGGCAGCATATTTAATATTCCTGTGTTAATTTTTGAAAATTATCATTATTCATTTCTACAGAAATATTTTGTTTTCACAGTGAGTCCTGAGTAGTAAATACAGAAAATTTTAGTTAGCTTGGCAAATATGAGTGTTAGCTACGCAACCAGAAGTCTCTTAAACCCGTTACTTCTGCCAATGGTTTCACAAATTGCTTTGACATGCAAGTCATTGATGCTTTGAACTGAGATAGTAGTTTTATTAAAAATTTTATTTCTTAAATCAATGGATTCTCCCCTCCACGTGAATGATTAGAGTTAATAAAGAAATATGTTAATGTATAAACCTATTTAATATGGATTCAAATTACATGCCAAAAAAAGAGTGTTAAAACTGTACTATCTTTGGATTCTTTTCGACTTCCTGATCGCTAGCGATAATTTACCATGTAGTTTACGCGTTCACGTGGTAAAATTTTATTATTGATTTATTAGCGAACAATTATAGCCGTTTTGTTGATTTTGGATACCAATTTTTTTGTCGTCAGCGTGGGTGAAACTAATTAATTGAAAAACCAAATTGAATCGAATTCAAAAGTAGATTTCATTTTTATATATTCTGACAGACTTGCTGAATCTGCTGTTGATCTAAACTTGAAACTTATGCGTTGGCGTTTGTTGCCTGAACTAAATCTTGAAAAAGTTTCTCAAACAAAATGTCTCCTGCTTGGTGCTGGAACCTTGGGTTGCAATGTCGCCCGATTGCTTATGGTATGAAGAAATAGTGTGCTACATATGTATCTTTTACTTTTAGTTAAAATATTTTCATTTTAAATAAAACCAAGCGTTTTGTATAGGGTTGGGGTGTACGAGCAATAACGTTTGTTGATAATGGAGTCATCTCTTATTCTAATCCAGTTCGGCAAAGTCTTTTTGAATTTTCTGATTCCAAAAAGGGTAAAGCAGAGACAGCATGCGCTGCTCTTCAAAAGATATTCCCTGGTGTAGTAGGTATCCATATGGAATCACAAAATCAGCAATATTTAACGTTTGTATCCACTTTAGTTTAATTTTTTACTTCTCACACAGCAATTGAACTTCCAGTTTTTTATTAATTATTGGCGTTTTCTTCAATGCTAAAAACGTGAAGTGTCATAAGAATTTTTTTATTAACTATTACTTGAATGCCGGTTAATGAGAATCCTTCAAAATTTTAAATAACAATTAATAATTTGATGAAATTTTAGAAGTCTTCATGGCATAATTTGTCAATACCAATGCCAGGACATCCTGTTTCAAAAAATGGTAAATAAAGCCGTAATCAACCTGAAATAATGAAGTCAACTAACAGTAAACAGTCATTGTAATAAGTACATCTCTTTCAAATTCTGCAGGTAGTGAAGAAAAGTCAGTTCAAGAGACTGTTGAAAAACTCGACAATCTTATTGATGAGCATGACGTCATCTTTCTGTTGTTGGACACGAGAGAAAGTCGATGGTTACCGACCGTTATAGCTGCTTCAAAGAAAAAGGTAAATTAAAGCATTTTAGAAAACGGAGAAGAAACAAGTACTCGTAGAAATCTTCTCTCATCTTGTGAAAAAGTATTTTTTATAATTCTTCGTCGAACTTTGACTGTTTCTTAATGATTTTGTTCTGGTCAAGACTCCATAAAGTACATAGTAATAATTGTAAAACACTATTCACTTTCATAAAATTACTTTTTCGTCAATCTCAATAGAGATTACGGAATGGCGTTATGTGATGGAGATTTTTTCTTTGTTCCATGTTTGAATTCATTTTGACGTTGGAAACTTGTCTATTTCATTTTGATTTGTAGATAGTGATCAACGCGGCATTAGGCTTTGATACATACCTTGTCATGCGTCATGGCTTGAAGAAGTTTTCGGAAACTGAGAATGAAAGTGAAAATTTGAATCCTGTTAAAGTGTCATGCTCGTCAATACCCGGTCATCTGCTTGGTTGCTATTTCTGTAATGACGTCGTCGCCCCTGGTGATGTATGTAAAATAATCATGACGTTTCATAACCTCTAATATTTTATAAATGAATGCCTAAATGAGTAAATGTAAGATTAATAATTTTTAGTCCACCAAAGATCGATCGCTTGATCAGCAATGCACTGTATCAAGACCTGGAATGTCTTACATAGCGAGCGCCATTGCTGTAGAATTACTTGTTTCAATACTTCAACATCCTTCTGGGTCGGTATATGCTATTTTATACCAATTAATATGAGGTGGTGGTGTATCTAATAATTCAGATGTAATTTTATTTACGTACGTAATAACTTCTTACATGTAGTGGTTATGCTACTGCTGACACCAGCGCAGCAGAACAACATTTGACTGCTGACCTGAGTTCGTCTCTCGGATTAGTACCACATCAGGTATAATTCATACTCCTGTTAAGAATATAGTTTGTTATCTACATCACGAAGCTAGTTCATTGACGTTTATTCAACAGTTAAACATTCTTGATAATGCAACGGCCAACTTGGGAACATCTAAATTATGTGATACTATATTATTTTATTCATGCATACGCTCGAATTTTTAACATTGTTGAACATGGATATGAAGAAAAGTAATTACTAATTAGTTCACATGGGCTTAATTTAGATTCGTGGATTTCTGTCAAGATTTCATCAAGTTTTGCCTGCCAGTTTAGCATTTGATAAATGCACTGCATGTTCATTTGTTGTGAGTAAACCAAACGACGGATAAACGTCTTTACTTGTCACTTGTTCCTTGAATGAATATTTAATTTATAAATGTTATTTACAGGTTGTTAACAAGTATGTAGATGAAGGTTTTCCTTTTCTTCTTCGAGCTTTCAACATTCCTAAGTATCTCGAGGATCTTACAGGCTTAACAAAATTAATTGAGGATACGAAATTACTTGAAGTAAGTTGTACAAATGTGTGATGATGATACAAGAAGTCAAATTATCACATAAAATACAGTCATTATTTTTTCAAAAAGAATTTATGTGTATATTTGTGAAGATGATTTTGCATTGGATATACGTCAAGGTAATCTTTTTTGTGTTTTTTTTCAGGTCTGGGAATTAAGTGAAGAAGAAGATGAGTCTGACTAAACTGCATGAAGATCAAACTTTCAATGTTACTTGTTTCAAATAATCTTTTCTTATCAAATATGCGTTTTTATTATGAACAATCTATTTTATCTGCGAAGCATCAAGGCTCCATTCTAATAAATCTTTCATCGCGCCTAGATCAATCATCACGGGTTTTTGTCAGTTGGTTGAAAGTAGGTGGGACTAATGGGTACCTGCTGAAAAAATGCCATTTGACGTTGTTGAGAATATCATCGAGCCTTTTCATTCAAAATCTATTTCTTGTTAAGCTTTAGAATAAATAAGAGTATACGAATGTGACGACTGATGTGAATGATATTTATACTAATCGTCGCACTTTCTAGGCATGTACTAAGTTTTCACTTCTTTTCACGGATATATGTTGTTTTTGCGGGCCTATGTTATGAAGTCATTCAATCCCATTATAACCAGTCCACATTTTTGTTCACGTGCTAAAAGTGTGATCATGCATGCATTGCTCGTAAAGACAAACAAAGCAAAAGCATTAAGTAATATTAATATTGTCTGCTTCATAGTTACGTAAGTCTAACTTCGGAAGATTTTATAAATCTCATAAGTTAGAAAATGGCACATATGCGAAATTTTTGCGCTCACATCAAACTAATGCTGTTTTTTCTGATTGTCCATCACAAAGACTGTGTTGTTGAATGTCGTGAAATCCAATCGTATAGTTCCTTACGATTCTTTGCCATTGGTGACTGGGGAGGTCAGCTTTTTTCACCATATACGACTAAAGTAGAAAGAGCTGTTGCAAAGGAAATGGGAATCATGGCCGACTATTTTAAGCCAGATTTCATTCTTGCTCTTGGTATGTAATTAGCTATTATCGTCTTACTTGATTAATTGATTTCTACGCATTAACAAATGATTGACTCAATACGTCTTGATTTTCTGTTTATTTTGTAGTTATACATTCTTTATGGGGTAATATTTTCCCAAACATGTGACACGTATGGTGCTTTGTTGCGCATTAAGTAATTCGTCGCGTATTACACATTAAGGTCTTAGTTGTTTTGTACCCTTTAAAACTCGTGCAGTGACTTCCAAACATATCCAAGAAACGATTCATTGTGAAGTAACTATTTTCCTTGAATGAAATTTAATTGAAACAATTCGTATTTATTTGAAACTGTGCGTGATGTGCAATGGTTTTTGGAGTCATTTGACTGATGATGATTTAGGTCAGATTACAAAGCCCAATTTCTATATTATTGAAGTTCCTTTAGGACTGGATAAGAGTTTAGGGTCTGCACGCCGGCAAGGGACAAAATAAAATTTGAGCTTTTACAAACTTACCGCTTTCGAGATCAGGCAAATGGCTTAAGCCTAAATCTCATTCATCGCAAAATGTCGGCGATAGGGCTTTTGCGACGTCGGCGAGCGCTTACGATAAATGAGAAAGCATTAAAAATTGTATTTTCGATTTTTTGCGACGGTTGCCGAACATCTGCGCTGCCGTTGCAAGAAACAAAACAGTTTGTTTCTTGCAATTATCATCGATCATTGGTGAGTGCTACTTGCTTAAAAAATCTTTTTGAACAAGAATCTGTTAAGTTGGGCGACTTCGGCGACAACTTATATCACAAACAATTGAATCTGCACAGAAATTATCAACTTTAGATTAAAAGAAGCAATTTTTTTTCTTTGGTATGAATATCAAAGTGCGTTGACTAATATATCATCGCCGATTTATGAGAACCTTTCATGCACTGGCCATTACTGACTATCGGCGATAAACGTCGCCGATACTAGGGACGCTAACCGACACTTTGCAATGAATGAGAACTAGGCTTTATAATTAGGAGATAGGCCAGAGTCAATGCCGCAAAAAAGTATTTCTATTGGCACACGGACACAATTTTGCTACACTAAAAAATTGCATGAATTTTTATGTCATTTAAAAACGTAATAATGACGTGTTATATGAGTGTTCAAAGACACGGATGTAAGAACGTTTTCAGTTTTCACTGCTGGGGGGTGAGTAATGACAAAAATTTTGTCATGAGATTCAGCATTCAGATTATTGAGAGTTGTCATTTCATAGGAATGATTATTTTAAAAAGTCGTCATGTCATGAAAGTCGTTACCTTTTGGGCAGTCTTTTTTGTTCATAATAGGTTATAAATTTTCTGTAGAAAGTGCAAAAAACTATTTGTTGATGTTTGTAAATTTCAAACGATAAAAATGAAATTTTACCAAAATTTCTGCCAACTACCCTGAGAATATTCGAAGGGGCCCTCAGTTCTTACGTCATTGATTATTGCCTACTGGGCTGTAACTTATTGGATTATACGCAATAAGTTGGCTTTAGTGAAGGATTGAAAGTCTCGCACAGTCGCATTCATTCCAGTTGATGTTTCCATATAATCTCTTTGGCTGTTTGTTTACAGATAATTATCTTAAGCTTTCAATAAAACTCATTGAAATATTTTTAACTTGGAAACAAATTTCTGATTCACGGCTAACAGCTGTCAGTTTGTCTTTTTTAGACGCAATTTTGTGTAAAATACCAATTTCTTCTCATTACACTTATCATTATCACCATTTTGTTTGTTTTAGATTTTACGAAACTGTTATACAGCATCTGCACATAAATAAATTCTGCAAAGTTTACAGGGAAAAAGTTTTCTTTTTTTAATTAGTGATAAGAAAATTTGAAGAAATTTCGCAAATGTTCGATGAGTCCACAGACTGATATTTTCAGTTGTTAGACTTTACTGAATGCTCGAAAAAATTTTGCACTAGAGCTGTTTGGTAAAGGCATTTCTCTATAGTGCGATTGAAAACATTCAGAAATAGTGAAATTTAATTCAATATAAGTTAATCAGTGTCAATTACCTCTATGTTTAAACATGTAGGGGATAATTTTTATACGTTTGGTGTGAGAGATGTTGATGATAAAAGATTTCAAGAAACATTTGAAGATGTTTTCACAGCATCTTCACTTCATGTTCCTTGGTATATTTGTGCTGGAAATCATGATCACTATGGTAATGTTTCAGCAGAAATAGCTTATTCTAAGAAATCTAGTCGATGGAACTTTCCTGATTACAATTACACAAAAATATGGACTATTCCAGGCAAGTAATATAATCTTCGTCGTTATCCTTCGGTGGTGTAATATTTCCACGAATTTATTTTTCATCTCCATACATTTCAATCTCCATGTGTAGTTCTTTCCTGGTTAAAATTTATTAAATGCTGCAGCTTATCGGCATTTGTTGATGTCATACAAGTTGTTTTGATACAGGTTCGTCCAGCACCCTACAGATAGTAATGATTGATACAATCATACTTTGTGGAATCAGTGAATCTGGTGATGCCGCGATTCGTCTTCAGGGTATGTTCTATCTTCACATTAATTTTCAACACATTTTTATACTTTACTATATGATTTTTTTCATAAAGATGTAAGACCTATAAAAAGACAAATTAACAAAATGTGTTGTTTAAAAAATAGCTTTGCATTGGTCTACTAACAAACGGTGCTGAAAATACTCAACGAATAAGCAAATAATATCAAATATCGTTTGAACATATATAATTTATTATTAAATATAATAATGTAGGATTGTGTCTGTATTATTATATATGTTAATTCGCTGACTCTCGAGATAATGCTCTATTCATCTCGGCTTCGCCATGTCTTCGCAGATTTCTTAAAGATGTTTTCAATGTTTACGTTAATGAAGGGCCCAAAAATCCAAAAGAGCTCTGGAGCACTGGGCATGGGTTGAGAGGACTCTAGCAAAGTCATCAGCAAATTATCTGTTGGTTGGTGGGCATTATCCTGTATGGTCAATAGCGGAACACGGACCCACCGAATGTTTGCTTAAATCATTGAAGCCTCTTTTAGAAAAATTTCATGTCACTGCTTATCTGTCTGGACATGATCATAATCTTCAGGTATCTAGAACTGACACTGAAAACTTTACATATTTCTTTTCATTCGTCTCTCTGTCTGTGTGTTCTGTTGCCCTGTCGGTGCATATAGCATAAATCGTTGGTGATATTTGAAATGTATATTTATTTCATGTAAAATTTCGTATGAGTCTGGGTCAGGAGCAATTTCTTAGTTCGGATTCATACAGAGATTGTTAATTTATTTTCTTAGGAGTCTTAGCAAGTTGGAAATCATTAGAATTTCGAAATTTACTTCCTTAAATCTTTACTTTTTCAAATAATACAGAAGCACACAATGTATATTGCATATTTGCATTCGGACAGAATTGAAAAACAACACCAAATTTCAATAAAAGTGTATTCAAATGACTGATGATTAATCCTGATCTACGCTGGACCAAATCTCGGAAATTATACTTTAAATTATTGAATCGATGTGTATTATGTTTAAAGGTGAATGATTTGAACTCGAGTTTATCGTGACATGTTTGTAGTTGTTCATTGTCCTGGTTAATGCAATGATGTGAGTGACATTTTGTTGTGGGGACGTCGTCTATAGTCATCTTCACAATTCAGACTTACTCTTCTCATAATTATGAGATTGTACGAAATCTGTTTTGCTGTCATCAATGAAATCTGTCAACCTAAAAATTTCATTGCAACGAAAAAGTCATCGGTGATATTTTCTTTTTAGCATTTAGATGATGGTTCTGGAGTACAGTATATTGTATCTGGCTGCTCTAACTTTGTGAACAATTCAACTGCGCATTTTAATGATGTACCGAAAATGTCATCCAAATTTTTTTGGGCTGACTATTCAAAACTGGGTGGTTTTGCAACATTTCGAGCTACACCTGACGTAATGGATATGACGTTTGTTGATTCAAGAGGAGCATCGTTGTACAGTATTCCTCTCGAACCAAGGATTCTATACTCTAAAGTGAAATTTTGATCCATTAGAGTAGAAAAACTGTAGCTTACATTATACTTTTTTATTCCAATCAAATCATACATTGGCATATTTTTATATACATTTTTCTATTGATACAAATCATAACATTTTTTTGATGACTCAGCAAAGACTAGTGAGAAATTAACTAATAACTTCTTGTCTAGTGTCTAAGAAAGAAAAAAGCGGACTGAAAGTGGGCTTTCACTAGTACAATAGAAATATATCTCTGTGTTTCTCTTGGAAATATCAAGAATTGTGGGTCAAAACGTCTCTATAGAAGCGATGAATTCTTTTGGATTGATTAACAATTTATGCGCCTGCGAAATATAATATTCGGTCAGCAAATCCAGTATAATCCCTGTAAACTTATGTTCTCATCTGATTATGTGTTTCAGACTGAGGAAAAGCAGTATTGTGCATATTTTATTAATCTAAACACTGCATAGTAATTTTGCGTATGTATAGTAAAATTTGTCTAGTTTGCTCTGCGATGGCGATTTTTAATTAAAGATGACAAATTTTCTTGTTTACTATTGCGCGTGCCAGTCTCGCATGTTGAAATATGTACGGTACATTTTTGGCATGTGAATTTCTTGAACTAATATTTATGCTGAATGAATGGAGAAATCTTCTCAAACGCCAACGGAGCTCAATGCCAATGACTTAGCTCTACCTGAAAATTGGAAATTTACTGTTGCAAACGATGGTCGTTTGATTTATTTGAAGTGAGTTGCGTTTTACATTATTATTGTGTAAAATTATACATTATGTCGTCTTACTACAACAAATTTGCTATCATTGGAAATATTGTGCACGTTGTGAAGGCATGTGCAGTGTCTTTTATTGTCAAATGTAAATTTCTATACTCTGATGTTAAGGAATGAGTCATTATTCTACTAATGTTCATTATCTGTGATCATTATATTTTGGTTTTCATGTTTACTATCAAAAGATTTGTTGTACAAATCTGTCAATATAAGTTTTACCGATTACTTAGCGATAAACAAGGTATATTACTTGAGCACACTGATATTATTTCATTGTGATTGAAATGACCTGAATAATGAATATTTCTTTTACTTTGGTTTCACTATGAATTGACATTAAATGCTGAATAATGCTATTTCTTGCATTCATTTTCCGTTTCCTATTTTCAATATTTTCATTGAAAGTTCAACTATGATAACTTATTTTTCTGATTTTAGTAAACTTGATAAAACTTGGTCATGGTTGCCTCCTATCCAAGCTTGGAAAAGCAGACATGGTTTGTCATATGGCTGGGAAATAGCATTTACTTCTGATCAACGAAGATATTATGTGAAGTAAGATACACAAATACATTTTGTATATGATGCGAAACTTTGTACTGTTGTGAACATGTATAATTATCACGAAATTATCCTTTCTGTAAAATTTTCCTTTAAATCAAAATGTAAACAATATGATTGTGTAATGGCAGTGATCAGACCTTAATGACAGCGTGGTAATTGTTTTTGCTATGGTTATGAAAATTGCTTTGCTAAACATAACTGTCTCAAGTCTGCATTGTCAAACCTGAGACTCGTATGAGCTCGTTGAATTTTTACTTTTTACGTAATTGTGAAATTATTTCAAAAGTAGAAATTAGAAACGTAATTTCTCTTAACTATAAATTGTGAGATGCAAAAGCAGTTTTAGCAATTTCGTCTTTCTTCGTGAACTTTGGAGTGTTTTATCTACGTATATGTATTCCGTGAAGTGAATGTATGTTCCGTAAATTGAAAGCGACAATTTTAAATTGTGAGGATGTGTTGTCTTGTAGTATCTGTATGTTTTATTCATATTGTTAGTCATGAATGTTTTAGATTTTTTTCTCGTTTAAATTCTTTGCGGTTATATTGGCAAGGTAAAACATTTAATGCTGATTTTTATTCTGTTCAAATATTTATGCAAAAATTATTTATTTATCTAAATATAAGTTTTATAATACACGTTTTGTAGTTATTCAAATGAAACATAAGTTATAATTCGCTGTTGGTTCACGCTGTTTGATTCTGCGTTCGTGCGTTCTTCCTGAAATTTGAAACTATTTACTGTGCATTTGCATAAAAATCAATTTTCTTATGAATAAAGTCATTCGTTTGAATATATAATCAATATGATGCTGGGTAAAAAGTTTTTTTGAAACTTGAATTGTAATTATAATATAAATATGGTAATACATGAATAGGGTGCTTTAATATTTATTAACCATTTTGAGAAAAGTCTTTGTAAAGTAAATGTAAAAGTCTTTGTTGCTAGTTTTCAGTGAAGAAATTTCAACACATATTTCTTTGCCTGCCATGTAATATTTGGAGAATGCTTAGGATGATGTGTGGTGTAACGTTGATGGATAGGATTCGAAATGAAGAGATTAGAGAAAGAGTTGGTGTTGAGTGTATCAAGAATTGGGTAAGGCGCCAGCGTTTGAGGTGGTTTGGGCACGTGGAAAGGAGGGAAGAAAGTGCTGAAATTCGTAGAACATTGCATATGAATGTTGATGGAGTCCGCAAACGAGGTAGACCGAGAAAGAGATGGATGGATGCTGTGAACAGTGATATGAAGGCGATGGGTATAATGAGAGATATGGCGAGAGATAGAGATGTTTGGCATAGAAAAGTTCATGGACCGATCAACCCCCTAGCGGGGATTAATACTGGCTGGTATACAAATGTATGTTTGTTTGTTTGTTGTTTGTTGCCATGTAATATTTGTATCAGCAAGCAGTTATTATTGTTGTGCTAAAGTAGTTAAGGTCACTTATTTATGCCTTTAAAAGGGGGAAATACTCAATAGTTACTTTCTAATTCTTAGAAAATATTATGTTTACTTTGTTGCTATGATATAGAAAAATATTTTTATTAATTGTGCTTCCTTTAGTCATTTAAAAAAGATGACATACCGAAGTTTGCCTTTGGAACAAGAGTCTAATGAAACAACTGTGGTATGTATTATAGCAATTTTAAAACTCCATAATTTGTTCGTTATGTTATGTCTTCAAATGCAGTAATCAGTCAAGTATTTTTTTTACATGTTTCTTTGAAATTTGAAAAATCCTGCCAAATGAATTTAATCAACCATGCAAGAAAACTTTTTATTCTTACGGCAATTTGTTTTCAAAGAAATGTTTTTCATAACATCATTAATTATAATCAACAGGAGCAGTCAGCCCCTGTACAGGCTGAACCAATATTGTATTATATGCTCAAATGTATGTATGTTATCCTTAAAGCACAATTTTGATGATGAAATTTTGTTGTGGTAATTTGCTTATTTGTGAAAATAGTGCTAGCAACAGCAAAGCTAGTTCACAAGTTTTAGTCCTGCTACATAAATTTCAAATCATTTTCATTACTAATTGCCTTCAAAATTTGTTGTTCAATTATGCAGTGAGTGAACAAGTGAACACAGAAATATTTAGATGGCTAGGCTAGACCAAATTCACTGGCTAGCTACATCATTAATTGCTAGAGTTTTATGTTTAAAAGATTCCCTCTTTATTCCTGATCATTTTCATATTTTATAATTTTATTCTATGCAATTCTAATGTTAGAATTGTTGTTTAACTGTATTGTGTTAATGTTTATTATATATCAAATCAGTCATCTTTTATTTTCCTTAGAATATTTATTTGTCATACAAAGCCATTTTGTCTGTTAAATTGGACAGATTGTAGAATTCTTCCTTTTTATCATCTTTAATACCTTGTACTTTACCTTTGACAATATCAAGATATTTTGCAAGAGCCTATGAGTTTGAAACAATATGTCAAATTTAATTTGTGTTTGCCCAAATGTAGCTATAAAAATGATGTTGCAAATTGAGTTGTGAAATGTTTGATCATTACTACAAACTAACAGGATTGGACTGGCTTCAATCCAGGGGCCTTGACATTTCATCTGTTAAGGGGGCCCTGAACACTCTTCCCACAAAATTTGTAAATTTAGACTTCAGAGCTTCGAGAATACATTCTCACATTTTACGTAAAGATTTTATTGTATTCTGTAGTATAAAATTTTGAAGGATTTACCTTGTCATAAACAACAATTTACGCCACATACATTACAGAACAAGTTCAGATTTCAGAGCAGTTGCTATCTGGGTAATATATTTTAGTACTTCATAAAAAAGAGAATTCTTTCCTATTCCAATTACTTTGACGCTAATAATCAAACTTGCTTTACAATTTTTCTATGTAATAAGGCACACTGGCGCATAAGGCAGTTCTGACCCTGTTAGGCTGTTAACTATACATACAGTCAGCCAACAACTTGAATGTTTATTCATAGTTTTACCAAGGATAGCTTGCGATTATATTTGAATGTGTTTCTTTTAAAAAACAACAATTAAATTCTTTTTACTAAAAATAAATGATGTCCAGTGTTTCTGGAATTTTGTTATTGAGTTTTACTATATAACTATTTTATTATATAACATTTACTATCTGTTAATTTAGATCGCTCCAAGAACTAGAAACATTGTTATTTTACGGCACTCAGATATTGGTGAGTTTTTATACACAAATCTATTTTGAAGATCGCTTCAGACAGTTTTAAGTTGCTAATATTTCTTTGTTTATCGTCCTGTCATTCCTAAAATGTGTGATGATATGATAATATCTGTAGACAAATATAATTCACTATATTTTAACTATATTTCACTATGGCCTAAACGCCCTTTTGAAATTTTTCGAAGTTCACCAAAATAAATACAACAACGCTTTGTTGAATCATTTGAATGGTCATTTTGTTAGCATCAAGACGTTGACTAGTTTGGAATTTATTTTTTATGAATTGCTTCATTGCATCACCGTTTACAGTTTGGGACGAATATAAATGGTTTATATATTATCATGCATGAATATAAATCATTCCCATTAATTGCATTCTCTTTCTGTGTAAATGTTTATTTGTCGTGTATTTGTTATGATTCAATAGGATTTGGTTTTGTTGCTGGAAGTGAAAAACCTGTGCTCATTCGATCCGTCGCTGAAGGTACTAAGGTTTCATTTTAAATTATTGCAAGCGACATGTGTACAAGCGACATGTCTTGTAAGAGTTACGAGACAGGTGTGGTCTTCTTTAAGTAGATATGTCAAAATTTTATTGCACTATCATGCAGTAGAGCGACTAGAAAATTCCATCTTTTTTAAAATATCCTCTGTGCATTGACATTGCTTTAAAGCTTCTTGTAGGCCTGTATAAACAAATTAAATCACCTTTTATTTTTTTATGTTTGAACTACTAACACTCAATTAAAGATCAATGATTTTCTCCCGATGCCATCATATGAATTACCAACAAATTTAGCGCATACTTTCAAAATAATTCGTACCAATCGTAATTTATATATGCAGCGTTATTGATTAGCGATCTGCTTTTGATTTCCCGATTATAGTGTACATAAAAGTAAATATAAATAATCTCTAATTATAAAACTTGTAAACTAATTATTAAATGTATTAATTAGTAATTAAGTTGATCAAAGTGATTCCTTACTTCATGGATGAAATAACAAGTTTTAGCAAAAGTTCAGATTAACTTCAGAATTTCGTTTAGATGGACCTTCAGCAGGGAAACTGCACGCAAATGATCAGATCTTAAAGATAAACGACGAAGATGTTTGTGACCTGCCACAGTCTGAAGTCATTCAACGGATAAAGTAAGTATTTGATAAATGAATATTGATATTTATGATGTAAATTATGTTAATTTATGTCAGTCTCCTCTACGATTCGTGACTATATTTAATTTACTTCAATATCAGACAGTCTGCCCAAGAATTGAATCTTGTCGTTATTGCTAGCGACGACGTTCAAGATGTCCGAAATATTGTAAGTATAGTGGAAACACTTTCCATAAGTATTGTACATATATTGTAAGTATAGTGGAAACACTTTCCATAAGTATTGTACATATATTGTAAGTATAGTGGAAACACTTTCCATAAGTATTGTCCATATATTGTACGTATTGTACATATATTGTAAGTAAAGTGGAAACACTTTCCATAAGTATTGTACATATATTGCATTCCAGCATTCGGTTGCATTTCAAAAGACAAATATGGCTTTTGCTCCATCAACTTTTTTCAAAAAAGTCAATGGTGGACAGTTGTATTAAGCCTTCAAATGGCTTTGTAGCTAATCTGCAACCAACACCAAACGAAATGAGAACAAACTTTTGAAAAAAATGGCCACCAAAAAGGTTAATTATTTGGAATGACCTATTAAAAACATTAATTTCTATTCTATTATTGTGTAAAATACAATATGTTAATATATTTGTATTCTATTATTGTGTAAAATACAATATGTTAATATATTTGTATTCTATTATTGTGTAAAATACAATGTGTTAATATATTACTATTTTATTATTGTGTAAAATGCAATATATTAAAATAACTTTTGATTTTTTCTTGAATATGAAATATTTATAGCAAACTTGGTGAAATGAATGTAACGACATTTCTTATCAACTGATTACATTTTCTTATTTACAGGGACAACGTAAATCCTCCATAATGAGTCGCACTACTAGAGAAAAACGTCGATCTAATCCTGTGAATGTTCGTTTTGCCGATGGACCAGTTCTTGTCGAGTATATAGGAAATCCTAGCAGACAGTCGTTACGACACGTATGTCTTTAGTAGAAATAGAGATGTCGATTTATTAAGATGTTGACTAGTAACAGCGTAAATTTTTTAGTCATCGTTGCCGCTCATCCCCAATGCACTGAAGATTTTCTTGGAAATCGGTCAGACCAGATCATTTCTATATAATTCTTCTACAGTTGTCGAGGTGAATTTATCAAAAAGTCATGATTTTCCTTATATGATTTACTAATATTCAACAGCAAAAAGAACCATTTAGCTCAGGTGGACCATTTGGGACTCTTGAATTTCACTGCACCATCTTAAAAGATAAGCTAAAGCGCAGTTACGTGGAGCAAATTTCAATGCTTTTCATTAAGTCTGTTTTTCTTATAACCATCTCCATCGTCTCCTTCGTCTCTAAACTTACAACGACGACCCAAACGATTGTATTATGGAAACATTTTTTGGAAGATCGAGTTACTGGAGGCAAATGCGATTGTCCCATTTTATGACGATTAAGACATTTATATGAAAACTCGACTTTAAATGTTATCATAATTAAAAGAGTGCGCTCGCCATTTAATAAACGTCATTCAAACTGGAAATGTTTATGCAATGATTCCCTCAATTGAAAAAAATTCAAATGTGATAAGAAAATGTAAATATGTAAGTCTGAGTGAAACCTGAAATCTTCCTTATTACTTTCTTTTAAATGTGTATTTTTCACAGGAACTGTTAATATCGCTGGCTCAAAAAATTGGTATAAAAAAGTTGGATCATTTTTGTATTGTTTTACATTCCACTCAAACATTAAGAGAGTTCATTGTTCGAACTAATGAACGGGTTTCTCAGGTAAATTCAAAATATTCTCCTTAAATATAAAGTCATTGCAAATTTTTATATTGTAAAAAGCCATCTTCTTAAAGCAATGCAACTGTAAATTTTGTTATTGCGTTTTAGATCTATATGCGAAGAAACTGTAGTAGTTCTACCTGGTTATCCAAACTTCTTCTCGTGTGAGTTCAAATTACTAAGTTAAAGTTAACAATAGTTTAATTGCTTGTGTTTCTTCAATGTAACAATTTGAGGCCCTCTGTCAGTTAGTCATTGTTCGCCCTCCAATGTTCCATTAGAAATTAGTTGATGATAGTACATATGATCGTACATATTAATATATATTTTCACTGCTTATGACTTGTGTTCACATAAAGCAATTTCACGTATATGTTTAATTAGAAAGTAGTGGCAAAAAATTTGCCAATTTTAAATGTTTATTCGACTATAAATTTAGCAAAAATCTCATATATTTATGCCAGAATGGATAGTTTAGGATTCACAGCACAAGTTGAAACTAAAATCAATCAGCAATTAGACAAAAAAAAAAAACAGAAGAAGAGCAGTAGAAACTGCATTTTGAATGACTGGAGAAAGCATAAATGAGATGTTTAAAACAATTTTGATTTCACGGGTCCGTTACAAGAAAATATGGAAATTTCATACAATTTGATGTAAAAGAAGTCAACAGAGTACATGCGTAAGTTAAGTTATATTCTGTTTCAACTCACAGCTGACGTGATATATTTTCGTGCAAGAATGCAACCTGTATGTTATTCTGTTGAGAGTATACATCGAAATATTCCTCAACAAATGAATCTTTTTATTTGATTGACAATATACTGAAATTGCAAATTTTTACTGTAATAACATAGATAGTTTTAACTTTGATTACCCGAAAATAAGTTTTTTTTGTTAAATAAATTTATATGAAATTCTTGTAGGGGGGGCCTAATGCTTGCCCCCCTCCCCGTCACTTGACACCTAGACACCCCTCAGTACGCCACTGTTTCGATTCCTTCAATTTCACATTTTTTAGCATATAAAGTCCGAGTTATTTTGTGTTTTTACTCAGATTTGCTCCAAAGGATGTTCATTCATTTCTTAAAGAGGACCCGATTGCGTTTGAGTATTTTTACCAACAGGTAATTCCCTGATTGATGGATGCATCGACATTATATTAGACTTAATAAATTCAAGTTATAAATTATTTCTTGTGAAGATGTGTTCACAAGTTGTTGAAGGTCGTTTTGGTTGGGAGCTAAAATATGACACTGCGATCAAACTAGCAGCGTTGCATCTTCAACAGTATGCCATGGAAGAAAAAAATGGAAAGAATGGAAAAATCTCCGTGAAAAGGATCGAGCGAGAGTTAGGCAGTCTGAGCAATTTTTTACCAAGTGCTCTTATCAATACGATGCAAAAGAAGGATCTTCAAAGGATACTCACGCAGGAAATAAATCAAGCAAGAAATCTGTGTCCACCTGGACAAAAGTACATTTCTCCACAACAAGCTAAATTACAGTATTTGAAAATTTGTAGCGAGATAAAAACCTACGGTGGAAGGCAGTTCAATGCTGTTGTCATTTATTCTGTCGCTGAAGAAAAGAGGGTACGATCAAATCAAGTTACTTTGAATTCGCAAGTGGGGAAATTCTGTGATAGTGTGAATGTTTATTAAAAACAGAACTTTGTACTTTGTAGTCTTGTCACAATCAAATGATCAATTGCGTTGTGTTTGTTGGGCCAAATGTTGGTTTAGCTCAAATATCTAATCTAAAATCGTTTTTGGTAAGTATAATGGTTATTGCAAATGCGTTCGGAATATTTTGTATTTCCATTTGTAAGAGATTGTTTTTGTTGCTTTTTTCTCAGATGGACAAACTTGCGGATTTCCGTGAAATTGATGGTCTTGTAATCACCCCTAATACAGATGGCAAACAAAATGTAAAACTGTTCTTAACCAACGGCAAGGTGCTTGTTGTATAATTTAGAAAGTCATAAAATTGAAGTTTTAACTTCAGCCATCGATACTTTAAAATTTCGTTCGTTTATTGCACGCAGATTTTTTATTTACAGTGTTTAACGATCATCATTGGACCAATTTATGAAACGTGGGACTTTGTGTATTTGATAACTGGTTATCACAAACATTTAGTACGTAATGCTAAACCCCTTTATGTTATTGATATGTTGTCTACTCGTGATGGCGATATTGAACTACCAAATTTGTATGAAGGTATTTCCAACGGCTAATTTCCATTCATATACTTTTAAAAAGCGTTGCAGTATTGATGAGAATATTTTTGTTTGCCAAGTTAGAAATGTTTTATGATTACAGTGCCCTCATATTATGACACACATCGGGTTCTAACGGATGACTGTTATTATATAAAAAACGGCCAAGAAAAGGAGGAAGATTTGAAGAAAATTACATTCGTTCAAAAGCCTTGTTTTACGAATTGTGAGATGTATTCGTTCGTTGATGCAAAAGCAACACAACGGTCAAATTATATTGGAAATGGAACTGTGGACGAACATCTAAGTGTTATGACGAAAGGCCAACTTAATATTGGAAATGGAACTGTGGATGAACATCTAAGTGTTACGGCAAATAGCAACCTTAATTCAATAGAAGAAGAACCTCAGATTCGAACATCAAATGAAAAAATTGATGATTTGCCATCCGTGCAACATGAAATAATTGAAGACTGCGATCTTGAGAAGAAATCATATGTACAATCAAGTGATGATTTATTAACTGTGTCCACTGAGGAATTTTATAATGATGCGTTGATAACGTCTGATGGGAAAGAAATAAGAAATAGTTATGATCATGCAAACGGTGCATTTCAAAATCATGCTTCAATTCATATACAAATTTCTAACAAATCTGACATTGTTTCTGGGAAAGACAATCAATTTGATGTTTCCCAGTCTCCCGAGAAAAGAGTTTTTACTTCAAAAACTAACTTGTCCTCATCATGGACTTCTCCAGTCACATCTTCAAGTTTCATCTTTCTTCGTCAACCATTTTATGAAAAAGTTGATTCAGCAAATCTGAAAAGTACATCTCAAGTTCTTGTTCAAATAACATTCTCTAGTCCGAATGAAAGAAATGAGGAATGTGTTGATTTGACTAATTCTAGTTGCAGCAACGGAATTAGGACTGAGGATAGCGTCATTAATGAAGAAAGAACTGAATGTGTCCATTCACTTCCAGAGACTAAAACAAATGGTATTTTAACGATATCGAGTTTCACCGAAAATAGGCCCGTGTTTACCAATTATATTCCTTGTAACGGTGTCGAAGAAAAGAGTTCTGTAATAGATCATGAACATACAGTAGACGAAGAAGAAGCAGGTGATGGTGAGTATGATTTTGTGATATCTCGCAAGGAAGCTATCGACCGTACGGTGAAAACGTGTTATTTGCTAAAAAGGAGGTTGAGCACCGCTTTACTCTTAAAAAACGCTACTGAAGCGACTAACGAAGTGACGCCTTCTCAACGACAATCAATGATTGCCGAAGTCGATCTTTTGGTGGAATATAGCAAGCAAATTAAACTACAGTCGTCCATATGTGATGAAAATACCGTCGTAAAGTCTATTCTAAGAACAGGGACAGCACTGAAGCAGTTGACTGATTATTGTACTTTTGCCTATAATGGCCAACATGGCTTAAGAAATTTCTGTACAGAATTAGAAAAATTAATTGAAAAACATATTGACGTCTTGATCTCCACAGATATTACAATGGAAATGCACATAAACAAGTGCGACTTAATTTTCAATTCACTTGAATTACTGCGTTTTATTATTAAGAATATGTGACAAATAATATATGATTAAATTACATCTGTACATATGTGCTATAACGACTAAACAAATGACAAAGTTTATGTACAACAAATGGGAAATGATTTGGGAAATTATTATTATATTTCAAAAATATCTTTTAGGAAACTTTCTTGTAAGGTTACCTCTACCGTGAGAATAAAATAAAGTTTTTACTGTGACATAAAATAAAACAATTGTTGTTAATTTTTGTTTGCTACAACGATTTTTTCTCAAGAAGTAAAAAAAACGGGAAGATACCTGTTCGGTAATATTGTAATTGCTTATTATTATCCACTCTAAGCAGAGCTGTTAATGATCATTACCGGCCAGGCCCTGGCGTGCCCCTTCCAAGCGTTAAAGCAAAGCAACCAATTATTGTATGTAAACTGTGGACAACAAGACATCAAGTTGATATTTATATTTTAAACCACAGCTTTTGAAAGATTTTATCAAAAATGTTATATTGAAGTCAACGGATGTTCGCAAAATCGCAAATCCATTCAAGCAAATCCATGTACACAAATCCATTTCAAGCTTACTGTGATGCAACCAAGATTGGGTTACCATGTTCGTCAAAACTGTAGACTTTGGAAGCTTGCGACTCCTGAAACAACAGCACAAGTTGAAAAGAATGGCAGACTACCACTGGTAGTGCCAATTGGAAGTGTTGAATGCATTGTCGAATCAGTATCCTACGAGGACGTGAGACGTTACAGGAAACATGATGTGAAGAAGTACTGCTCAACCGTGCGACAGGACAGCGGGAACAGAATGACCATTGTGGGATGGTTGGTGTGGGCCAGGAGATCCTAACTAACCAACCAAAGCGTTCTTAGCCACGCTAATCGCTACCAGATCAGCCAATCGCGGGCGATACTATGGATTCCCAATCAACGTAACTACCCCCACACTTCCAATAATGACGGGATCCCTTGTTATTTATATACAGTGATAAGCAATCGCTCTGAACTTGTGGTTTAGCTACTCTGCGCGTGCGTGTTGATATTAGCGTAGTTCGTTGAGATGATTGAGATTCCTACAGCCAAACAAAATATTATTTTGTTTAACTATTGATAAAAACATCATTGGTGCTTATGAAGCTCGTTTTTATAACACGTGTACTACTTTGAGTGACAATCGCTGATGTTCAAATTCAGCATGCTAAGTTCTGTGATATTCATGGCGAATATTTAATCATGATTTGAAAAGGCGTGTCACTTCCGTCTTTGAATTTTGAAACTGAAATCTAACCTCAAAATAAGTATGGCGACATCAAGTTGTGGATGGTTATGGAGTTTTGTTTGGATTCTGATCTTACTAGCTATTGCTTGGCCATTGGGACTTGTTGCTGCAATATTCTACGCAATGTTTTCACCGTTTGCGGCGTGTTGCAGTGCATGTGTGGATCTTACTAACTTCTTAAAGAAAGGCATGGAACTACCTTTCAAGGCAGCACAGAATATAGTACAAGGAAGATCTGGATGTTAACAGTTATGAAATATGAATTAGAAAAGAGTAATAAATTGTATTATTCCAATAATTTTTACAAATACTGAGCTATAGAACTAATCCAAGTGCAATAGAGGTCCTGATTTGACAAATTATCAACTTCTAGTAATGATTAATGCACAAGAAGAAGAATAACTAGCGAACATGTTAAATTGTCGGGGATTTCTATCGATTATTTGTTTTAAACATGGCTCCATGTCCTGGAATAATATAATCTGCTATTTTCAAAATTTTTTCTCTGTTGATTTCTTGAATTTTAACATTTTCACTAAGGCTTTTCCATTCATTGTTATCTTTTTCATTTTCAAAAAGATCTCCACACACAACAACCGTGCCATAGTCTTTAACATTTCGAACTAAAACACTCACATCAGCATGTGTGTGACCAGGTGTTGGAATAACTTCTACATTGTTGTCTACAATAAAATTCTTTCCATTTTTAAAATCGTGATCCTGGTAGCTATCACCATACATTATGTCATATCCGACAATAAATTTTGCATTTGGAAATAAATTCAGATTTCCTACATGGTCTATATGACCATGAGTGCAAATAACATAATCAATATTTGAGGGTGATAAGTCATGATCTTGCAAGCATTTAATAATCTTATCTTTGTCTCTTGGGCTTCCTGTATCAACAAGTATCTTGCTTGCACCAGTGATTAACGTACACGTGCCATTTGCTTTGAAATCCCCATTTCTATCTTCGTATGAATATCCTTGCATTAGTACAGAAATTGTGTATGAATCTTTTTCAGGTTGTGCCATTTCCATCTCAATGTTTCATGTTGTGTAAAGAGTATAGTTACATGACGTTGTAATTTCTTTCACTGAATTAACTGACCAATGTACAGCAGGCGCTAATTTGTTTTGATTTGATTGTGGTATGTTACAGAAGTCTGGAGATTTGAACATCGTAAATATTGTCTAGTTTTTACCTTGCGTATGGGAGATTTTAACCCTCGCTTGGTTGAAGATAATCTTCAAACAATAAGCTTGTCATCTGATGATTTATCTGGAGCTTGTGGTAAAATAGATGTTACTATTTTGTACTTTCTATTTGTTAACTGTGATTTTTGTAAACAATTTGAATTACTTTGGAATCAATTTTTGTTTTATTTTCATAGCAAACAGCGCGATAAAGGACAAGCCACTAGATAGCAGCATTGTTATCGGTAAAATATCAATAGTTCATCTTGTCTTAGTCTTAATTGTCTATTAACTAATTAATATTGCTAGTTGATAAAACTAAAAGGAGTAAGGAAAAAAACAAAATACTCTCATGTAAAAAATTTTTTTACAATAGTATTTTTTACTCATTATACCACTTGATTACAGAGGGCAGGCTAAAGGAGGCACTTTGACAAACATATATTTTGTGATAATTATTCAGTTTGTCTATAAATTGAAAGTGATAAGTTTATTGAATATGCAATTTTCCCTTGTTTAGTATTATTATGTTTCTGTTGATGAACTTGCTCATCATTGAAACTGTAGACTTTTTTGTGAGAAGGGTTTGAGCAAAGCTTTTAATGAAGGAAGCATGCATTGGTTTTGTTCCACACAAAGCATATCAGTGTCATATTTTCTTGTGAAGAATTCCTTTTTCTCAATAATATAGTTTTTGTTGTGTTTTAAAACATCAAATATAAGTAGACAATTTGACCTAAGCTTCTTGCTCAAGTGAGGCTCCAAATGCAAAAGAGGTTAAGAAAGGAGAGTGGAAATTTGAGTTGTAAAGTAGTCTTTTTCCTTGGATTATAGAGATAGTCCCTTGGTTCCTATGGTACCCTAAATTGTCTCAATGCCCTGTACCAATGTCATAGTTTTTCTCCTAAATTAGTTAACTGTATTTTCCCCATTGCTATAGTTGAAATACTTCAGTTTATGTGAATTAATGTTCATCAAGTTAATTTAAATAGATTGTTATGCAGATCAATGATGAGCAATATTAATTTTGTTTTTGATTTTCCATGATAATCATATCGTCCTTATACTGAGATCTGCCATTTGAAATGTAGAATGTCTCTACTTAATAGATATGTTTTTAGAATCTGGTATAAGAATATTCATCCTTGTTAATGTTGAATTGAAGATTTTTCACTGAAAAGTATTTGTCTGAAATGTTGAAATTGTTTATCAATAAAAGTTTTAAAATCAACAAATGATGAGTGGACAATTACTAAAGTTTGAAATATTTTAAACATAGATTGACAGTGAATGCCAATTTTTGTCATACTTATCTCTAGACAAATGAAAAAAAAAATATTTAAAAATGGGCAATTCTTCCCCTTCAATCTTTTGTGCGTCTACAGAAAGCTTCATCTGTATAGTTTAGCATTCATTAAATAGGGTTAAGTTAGGGATCAAGGAACCCTAAAATTCTCAGCTGGTAACAGTCTTTCTGACTCTCATAAATATGTCTTTATACAGGTTTTTTTACGTAATCACGATATGCAATACTCAATTTTCTACTCAAATATAATATTACACTTGTAATAGAAGCTTTGTTAATCTATATATTTGTTTTAAAAACAAAGATGAGGAAAAAGAAGAAAAAGCAAAATTGATTACTGAAGTATTAGAACTTCAGAATACACTTGATGGTATGTGTTCTTAACTATAACTGACGTTATTTTGTCAACTTTCGCATAGTTGTAGCTATTATCTCAAATTTTATTTTTAAGTCTGTTTTTTCTATCTTGGATGTAATGTATTAAACACACAGTCAACTCATCTGTATTATATTGAGTTTTTTAATCTTAAATATGATTTAGATTTGTCCTTGAGAGTCGACGCTGTAAAGGATGAGAATCTGAAATTGAAATCAGAAAATCAGGTACTTTTTATTGGCAGTTCTGTCAACGTAGAATGAAATCCAGTATCCACAAGAATTTTGTCAGTACTTTTCCATCAAAGATAGCGGTCAGTTATCAGTTATGAGTTACTTGATCATGCTACGAAGGTCATTTTTATCAATGGAAAGTATTTTATGTTTTTGATGTGTATGTGTTGAGGTTTGTTACTACAGTTGTAGTTCAAGAAAGAGTTTGGGGAAAATGTTCTTAATTTCTTATGCGTGAGTCTAGAAGTGGCTTGCGAAACACATTAAAATCCTTTCTACTTTCCGAATTTTGTTCAGAACTTATTGGTTTATACTTCTGCTGAAAAGTTCACTTAAATAGAGATCTTAATCTCAAATAAAGATTTCAATTTGAAATACGTTAAATTGAACAAACGACGGACGAACAAAGAGTGAAAGAATTGCATGTCAAATGTGCCCTGTAGACGGAATGATTTCATAATGATTGAACTATATGTATTATAAATGTATTTTAAATGACAATCATTAGATTTTAACTGTAATCTATTCACTCTAGGTGGGGTAACTGCGTCTGTGGTTCACTGTTTATATTCTAACGTGTGCGAATAAAATTACCTTAGCTAGAATGTATTTTCAATATATTTTCCATACATGCTGTTTGACTGAAAACTTGTTTAATCAGTTCTGTTAGGCGCGCTGTTCTGATTTACAAGTCTCATTTTAAATTGAATATTTTTAAGTGTGGAACACCAATACGAATTGTAGAACAGCGCACGTTTAGCAACAAGGAGCGCTTTTTGTCGTTAACATTATATTTTTTTTTGACTGATCACCTTCGTTGAAAATGTCTTTGACAAACCGCTTTTACTGTAAATAAATAAAAATCTTCTTATGCTTGCTAACTCTGGGTCTAAAATAGTTTGATACCTTCTAAGGTTCTTGGTCAGTATATTGATAATCTTATGTCGGCGTCAAATGTTTTTCAAGCTACAAATCCTCCAACTAAGAAAAGGTAATTTGTTTGTGTTATCAATGTTTTCCCAACATGTTTTGTGGCCTTTTAAAAGCATTTTTTAGACACTAATCTCTATTCTAAGATTCATAAGCAGATTAACGACCTTTAACGAAATGAATTTGTGTTGTATTATTGTAGGCAGTTACCTTCGAAATCAGCTCGTAAAAAATAGCCGTTTATTTTCAATCTTCCTTCTGTTGTAATTATGGACTCTGCAAGAGATGCTGGTAACATTGTTTCATTGTAATTACTAGTAAAATCAGAGATATTTTAATTCAATTAAAACGTATATCATATAGATTGCTTTAAAAAACCGTATAGTATTCACTGCTTTTCTAATGAAATATTTGGTATTTTGGTCGTTTTTTATTTGACAAATGGGTTCGCATAATTCGAGGTTTGCACCTTGAGGTTCGCATCTTGAGGTTTGCATCTCGAGGTTATCATTTCGAGGTTTGAATCTCGAGGTTTGAATCTCGAGGTTTGAATCTGGAGGTTTGCATCTCAAGGTTTGAATCTCGAGGTTTGCATCTCAAGGTTTGAATCTGGAGGTTTGCATCTCAAGGTTTGAATCTGGAGGTTTGCATCTCAAGGTTTGAATCTGGAGGTTTGCATCTCAAGGTTTGAATCTCAAGGTTTGAATCTGGAGGTTTGCATCTCAAGGTTTGAATCTGGAGGTTTGCATCTCAAGGTTGATTATCAAATCAACCTTAATTGTGTTGGACTCAAAAATGTATATTTTTGTCATTTTTGAGGTTAATATCTGAAAAGGTTTAAATTTTTTTATATTTTATAGAAATAATAGTCAGGATTTAATTTTGGTAGCAAAATGATAACTTTGCCACTTTCAAAGTAAAAGCAACCTATGTCTTCCTCTTTAGTACGACGTATGACTAAACTCTAAACCAAATAGTTGTTAATTGTTAAAGTAGCTAGTACGAATATTTACTAGCTTGGTGAACAGTGAAAAAAATTCTTCAAATAAGATTTTTTTAAAAACTTTGCGTAAGTATGATAAATTTATCGTTGTTATCGATATACACGATTTTTTCATTGTAAATTTGTAATGTAGTTATGTGATGACGTACAACGACCCTCAATGGCATTCAAAGTTCCATGTTCTTATAAATAGAAACATGTTTAAAAATGGAAAGTGCTCTCCTGCATAACTGATGGCAATCGTCTATTGAGTTTTAATGTTGATAGACAAACAGGCTCAATCACATTTAAGTCACAGCTTCACAGCGCGACACTGACATTTTTGCAGGCTCACTCAAATTAGCCTTAAATATCTAACAATATATTGACTATTGAGATGAGTCATTTGTGTCCTTTCATTCATAATAAGCATATAATTGCATTAACCACTTGCATAAATCCATAATGGAGTGGAATAGTATAATATTTTGATAATTTTTACTTCGTCTTCGTGTTTTAATAGTTTTCACGATAAAACCTATTTGATTTCATTATAATTTTCTCATAGCAAAATTTTTATCCGATAAAACTTTGATAGTTTCAAAACAATAGTAATCTAATATTCAGTCTGTAATATAGTGAATCAAATATAACTTCTAATAGTCAAATTAATGCGTTAATTTTGATGGAATAATGAAATATCTACATCTCCATCACCCCACGAACAAATTCTTCGTAGGAGACCTCTCCTTTTGGATTGATATAACCAGAAGTCAAGTTGTCAAATTCTTCATTCGTTAATTTCTCTCCCAGAGTTGTGAGAAGGTTTCTGAGTTCACCGGATGAAACAACGCCATTCAGGTCGCGATCAAAATGACGAAAGCATTCAATGACACCATCAGAAGTTCCTTTATGCCCAAGTTGATCTTGATGCTGTTTCATCAAGCTATAAACGGGAAGAAATTCGCCAAAACTTATCTCTTTTCCTTTGAAATCTTTTGTTATCTTTTTAATATCGGCCTCTGTTGGGTTCGTCTTCATGGCGCGTAGAGCTTCGCCCAACGAACTTATTGCTATCTTCTCTGATCCAGTTGTATCGTAAAGGGAGAATACATCTTTACACAGTAACAATTCTTTATCACTTAGATCGCCCATACTTAACGAAACGTTTAGAACACACTTTCTCGAATACGTATATTATTCTTGGGTGCAATTGTATCCGCTTAGAGAATCAAGACGTCGTAGTCACTCCTACACTAGACAATTGACCTTTGATTGGTAGATTTATTTCCTCCGGAATCATATTTTAAAATGAAACATTATGTAAATCAACAAAGGATGGAATTTACTCGTATATATAAATCATACTTTTAACTCAAATGTTCATGTTTTTTTCAGTCAAAGGAGATTAATAAGCCTTGTGAACCCAGCTGGTATCTTCAATCTTCATTTGCATATACCTCAATATTAGTAGTTAGCATGGCAATGTATTGTTTTCGCCCTCCTTTATAGAGCATTCTCATGCGATAATTTTGGCACTAGGAGTTAGGCTGTATAGGATAACTTTTTCCTTTGAATATTTAAGGCCTTATATGGAAAAGCACGTTTGAAAGGTTTATTTCCGTGGCTATGTTATGACATTCGTCATTTGATTGAGATTGACCAGCATTAAATGACAAATATATTTTAAACAAGTGTACACATTAACTGTTATACATTATAATTATTAATTTTAATTATGTTCGTTTTCTGTATGATATTGTCTCCTTACGAAGAAAGGTGGGGCCCGTGCTTTGATAAAAAACATCGGAAAAACCGCACTACTGGTAATATTTCATAATGGATTTTGCACGACTGATTTTCAGTTAATTCTCTTTATCTCTAGTATTTATATTACAAAAATATTACAAAACCCAGACAGAATTCTTGCACCACAACAATAAATGACATTGAAAACAAATTGAAGAAATACCAACAAACTGCCTGTTGACTGAAATTAAGTCTAAAGAATGATAATCATATGCTTTCCTGGTCTTTGGAATGAAAGGAAATAATTTTTTTTTTACAAGCATTGATTGATCGTTATCTTAAGCATGGATTACAGACATACCTATCTTTATAAAACATATTGTCTCTCTTTGTTTTTGGCTTTCCATACACTAGGTAAGACAAAAATATATGTCCTATAGTACCTAGCAATATATTTATTTAATTCAAAAAAAAGGTTTAATAACGAGGCAGTTGTCAGTATTTCTTGTGAACTACTACTAAAGAATAGTTACAGATGTCTAAATGATACCAGCTCAAATACAGATCTTTACATCATATACTATTCCCTACATTTCACTGAGTCCAGCTCTAAACCATAAGATTAAACTAATGGGTAAGAAATGTCAGGCAGACTTGCCGTCTGTTTATTTATACTTCTACAATATGAAGCTCACATCTGGTTTCAATCTTGTGTCAAACAATGTAAAGAACATTAAAAAAATATTTCTCTTTTGACTAAGCATATCAAATGTAAATACTAGTAATTGAAAATGCTATTTATAATTTCATAGCAAATGTCTTGTAAAAACAAATCAAAAATATCTTTTACTATCTACATAGATGCAACCATAAACATCCAACTAAAAATAGCTTTTTTGGCAATAGATTTCTGCTTAACTAGCCAATTGTCTTGATTCAAGTAAATGGGGTCCAACAATTTTACTCATCTTCAAGATCTTGCAAACATTCATCAATATTGGCCTATGCATGAAGTCAGGTTAGAAATATATAAACAACCCAAGAAATATTTCTGGGTTTGAGTCAGTATACAAAGATAAAGCTCAATCTTATTATAAGACACTCATAAATATAGTTGCATCACATAGACCATCCATACCAACACAACCAAAACAATAACTAAGGATGTACTCAGATTATCAAGGTAAAACCATGGTCAGTGATTCCACAATCTGCTGCTACCTTAAATACAAAGTCATACATATCAATGTAAAACTGGCCAGTGATTTCACCAAATAACTGCTGACACCACTTTGATTTATAACAAGTTTCACTTGTTAATGTTTAGTTTATGCCATTGGTCTCCTAGAGACAAAGCAAAATGATCTTCCACTGAATTTGAAGGTGGTGTAAAATCATTGAATTCTGCCCCAAGACTTCTTCTGAAATGTTCATCAACTACGGGATCTGCATTTACGGATGAAATAGGAAATGATTTAATTTCTTTCCTGTGAGGAATTTGAACATCAGGGACATTGTAACCAACTGGAACACCAACAATTGTATGTGGTCGACGCTGCATATGTGTAGATGTGATTACTGATGTTCTTTGTTGTGGTCTAATTTCTTCATAAAAGCTGCTTCTTGGTGAAACACAAAGCAAAGGAGGTGGACCAGACATTGGTCTTTGAGGAAATGCAGTCTGTTCTTCAGTGCTAAGTATAATAAAATAAATTATTATCAACGCATTGACAAATTTCGCTAGGCAAAAACATATTCATAATCCTAAAAATAAATAGCAATTAAAAAAATGCCACATCATTAGAAAGTATGTATCATATTCTGTCAATTTCAGTGGTCAGCTATGTCAAACATTTCATAGATGAAAGGCATCTGCAAAAATACCAAAATCTCCCAGGTGATAATTGCGTCCACAGCCAAAGCATTGTATTCAAATTTATTGGCACATTCTTTACGAGATAAGAATGTTGTTAATTTATTCGTGAAGTTAGCTCTATTTAATACACTTCACTTTTCTCGTTTGAAAGCATTTCAACCATTTAGTGAGATGTAAAAATAAACGCGAGCGCAGCAAGAAATCCTCCTTGGACTACATTTTTGTTCTTCCTTCTGACTATAAATGGCATGTTAACGTTCGCGTTGATCATATTACAGATATGAGAGATTGAAAACTACTTACAGAGTTTGTGTACCCGCACATTTAACTTTTCTTCTACGAAAAACAACTTGATCCTTTTCTCCCTCTTCAACTTCCATGGCTTGCGTCTCTTTGAATTCTATCGCTTTAGACAAAAGCGTATTTGGTTTAGGAATGAACGAACCTTCCGTTTTGATACCAAAATCTAAAGCGAAAAATACATCAGAATCATATTTCACCGCAGCCGTACTTGTACAGTTTTATCACGAAAGCCATATAAAAGGAAACGAATAGCTATAGCCCTTACACAAAGACACAACAAGCAAAAACTAAGTCTACAATGGTGAAATTATTCCGAGTATGAAATTTGCATGTAACAGATGTTTTGGTTCAATTATAGCCATGATGACACAATATACTTCACGGTATTGATCACTATACGTAGTCATTTTGCTTTTCATGCTTCAATTTTGTATCAAAATTTTACTACTCGCGAACAGGTGTTACAATAATATATAAATGCAAAAATGTTTCAATTAGTTCAAAATTGTGTTGTATTATTGAATAACGAACTATCGGCACTGTTTGGCTGTTTCTTTATTATGAATAGCACAAAAACAAAAGCAAAGCAAATACTTGCCTTCCTCTTTTCTTATGAAACAGGAGAATATGTAAAAAATGAATTTATAGTAATTGCCTTAACAAGAATTCAACTTTGTCTGTACTGCTTTAAATACAAACCTGCAAGCGCCATTAGTAAATACAATGACAACTTAATCCTGACTCAAACTGAAGATTTAATGAGATATATATTTCATCCACAGTCAGTCGAATATTATTTCGAAAACAAGCAATTTTACACAAAATTGCATTGTAGTCAATCCAATCATTTTCATCACAAATCAATTTGGTTTAAACGTTCTAAATACTTACTATCCGACGGTAGTGGTTTGATGATCTCGCATTCCGTTTCTGTTTCAACTAGTGAAGCTGCCCGAGATAATACATCTAAAGATGTTTCAACTTCCATTCCTTCCATAGCTTGAGTCTTTGTTTGTTATCGGTTCACACAGTCGTTGTGTGATTAACAATTTACAAATATATTACTAAAAATTCCAAAGCACAATGAAAGGTAATCACGAATTCCTTGCTGTTTTACTCTTTCATTCAAATGTATTCTAGGAAATATGCACTTCGATACCGTTTGATTCCAAAGGAAGATGTAGTAAAATCACATCAACCGTGGATAAAAAATGTAAAGAGCACAAATCAATGTGTTTGCTCCGCAACTTCGTCAGTCCCAAAGGTGTCGATCACGACTGCTGAATAGAATGTTGCTTACGAAGTTAATGCATGCATACGTTCATGACGTGCTGGTCATTCTGATTGGCTGAAATGAGCATGCCATTCTCGAGATTCTCACCAGTTGGCTCGTCCTTATGACGTCAATAGTCCTTTGCTTCGAAAATATTTTCGAAATAATCCTACAATCTTCCTGCTTGTTTGTACACCATTCTTTTACAACCTTTCAAGACCTGCTCTTATATTGTAGCTCAAATATTATGGTGAGCTCAAACATCGCTGGCGTATGAAACATCTGGAGTAAAACAGATTAATCATTTTTACCCAGGGATACAAACAATCGATCGCAGCTAGATAATTGTTACCTTGACAATGGCCTCATGTGATTATGTGTCGAGTATTTGTTGCTAATAAAGTAAAGGAAACCATTCTAACAAAAGCTGTTTACAAATATATATCGAAATTCTAACTGATAAAATTACCATATTCATATTGTAGCAACATATAATTGTCGAATTTCAATAATTGGTTTCGTCAAGTGTTGTTGGAAAAGTCGCCGGCATATAAGATTGTTACGATACAAACACAAGTTTATGTAGTATAATTGACACAGGATCGTTGATAGATGGTCTACTAATTTTATGTGGAAGTGATCGCACTATTTATAGCATAGCAAAGTGTGTGTAAATAGTTGGCAGGCAAACTGTCTCTACTTTTGGATCGAATTGCAAGCTTCGACAGTCCAAACTTAATATTCCTATGATTTACGGCTTTCTATGATTTAAAAAAAATGAAAATAATTATGTTGCGAAAATTCTTTTACAGTGACTGAAGTAACTTACCATTTAAAAAATACATAATTTTAAAATATGCCAAAAAACTGTTTAACTAAATTTATTTGAGACAAGAACGTTGACCAGTTGACCTGGCAGGAATTTTTGGACTGACGATTTTGACATCACATTTCACTACAACGTTGAAAATGTAAAGCTTCAAAATATGTATCGAGCATAAAACAAAAACAATATTGTATTTCAGGTTGTCTTGCTATGTCAGACATTGCTAAGCTTTTTGAAAACCTTTAAATTGGACCAAAGTTACCATACAAAATCTAAATTACAAACTACATATTGAATAATTAATAGCAAAAAAAACCCAAAACTAAATTTCACGGCACCACAATACGAGCAATTGATTAGACAAGCGCTTTGAAAAAAACAAAATTGAGCAACATTGCATAAACTTCCCGAAGGCGAATACTCCTCGTGCGAAATTCCAGTCCATTCTCAACTGCTTGAAAAGTTTTGCGAAACCCTCATGATTAATTTACATTTACATTTAAATTATTCACTTTTCAAAAGTAAATCATTTCATATTTTTGCAATGATTTTGCATTCAAAAAGGGAGTCAATTTCCTTGATACCCTTGTGTTCTAAATGATTAGAGTACACTAAAAATTTGCTTAATACGTATAAATTATAGAACAATCACATCTAATATAACATATAGAAATTGAATAAGCAAAACAACGAAGTTCAAGAACAGTTCTCACTGTCCAATCTTTTCGATAAAATTTCCCCTACCTTTGGCTCAATAAATCACGTCACGACATTCAACACCTAACACCTTCAACGATACGAGTAACATCTCCTGTTAACTTTCAGTGACACTTCTTATTAACTTTTCGCTCACATCTTGAGATTCGTGTGAAGCTGAGTACGAATTCTGTCGAGTCGAAATCAGGGGTGGAGCCAACAGAGTATAGTTGCATGGATCGTACAATGTAAACTATACGGATGTGTATTGCCAAAATTTTAACAAGAGGAACTCGTTCATATATATTGGCTTACTCGTGAAGAGCAGAGGGAATACAACATACATCGGAATTTGTAATTACTTTACACAATTTGGAGACTTAACCACGGTAAACGAACTAGACAGTACTGCCACTGTGCACCCTGGTTCTGTTTATTTAATCACATTGCTGTGAGCCTGTGACTCGCTGCCATTTTGGTAGTCGCATGCGCTATAAAGGTATGCATGACAAAAAAATTTCAAAGGAATAACCCTGCTAATTTTTTCTTTGCTTTCTCCTACAGGGTAAGCTTAGCTGAAGCCTCTGTCTCTCCTTGGCAATTACATGACATCATACCAAATCATTGAAATCAGCGTCAAAGTAATGAGGAGGGAGTGGGACCGAGAGCGTAGGATCACGTAAGAATCATATGGTAGGAAAATGAGTAGGAGTAGCCAGGAACGACGGCAATGAGGTAATTAACAAAAAGTATGCTAGCAATGTTCCTGTCCTTTCTTCATAAGAAATAAAGTTTCAGGATTTATTATGAATTTACGATGTGTTGTGAATTAGTCAACAATACTTGTTGAATTAAGTTCATGCATAATTATGGCGAGTCGAAGGCTCGGTTATGAACGTGTAGACTTCTATAGAGGGGATGAGCCTTCTACATCGGGAGCAATAAATGAAGATTTTAATGACTTGACAGATCTAGCCGGTGACTATCGCGAGAATGAGCGGTCTAACTCAGATGAAGTAGACGATAATCCAGATCAAAACTTCACATACGATGATTTTGATACAATTGATTGGACTAGAGATAGACAGCAGGACCGAATTCGAATTCGTAGGATGAAAAAATTAGAAAGTGGAACGCTTATTGAAAGACTGATGGAAGCTCACGATGCTTTATCTGGTTGGTTAGTAGTTTTGTTAGTTGGTTTAAGTTGTGGTCTTTTTGCTGGTATTATTGATATTGGTGCTGACTGGATGTTTGACTTAAAAGAAGGAATATGTGTTGGTGAAATATGGTTGAACAAAGAATCATGCTGTTGGGCAGATAATTCTTCATTAACCATACATGATGGTTGCTTACAGTGGAAGAAATGGTCAGAGATTTTCAAAGCAAGTAGTTCAGCTGGTTCCTATGCATCAAACTGCTTTATGTTTACATTCTTTGGTCTTTTATTTGCATTTCTTTGTGTAACCCTTGTTCATACATTTGCTCCATATGCTTGTGGTAGTGGAATTCCTGAGGTACATGAGTATTTTTTAAATTCATTATGTTGAATTTTGTTATTCATAATGATGATTTTTTTATGCTAAATTTTCAAAATTAAGACAAACTTTATATTTATATAACTTTAGAATACATTCTTGTGTTTACATACTGTCTAGATTAAAACAATGCTTGGGGGTTTTATAATCCATGGTTACTTTGGTCTATGGACTTTGATTGTTAAATCTCTTGGCATGATGTTGGCTGTAGCTGCAGGCCTAAGTCTTGGCAAGGAAGGTCCATTGGTTCATGTTGCATGCTGTTGTGGAAATGTATTTGCTAAACTTTTTCCAAAGTATAAAAAAAATGAAGCCAAGAAAAGAGAGGTAAAATAGTTGTATAAATGCTTAGTTTATTGTTTGTTTTGTCATCTTTTATATATGTTTATTATTTAGGTTTTATCAGCAGCATCAGCAGCTGGAGTTTCTGTTGCATTTGGAGCACCAATTGGAGGAGTTCTGTTTAGTCTAGAAGAGGTGATGCATTGATCATTGTATTAATCTAAATTTTACTTACATATCTTTTCACATTTGAAAAATAATGACCCAAAACTTGATTTAAAGGTGAGCTACTATTTTCCAATGAAAACATTATGGAGGTCATTTTTCTGCGCAATGGTGGCTGCAGTAACCTTGAAGTATATGAATCCTTATGGAACAGGAAGACTTGTTTTGTTTTATGTACAATACAACACTCCATGGAAAGTCTTTGAACTTGTTCCTTTTGCTTTGCTTGGTGTGTTTGGGGTATGAATAATATGTTGTCAGTATATAACTCATGGATGGATGAATAAGGGTCTGGTCTGAATAGGAAATCAGATATTTGGGAAGCACCCCCAGGAAATCTGTCCATGGCTTTGGCTATCAACTTGTTTGCATTATTTCATTTCAACTCTCCCAATCTCCTGATTTTAAGAAAATATTACAATGAAAGCAAACAAACTCAATTCAATATTGTTTGTGACTTACGAAAGGCAAAACTAATTTGCTTAAAGCTACATATTTCCAAGTTCCTACCTACTACGTACGTACTAACATAAGAGCAAATCCAAAGATAGTTATTTTTTGTCCTAAGAAAAAAATGGTGTTTGTCTCTAGAAGTTCGTCAGCATACAGGTGCATTGGCACATTTGATTTCTTCCCAATGCCCCCCCTAAATATGCTCAATTACAATGCTTGCAGTAAATGTACAAACTCCTGTTCTTTTTTAAAGTTTAATTTTTGCTGTGGAATGTATTTATGCTTACGGTTTCCATTTAGGGTCTTTTTGGCGTATTTTTTAACAAACTTAATTTATGGTGGTGCAGATTGCGAAAGACTTCAGTTTTAGGAAGATATCCGGTGATTGAGGTAAAACATGTAGCCATTTTAATAATTTCTTTAAAAAATAGATTTGTGGTGATAGTTTCAATCGTGTTGTCTTGGTTTATTGATGATTTCAGTATTTTTTTCAAATTTTACATTGAAATGGAATTTCACTCGCTAAGTGTGCAATGTTGTATTACTAACAACTTACAAAATATTTTTTATTAGTCCTCTGTGCAATGCATACGAATTTTCTATTTTTTAATTAGGTTTTAGTGGTTACTTTGATCACAGCGTTGATAGCATATCCAAATCCATTCACTCGACAGAACACGAGTCTTCTTATTAAAGATTTATTTCAGCAATGTGAACCTGATGATCTTGGTGATTTGTGGTATTATACCGTTTGGTTTCCATATTATATTGTGTAATTTTTCTTGAAAGTGACAACGCGAGTTGCAACGTCTAAGATCAGAGTAAGAAACTTGCAATGCAACAATGTCATTTGTTCTCACGCCCGTTAATTAATACGGTATAGCATCAATTTTTTTTAAAGATTTACTTGGTCTTCGTAAATCATATTTTGATATAAATATCAAGAGATTTCTCTTATAATTATCCTTGGTATACTTACTTGAACTTTGTCTTGTCGTGGTTGGTCGAAGCAATCAGCGTTTTCACACTTCCTATTTGTACTTTCGATTTTCTTTACCTCTTGTTTTAAAGGAATGTTTAAAGCATGGTATTTATGTACAGTTTTTTCAAGGTTTGTAATTTTTTTAGTGATTACAAAGTCAACGCAACTATTAATGTAAACAACCGTCATTACCCTGCTGCTGAAGCTGGAGACGGTGTTATTAAATCAATTTGGCTACTTCTGTTAGCCATGTTATTCAAAGCTGTTATTACAGTTTTTACCTTCGGTATTAAGGTATTTAAAAAGAATTATATGATATTAACGCTGAATTTTTTTAATATCTCCACCACAGTTTAGGGAATATACAGTAGTCTCATTTCGCTGTGCAACTGGCTGCTGTATATTTAATCGGATTACTGGCTGCCGTTTGCCAGATCAGCTCACCTATTTGTCAGAAAAAGCAAGTGACTGGCTGCCACTATGGTAATCACTTGCGCAATGAAATATGCGTGGCACAAAAAAATCAATGGAGTGGGACTACTGTATTTTCTCTACTTCTTTGTCCCCACTATATTTAATTCTTGCAAAGCTTTATGTTTGTGAATATTATTTATTTGGATAGGTTCCAGCAGGTTTGTTTATACCATCAATGGCAGTAGGAGCGTGTATTGGACGTATTACTGGTATAGGAATGGAGCAACTTGTTCTGTGAGTACAGCAACAAATTTAGGAATAAGTTTATCACGTGTTAATCTTAATCTTGTTTTTTCAGTAATTATCCAAAGTTTAGCATATTCAAGATATCATGTAGTAACATTGTTGGCGCATGTGTGCAACCAGGTTTATATGCTATGGTCGGTGCTGCTGCAGCGCTTGGAGGAGTAACGAGGATGACAGGTAAGAAGTAGTATACATCCACTAAAACTTGGCTAACCATAGGAGCTCACATGTGTTATCCTTTTTTTTACAGTATCTTTGGTCGTGATTATGTTTGAATTGACAGGGGGGTTGTTTTACATTGTTCCCATGATGCTTGCTGTTGTTATGAGCAAATGGGTGGCAGACGCATTCGGTAAAGGTGGAATGTATCCTTTCACGTGTATATGTTGTTTATGAAATTACTCATCCGTGCAAAAATCTACTGAATCAAATGGAAAGGCTTCACTGACTTTAATCTTTAAGGGTTTTTTTACGTTAGTGGATTTCGTCAGCTGAACAGGAATTCTTTCTTGACTTTTATTTCAGTTATGATGGACATATTCAGCTCAACATGTATCCATTTCTTGATAATAAAGAAGAGTTTGCTCACACAACTTTAGCTGAAGATGTTGCTCAACCGAAGTTTGTAAAATCAACTTTAGTTAGCGTTGCAGTCTTTGAATGATATTTTTACTACACATTTTGAAATTGTTGAAAACGAAACGCACGAGGTTTAAATTATAAGTTGCATTACGTTATTCCATCATTAAATCAATTTTTTTCTTTGCTCTCTCCCCCCATTCATTTAATCTTTTTCATTGTTTTAACAATGATCTAATTTAATGTTTGCCTTGTTAAATATCTAGAAAACACGAAGCCGGTATAAGTTGTGTGACTAAAGACAGTTCAACAATAGAACAGCTGGGTTAGCATACATTGATCTTTTTTTGATATTTACTCAATTTGGTTCATTCATTACTGATATCCTTATTTTAACACATGCAGAAATTCTGTTGGAGGAAACATATTTTAAAGGATTTCCTGTTGTGGATGACATGGAATATATGCGATTGTATGGTTATGTCAGACGAAAAGAGCTAAAGACGGCATTAGGTGAGGCTATCATTGCTTATCTTGATGGTATATCTGATAGACCCTTGTGTGTTCCAGTTTAGAACAACCGTAATCAACTCTTTTCTCTCCTGCATTGCTACATGCATTAGGTAGCGTAGCTCGAGGTAAATCGTTTTATTTCATGGTTTCGTTTTATTTTCATGTAAAGAGACCGCTCGTTCTAAGAATAATGAGGTCGTCTCAATATCAATTGGCTATTTTACTAAGCACGCTCCACAAAGTGCGATATCTGACCCGCCTCCTGTTAATCTCAGATCAACGTTAGATGAGGTAACACAAGCAGATTTGAAGATGTTTTTAACAATGCTGTTCACAAAAATTTATTTCTAGCTATAATTTCTCTGAAATTCTTTTTATATTTAGAGTCCTCTTCAGGTTACATGTTCAACGCCCATGGAAGTTGTTGTTGAAATGTTTCGTAAATTGGGTTTACGTCAAGTGTTGGTCACCAGTAACGGGTATGTTTATTGTGTTTTACGAGCGAGTTTAGAAATAAAAATGTTCATTCATCGCAGTTTAAACTACATATGCTCGTGGATCGTTTTACTTACAGGCGTTTAACTGGCATAATTACAAAGAAAGATGTCCTAAAACATGTGCAAGTCATGGAGAGGAAGAGAGCTAATATTGTAAGATATGGAACGCTGTAGCTGTTTAATTGCGTCAGTTTCATATCTTTTGTTTAATCATTTTCAATTCATTTATAACATTTACACCTCTTCATGTAGATAGGTCTCTGGCAATTGTGCCACTTTAACTACATTTTAATTTTGTTATGAGAAGTTTTACTGCGATACAATGCCCAGTATTCAATTTGTTTTGTTTGTTAAAATTATATATGTGTAATATATGAAAGATTAATAGTTATTTCTGTATTTGTGTTATACAAATCTTATGACATAATATGGCAGTAATCTTCTAACTTTTTTAAGTGAAAAATGATTACTCAATAACATCCATGTAGATAATTGTACTGTAATTCACATAAGCTGTGATAGTTATAAATAAATAACAAGATGATAATATTGTGATAAGCCAGAATTTGAATCTGTTTGTTAGAATCATTGATGTACTAAACTTGTTGTATTGTTTTTATGTTTACTGTTAGCCTAGCAGTATATAGAGAAAGTCATTTGCACCATACCTCTTAGTAAACAGTTGTGGAATTAAACCACTAGTTTGATCTAAGCTAGCTACAGTGCCAGTATTAATGCTTTAGTGACAGGCAGAAAGAAGGCAACTAAAAACACAAATTCTAATGACTACTCAGACTCAGAGTATCAGAGTGACTAGATCTTTACCACCGATGATAACCATTGCAAGGTGAATATCAGTCAAAGGGAATATAATTCTTTATTCGCCATTTCAACTGATCTTTAGATTCAAGAAATGTGTAAGATAAACTTTTCAATGCAATTATAGCATATAGAGATATAGGAATGTAGCATGAATGGCAATGTTATATTTTTCTTATAAATTCTGCCCTTTCTAGTGTTAATTGAGGACTTTCATTACATGTTACATGGGAACTTTCTTGAAGAAGAAATGAGTACTGACATATTTTAAACATTATCAAGTATAAAATTATACACAGACTTTAACATATCATAATATAAATAATTAAGCCTAGAACGTAGTTTGGAGTGCAGTATAACTGCAAATGTCAGGGCAGTTTATGAGTAAAAAACAATCACTTATACCAAGCTTCTTCTCGTGCTTTTACAATAAATGTTTCAATCTAGTAAAAAAAATGTAATGAAAAAAATTTCATAATACTTAAAAACTACAGATTAATATATAACAATAAAGTAAAAGTAATTCATTTTTCTAGGCCTTACCTTATTAATCAACTTATCATCAGCTTGTATTTTTTCTTCTTTCATTACTTCATATAAGTTTTCAACTCCAACTCTTGAGACAGTTAAAAAGGTTGTTAATTTTGATCAATTATGTTATTTTACATTGCATTTAAGTACCTGTCATTGTATTTGATAAGCAAATCAAATGCCTCCACATAAAAGTCCAATCCAGGTGCTTTAGGTGGGTTTGAAAAATACATTTCTTGCACCTAGAATTGATGATTCAAAAAAATAGTTAAGAATTTTTTTCTATTTTTGGTTAATGATCAAATATAAACTGACAACATTTATACTGTAAAGAATATTTGTGTATGTGATATATATTTATGTACCTTTTCCAAAAGTGTTCTTCGTTGAAGTATTTCCTCTTCAGTTACCTAAAAATAGTATTAATACACACTTTGCACTTTGATTTAAGAAGTATAAAAAGATTTTGAATGAAAACTGAGTCATTAAAGAATCAACATCATTAAAGATGAAAAATAAAAATGTTTTAAAGTACTTAATTAGCAATGGCATTACAAGATGAAATACGTTAATCTTAAAAATTAGTTGACAATATTTAAGTTTTTATAAATGCAAGGGAGAGTTTCTTAGAGGAGTAACCAACATAATCATATACCTACCACTTTTTGCTCAGGAATTTCACCATGTAACCATCTAATAAACCATGATTTAGTATTGATTTCTGTCTCTGATGCACCTCCTTCTTCAGTCGATGTTGTTGAATGGAAACGTTTTAAAAAGGTTGAAAGCACACATTGCTTTCTGATGTTAAAGGCTGTATAAAACGACAAAAGAGCAACGTATCTGTCTCAGTTTACGTTGTGCATGATAATGGAGTTAGAAAAAAATACTGATATTTACACAAGTTTTAACTTGTCCATAAAAATAAAAAATGCCCTGTATTTTACTCACATTGATATCCATTTCTTGTAAGTGAAGAAATTGGCAGAGACAGACACCGTCTAGCGTGTAGTAGAACATTGCCCGAAATCACAGGAATGACTAACCGAACAGCTGCCATTTTGGTACTTGGGACCTCATCAAAGGCAGGGGGGGCGATGAACCTCATCAAGCAGGAAAGAGGGGGGAGGAGGCTGATGTTGTTGGTGCTGTTAAGTGTAAACTGCTTTCAGTGACAGTGCTTTGTCATACTTGTAAGAATTTTTTAAACAGAGGAGAAAGCTTGATTTTGAAAGCAAGATGGAATTCCCTGGCCTAGGAAAACATTGTTCATTAGCTTCCTGTAAACGTTTGGGTAATATTGAAGTACATGTTATTAATGTTAACTGACGGTTTAGAAGAATAGCGTAAAGAGTGAAACTGAAGGAGAAAATTTCCCTTGTGTCAAGCTGTTCAAATTTGTATTTATTTTAAACAATCAATTTTTAGATTTTCTCCCAATGAATTGTGATGCTTGTAATAAAACATTTTGGTAAGTCGAGTGTCGTTTAGTTGTTCGCAAATTCAAACACGAAGTGTGTTTTTTGTCAGAAACTCAGAATTGAAAATCTAACTAAGCCTTAGGTGGTTGTGGTAATATTCTCAGATTGAAATAATTTTAATTTTGACCGCATGTTTTATGTTTGTAATGTGATTTTTTGTACGTAGACACCTTACGTGGTAACAGTTTTATCTTATCTTTTGAATTTCTTTGTTTACTTCGTTTGTTTTATTATAAATTTTTTGGTTTAGTAGTGAACATATTTCCTATAATACACACAACTGCCAAAGTGCCTATAAAAAGGTATGTTTAGTTGCATACATAAAAGGTATGCTTAGTGGCATACAGCTTATAAATACAATACATAAATGAAAATTATTTATTAGCTGTTATTTTACTAAGGAAAGTTTTGCTGTGTTTGACATAGGATGTCCAAGTTCCAGTGTGTCCTCTTTGTAACAAACCAATACCTGTAAAGCGTGGAGAACCGCCTGATATTAAGGTTTTTATCTCCTCTGCTTCAAGTTTTTTTAGTTATATTGAAAGATATATATATACTGAAGTACGCAAGTATGCTTGTTTTACTTTACTTTTTTTACTTTGTTATTTTTCTTTACTTTTTGCTTTTCTACTTGACTGACTTGTTTTTTAGACACACTGAAGATACACTTTTAGACACATTGAATAAAATACAGCTAGAAAGCAGTTTTGATGATTAATATTGTAACCAATGATTATCAATATTGCGCTAATTTTATCATCAATATGGAAGCCATTGATTATCAATATTAAAGCCAATTAATGATTATGATAAGTATCAATTTGTTTTACATTATAGGTTGGAGAGCACATAGACCGTGACTGTTTATCAGACCCTGCAAAAGAAAACCGAAAAGTAAAGCTTGAATAAATTCATATGAACTGTATCATGCTTTGTGTTATTTTCTGTAAAACAATAACTTATGCAACATATGTTTTTCAACTAGCTGAATGCCAACAGATGCTCTGCTAAAGGATGTAAGAAAAGAGAAGTATGTGTAATAACAATTATACAAGAACTATGGATAGTTTACAAAGGTTCAAAGCACTTGCTTATTGGATAGTAGTGGTAAATTATAAAATTATATTGTACACGCTTGATCAAATGATATAAATTAAAAGAAACAAATTCTAAAATAATTTTGATAAAATCACAAATTTATGAGATTTTTTAGAAGTTGTATTTCATGAGCCAGATAAGATAAAATCTTTGTTGCATTTGTTATTAGTAGGAGTTAAAAGCCACAAAAATCATCATATAGTTTGTGCTATTAAAGTTTTATGCAACCACTTGTATTTAAAGATTTATCCATGAAGATATTTTGCAATAATTTATTATTATTAAGGGAAACAGAGAAAAATGACATAAATCTAACATTTCAAGAATGATTAATATTTGAAAATGATGTTTAAATGAAGGAGTGTTGTATATACTGAAGAGTGCTGTAAATACTGAGGAGTTTTTTTATACTAAGGAGTGTTGTGAATACGAAAGATTATTGTGAATACTGAGGAGTATTGTGAATACAAATGAGTGATATTGTGAATATTAAGGAGTGTTGTGAATACTGAGGAGTTTTTTTATACTAAGGAGTGTTGTGAATATGAAAGATTATTGTGAATACTGAGGAGTATTGTGAATACAAATGAGTGATATTGTGAATATTAAGGAGTGTTGTGAATACGAAAGATTATTGTGAATACTGAGGAGTATTGTGAATACAAATGAGTGATATTGTGAATATTAAGGAGTGTTGTGAATACTGAGGAGTTTCTGTAGTACTAAGGATTGTTCTTGATGTACTTAGTGAATATTTGAACAGGTTTCAGAGCCATGCTTGTACATCTCAGGTTTGATATCAATTTAGTGATAACTATGAAATAAGCGACAAAAGAGCTGCAGTGTTATATGTTTGTAAAATTATTCCTAAATTGCAGCTAGTCCCTATTACCTGTCCATCCTGTAGGAGAAATTATTGCTTACGTCATCGACATCCTCAAGATCACAACTGTACAACTGCAAAGTCTACTAATTATTTGTAAGTTTTTTTGAAATATGTTTAGTTCAATTGATTTGTAGCTTTTAACTGTTCCATATTTACACAGGAAATTGAAAAATACAAACACAAAGTTTGATGGAGGGAGTCAAAATGTTTTGAAAAACAAACCGCAACAAACACCATTGAGCGTGTTAGGCAGAGATCTTGATAGGTATCATATTTCATGGTGAAATCAACTTGGTAGCATTATAATCTGAAGACTGATTGCCCTCTATTATCTTGTTGATTTAGATTAAGAAGAGAGCGTGCTGGCCAACAAAATGTTCAAAGATCAAATGATAAACAACAACAGTCAACACTTGTGAGAGTTTGTTTAAAATAAATACACAATTTTTATTACATAATGTCAAATAAATGATTGCAAACGCTGTTTTTTTTATTCAATGTTTCACCGTATTTTTTGACAGACAGAAGATGAAGCTTTGGCTTTAGCAATTCAAGCGTCACTTTCAGCATCAAGTACATCACCCACTTTGAAAAATAAATTTTCATCTACTCTAGAAGAGGAAGATCATGCTTTGGCAAAGGCAATAGCAGATTCAGAAAAAGAAGAAAGAGAAAGAAGGAGGCGACAGCAATCGGCCCAACAATCGGTACAGTCTTCATCTATAAATATCTCTTTTATGAAATTTCCTTTATTGTGTGTTATCACAGATATTGTTTTTAAATGAAGTGGTTGAATGCAATGAATAGCCAGAATAAATGCTTTACTTAATTTGAATGAACAGAGGTGGGTGGGGTTGTAGATGTCACTGTGACTATTTTAAACCATATCTATACATAATGAGAAAAGTGATAGCGGTTTGATTGACAGGTATACTGGCGAGAATGAGGCTTTTGTTGTGAGTCGTCAATTTTTCTTGCAACTCGAATTCATCTTGCATTTCATTGAAATCATTTTCGTAACAAAAATAAAATCGATGTCAAGTTTTACGCTATTTTTCACAACATGGATTACAGCAAATTGTACAGCTCAAACTAGCAATTTTAACACCGACGTTTGTCATATACGTACTTTCTCCGATCAGAATTTATCATCAAAATTTTTACATTTTTTTCCAGAGTCAAAATGGAGAAAACAGTTCATGCACTGTTTCATGAAAAAATATGGTACAATACAATCAAAACGCTACGACAGCGCCAATTAATTATTCCAATCATTTTAACGTATAATTAAAATAAAAGTAATATTGCTGCCAAAGTAATTAGATAGGTATCAAATTGACTATCAATGTATCATGGTCTTCTGTGTAAATTGCTCAGTATACATATTACATTTAAGTATTTTTGTTTTTTAATGTTCCTAACCATTTACGTAAAAACTATGGTGAAATCAATGGAATTTCATAAAATTTCTATTCCAAATACAATACCTAAATACTCTGTTGGGAAGTAATGGTGAAAAATGAGTCACTCGCAATTATCAACGAGAAGATTTTTTGGTGGTTCTCGATCTCAAGGCAATAAAACAACACTTACTCCATTTCTTTTATTTTGCCATGTAGTCTTACTTTTTTTGCTTGATTTTGAATGAGGGTTTATTAGAAGAGGGAGGGCTGAGGAAGTGAATAAGAGACAACAAACAAAACAAACAACATTTGTATACCGGCCAGTATTAATCCCCGCCAGGGGGGTTGACCGGTCCATGAATTTTTCTACGCCAAACGTCTCTATCTCTCGCCATATCTCTCGTTATACCCATCGCCTTCATATCACTGTTCACAGCATCCATCCATCTCCTTCTCGGTCTACCTCGTTTGCGGACTCCATCAACATTCATATGCAACGTTCTACAATTTCAGCACTTTCTTCCCTCCTTTCCACATGCCCAAACCACCTCAAACGCTGGCGCCTTACCCAATTCTCGATACACTCAACACCAACTCTTTCTAATCTCTTCACTTCGAATCCTATCCATCAACGTTACACCACACATCATCCTAAGCATTCTCCTTTCCGTCGACGCCAATCTTCTCAGGTCCTCTGCTTCCGGCGCCCAACACTCTGCTCCATATCCCAAAACACTTCTAACACATGCCTTGTACAATTCTCCCTTGCTTCAACTCGACTTTCGCACAACTTCTCTAAAACTCTCACCACGCTGCTTGAACTCTGTTCTCACCGCTTGCTCGCACCCTCCACCATCATTTAACACATCGCCCAGATATTTTCCGATACACCTTCCAAACTCACGTCACCCAGTTCGTTCAATCCGACTTCCATCCACTTCCACGTCCCGCACTCAAAATCAGTTCTCTTTCAATGCACCCACACCAGCATCTTTCCTGCTTCCCACACATTATCGAATTCACTCCAACTCTTTTCCCACACACACCACATGGCCATTTATCACTGTCCTTCACCTCCACCTGCCTCGAGCATTTCATGCCCTTCGTCTTGGCCTCATTCACTTTTAGTCCCTTGACTTCTATTGCCGTTTTCCATTCTCGGAACCATTCCATGACTTTCTGCTTCGACTCCGCCAACAAGACAATGTCATCTGCATACAACAAACACCAGCATCCTTTTCTTCTCACTTCCTCTGTCAGTACATCCATCACACAAGCAAACAGTAACGGCGACAAGACTGAACCTTGATGAACACCAACTTTTACCTCAAAAACACCAGATCTAACACCTTCCTCCGTAACCACCGAAGTGAATAAGAGAATGAGTTGTTAATGGACAGAACTTCAATAAAAGCTTTAAAAATATTAGATCATTGAAAATCAGCACGATGTTGATGCAAAGCTGAGCACCTTAGAATACAGATTGTTTTATCATGGAATGCCCTTCAAAGATAAACAAGGTGCTTCAGCATCATTTTAAGGTACAAATGCATGAGTAACTCAATAACTATCTCTATTTCTATCTGTATTTTGGTGTGTGCCTTCTTTGTCATACTTTTTGAATGTATTGTTTGCAATCAGTAATGTTGCTCCCAAAGGTTACAATTGCTTTCTTTGTCAACAAATTTCATTGTGAACAACTTGCTAAGGTTTGACAGGATTTTAATACAATAAATCTAAGATATTTTTGCACTATGGTTGAACATATTTAATATCAAATACACAAACATGTATTTATCATACAAGAGGTGCCATTTTTCTTACACAATATAGATTGATGTATTATAACTATATATATATGAATACAATTATTTATTAGACAGACTTATATACATGTGATCCTCAACAATTGGATTGGAGCAACCAACTTCAAACTGTCCAAGATACATGTTCATTTGCTGGATAATAACTGTTCATTATCACTTCTTCTTAAATGGATCTGACCATACTTTCATTCCTACCAATAAACAGGTAGAAAACTAGTTGAAGATTGTATAAAAACTTGATAAAGTTTTTTGTAACTGTTAACAATTAATATCCTTTTTCCAAATTATGGCATGATCATTTACGAACCTCCTGGTTGGATGTCTTCTTTGCTTGTTTCTTTTCTATTTGCTTCTTGCATTTTCTCTATTGTATTAAAACAATTTAAACTTTCATTTGATTAAATTAATGAGCAGACACATGAGGATTTAAGAACAAAACGAAATGATAAGGAATTTTAATGTTTGCTTATGCCTTCCCACGGTAAAATAGGTAAAACAAGTATTTTAATACACAAAAACGTACGGTATTTTTGGGGGAAAAGTTTAGGATGAATGGCAACTGGGTAAATGGCTATACCAATAGCGGCAACAACTCCCCCTATCACCAGCAATCCGTTTGTTGTGTTTGGCATGAATTAAAACTATATTCTTGACTTTACCGTGGGTAAAGTGTGACGACTAAAATTGTTTCAATAACCTAAATAAAGAAATTTTGTATGAAAATAGAACTTCTCATAGAAATAGACATTGTATTGAAGAAGAACTGAAGAAAAAATAACAATAACCGAAACTTTGCCGTTCTTTTTAGTGCGTGTTTTAACGATTTTGTGACATCCAAGCGTGTATTTTTTTCGTTATTTGCATTTTTCCCTTCCAGGTTCTTTGCAGTGGTTGGCTTCACTTCACCAACCGTACAGTCAGTGGTTCTTTTTAACTTCTTTGTTTGCAGTGGTTCAAAGTTGTCGAGACTGTTAATCATTGAATAGCCATTTGACTCTACATTTGATTAAAATGTCAACCAAGGAATCCTCAGAAAAAGTAAACAATCCTCGCTGTTTTTTTGATGTTTCAATTGGCGGTATATCAGGTATTCATAAATACACGTGCTGCATATTTCCTCTGAAAAATGAAAGTATAATTATTAGTCATAAATAAAGAAGAAGCTATTTCAAATAACTTGCATTAAATATAAATAAAAATAAATAAAATATGTATACAAGATAAAAAATTGTACAAGTAAGGTCTGAGCTTCTTATGACTTTACTCCTCTCCACTTGTTGACCTGTTTTTAATAAATTAACTCTGTTGCTGCTACTAACTGTAGCTGTTTAGCAAAGGAAATATTGCACATTTACACACCCACATCCTCATGATCAATGCAAGACAGCTAAACTCCACTCTTACATCCTGTGTCCTAAGTACAGGAGTCACTATTTCATTATTGTGATAGTAGGAAGAGCACATTGTGTTATGCTTTGTATCTATATGAAATCTTCATTTTTGAAATTTATTTATTTCTCATATCTAATATCAAATATATTGTGTTTTTATGGTTTTCTTTACCTACTTGTTTTTCTTGTACTTTTCAACAAGCAATTCTTTGCATTTTCCCTGTTTAGTCTGTTTAGTAGCCTTCAGACTGGGGTTGATGTTGCCATACAATTCTGGCAAACTTCTTAGCACCATAGTTAAAAGATTTTTGATGATACATGCAATATTATCTACGCAAATTGCTTTGTTTAGGTTTCCCAATGCGCATGAAAATTGATTTTCTACAGTTAACATTTCTCCCTGTAATTTATCATCAATTAATGAGTGTTATGCTTGTTTGAAATTCGCACATTGCACACTGTTAATTCACACAATGTCATCTAACAATACTTCAAATTTGTTAAATTTGTCAATATTTAAATGGGAAATTAATTTTCCATGTTTTTTATTTTTCTGAAAGTATTTGTTTTATGTTTAGAGGGAAGAATATATTTTGAGCTGTTTGCTGATGTCTGTCCAAAAACTGCTGAAAATTTCAGGTCATTGTGTGTGGGAGATAAAGGAAATGGTCAATCAACTGGAAAACCACTGCATTTCAAAAACTGCCCTTTCCATCGAAGTATGAAACATTTAAAAGATGATATTGAATATTCTAATTTATGCATATTCATCATGACACGATATGTTTTTGGTTATTTTAGTCATGAAAGATTTCATGGTTCAAGGTGGTGATTTCTCAAATCATAATGGGACGGGTGGTGAGTCCATTTATGGTGAAAAATTTGAAGATGAAAATTTTCAGCTCAAGGTATTAGAATCACTTTTTTTACCTTTAAAGTAAATTTCAACTTCCAATTTGTTGTCTGTTAATTATGCAGCATGATCAACCTGGATTGTTGTCCATGGCAAATGCTGGTCCAAACACAAATGGTTCTCAATTCTTTATAACATGCAAAGCCACAACTCATCTTGATGGAAAGCATGTTGTTTTTGGTAAAGTTATCAAAGGAATGCAGATTGTTCGTAAACTAGAAAATGTAGAAAAAGATGGAGAAACACCTAAAAAGGTTGGTAAAATATTTTAATATCAGTGCAATTATTTTCAATCAATTTTCTTGCAAGACAACTGTTATCAACAGATAATTCAATCTCAATTGAGAACAACTTTAACCAATTTTAAACAGATAATAAATAGGCTGTTGCGGTGCATCAAAATATCGATATACCAAAAATATTGAAAAAAATAACGAAATATTCGGTGTTACGATATATTTAGTTGTTATAGATAGTTTTTAATGTTTTTTAATGGTTTTTAATGTCTTTATAGCAGTTTTTAAATGGTTTTCTACGTATACTATTAGACAATCTTTTCCCTAACACATGTGCATGGCAATTGTTTGCTAAGTTTCAACAATTTGATCTATGAGTCATAAATAGCACATAAAAGAACTGACAAATTTGTGAGTGTTCAGTTGATAAGCAAATAAATTTATTGGAAGGTTTTTTTAATACAAAATGAATTAAAATTTTATAACATTCAGGTTGAAAGTAGAGCTCATTTTATGGTGTGGCTTACCAAATGTTGTCATTGTAAAACGTTTAAAGTCTAGGACTTTTTCAGCATTAAATGATAGTTCTTGTTTGTCTTGAAGATCAGACATGGTTTGTTTGTGATACATGAAACAGTAAATGAGAGTACAGAATTAAAAAAAAACAGTACACTTGTTAAATCCTGTTAATATTTATTATTGGCATGTTGTGTGTCTTCCTCAGCTTTCCTCAGCTTGTTCAACAAATGCATTTTCAAACTTGTTACCTCAATGACGTACCCCCACCATGACCATGTGTAAAAGCAGGATAGCCAATCCACAACTATAGACATTACACTGTGGACAAGACAGCAAGTGGTTATTTTGACTATATCTGTAAAAAGGTGGGGTATATCTGAATGAGATGTGGGGTATATCTTTATGTGTCGTGGGGTATATTTGTATGGGCAAAAACAAAATGAAAGAAATAAGGTTTTGTATTGTGTACGTAAATGAAATATTTTGAATTTTGAAGGCATGTGTGATAGCAGATTGTGGTGAAATTCCAGCCGACGAGGATATATTTGCTATGAAAGATGATGGGACTGGAGATGTTTATTCTGACTATCCAGAAGAATCAAATATTGATTTCAGTAACGTATGTATAACACATCATTTAAATTACAACTCATTATTGACGAAGTTTTGCCGACTTGTACGTCAGAACCATTGTAATAGATTCAACTTTGTTGGAATGTTCAAAAAATTCGTTATTGAAAATATTTACGTTGATTGGTCAATTTGTGCATTCCTAGTTCAATGAAGTTGCTGACGTAGCAGAAGTAATAAAAAAAATTGGAAATGAGCAATTTAAGCTGGGAAATTATGAAATAGCTCTGAAAAAATATTTAAAAGCTCAGAGGTATGAAAAAAATGTGCGAATGAAAGTGCTTGAAAAAGATTTAGGATGAGTTAATAAGTATCCTTTCCTACTCTAGATTTATGGATTGAATTTATAACCATCCTTTCCTCCTTTAGATATATGGATCGAGTTTTCAACAATCCTTTCGTATTTTAGATATATGGATCAAATTGATTCTGACGTTTCCTCAACAGATGAAGAGGAAGAGAAGAAAAATACGAATGAAAGTGCAAATGAAGAAAATGTTAAACGCCATAAGTCGATAGTCATGCCTTGTTACTTGAACAGGTTAGAAAATTCAGTTTTATAGACATTATTGTTATGAATATGAAGTAGTTCTGATAAAAAATCACAAAATATTCTGAAGATGCATTAAATTATTCTTTAAATAACTAATTTTAGTGCTGCGTGTTATCTCAAATTAAAGAATAATGAAGAAGCTGTGAACAGTTGCAGTGAAGTAACTATTTATGTGCTAAAGTATAGTTCATTATGAAACATTACGTACATATATCAATTTCAATTACGTACATATATCAATTTCAATTACGTACATATATCAATTTCAATTACGTACATATGTTAATTTCAATTACGTGCATATGTCAATTTCAATTACGTGCATATGTCAATTTCAATTACGTACATATGTCAATTTCAATTACGTACATATGTCAATTTAAGGTGATCGAAAATTTCGATGAAAGTAATGTCAAAGCACTGTTTAGAAGGGGACAAGCTTACACGTCATTACGAAATTTTGATAAAGCCATGGTACGTATGGAAGTCGATTGTATTTTTTAACTGACTGCTTCATATTTTTAGCCAATTAAATATTAAGTTCTTTTTTTTGGTTTTCTTGTTTAGGCTGACCTTCAAAATGCTGCTAAACTTGCACCAGCTGATAAAGGTTTGTATACGTGTGTTATTGGAAACACATTGTATAGCTTTTCAACTATCTACTGTTTCAGTTCTACGCTATTTCTGTTTAAAAAATTTTAATAAAGTCGTGAGGTTTATCGAATATCAATGTTTTTTTCCCTGTACTTGTGTGTGTTTTTGTGGCCATTTAACTTTCTGCTCTATCTACAATTTTTCTGCTTAATGAAATTTTATTAAAGTGATAAGGTGTATCAATTTTACATTGCTTTTTCCCCTGCTTTTTTGTGTTATGTTTCTGTATAATAAAGGTAAATATTCATTTGCTTTGCAAGGTGTATAAAGCCTGGGCCTCACTTGCGACAAAAGGATAAACATAAGCACAACATAAGTGTCCTCACTTGCAATGCACTGCAATAAGCGCAAGCATAAGCATAAATAAGCATGAGAACAACGGAGAGTTTTGATAATTTTATGCTTATGCTTATGTCCCAAAAGCTTAAATCATAAATCCTTGATCTTTGCTTATCACAAACTACATATTTACTTGTATTTATAGGCATACGTAATGCTCTAGTTAAAGTGAAAAGTCAAATTAAAGATCAGAAGGAAAGAGAAAAACAAATGTATTCCAAAATGTTCAGTAAATCCTAGCGTAAAGTGCCAGGTTTGCTTTCAAAGTTTTTTTTTCGGACTCTTGCTTATGATTCTCATGAATAGTTGTTTATCGAAGGTTATTCGAGAATCTTTTTTTTGCGCTGAACACTAGATTACCTGCTTGAATGTAATTCTTTGCTTCCTCTTACTAGGCTATGAATATTGATATTTGTATTGCTACAGCTCAATAGCCGTAATTTTGGGTACGGTGTGATTTTTCTGTTATCATTTAAAAGCTGTTTGTCTTAATGCGAAATATGTTTTACAATTTTGGATTGAAATATTTTTCCTCGTTGAGAAGCGAGATTAATTTTATCCAAGATGAAGTAGTTTCACTTGTGAGTCCTGATGTGATGATTGGAAAAATTGAATTTTGCTGTTGGACACGCTAAGGTTAAGTTAACCCTGGTTTTAATTGACAAGCGGAAATCAGATATTTTTCCCTTTTTAACGCAAAGTGTAAAATTTTAATATTCCTATCTACAAAATCCGAATCAAACGAACTGCAATATCATTGCATTAGGTTATGAAAAAGGGGCTCGTTAAATTGTACTCTTACCGTGTACTTTATAACATGTAATGAAGTGTTTAAATACTAATGGGCTCAATTTATTTCAACATGAAATGAGAGAAGAAAACAGGTAATCGTTATTTTCCATGAAGCTTTACTCATGATACAAGTAACAAGTAAATAAGAAAGTTACATTGGGCATGGAAGAAAGCTACCTGGTTAATATATGCAGTCACACTGTTGATACGGCCATCTTGTTTCGATGTGTTGGTGATCGTACTGACTTGGTTCTACTGTTATCAAAAATATGAAAAACATGTTTAAGGTTGACGCAAAAAGTACTTGGTTCGATCCCATGTTTGAAATTGTTAATTGTAGCTGTTTAAACAAAGGTTTTTCTTACTCAGAGTTAAGTTAATCATTTTTAATGACTTTACCCGAGGCCGATGTTCATCATTTGCTTGTTTGTTTTTCGACGAATTCAAACTGTTTTGTTAAACTTTCACTCCATCTACTGAACTGTTTGCATAACTTCTTCTGTGTAATTATATTTTCCAATTTTTGTGTCGAAAACGAATGATTAGTTTCGTGTTTTTTTACTTCATCTAAAATATTCATGGCATGTTTAAAATGTACGCTCATGTATCGTTGAAGCGTCTTTCTTTTAACATCTGGATTTGTTATTTCTTTATTGTCGTAGCTTGTTGTGATTACTACTGAATTAGAATTTTTAAGTGAATTATTTTGCTGATTTTTTAAGGGCGACATGGCAAATAATGAAACAGTTGGTTTCACTTTTGGACTCTGTGTTCGTTTTAGTGGCCAAAATTTCTCATTATTAGTCCTCAAAGACGTAATTTTATCGAACAGTATGTCTTCGTAACCTTTAAACATAGCATATTGTGCTTCAGCAGATAATGTCGTGCAAAAAAGAGGTTTTTCAGGCATCTCAATATTAAGATCATTTTCCTGTACAATTTCTTTTATGGCACCAACTACTTCCACTTTCTTTTGCACATTTGATGCAATACGACGAAATTTTTAACGCGGGCTTGATGTCCAAGTTGAGCCAACTGATTTCGAGATGTATTAAGTCTTCCTGGAAGTTGCCTGTCTTCCACTGCCTTCATTAGAAAGTCACGAAATCCTTTCTGTTGAGGAAGTGTGATCAAAGAATCGTGACAAATTTCTCTCCAGTTTCTGCCCCTTAATTGTCTGATTACACTCTTGTTCATGGATTGTCTCCTCGTATTGTTCTTTGAGAAACTACTTATTTTGTAGTTGGTCTTGTATTTTTCTTTAAGTTCTTCAATACATGGTAATGATTTCACTGCTGCTTGGCCCGCTATTTGACTGTCAACTGGTTTCAAGCAACTTTGTTTTTTTATCATGGTGAAAAATTGTCTTCATTTCAATTACTTATCTCAATATTTCTTTTGCTATCAATGATAGACTTCCCACCAAATTTAGCTATTGTTGACTCGAAAAATATTTTTCTCTTTGTAAGCTTTATTTTTGTGCGCTAACAAGTAAAACAGATGACACTGTACCCGTTATAAAGCTTTTAAGGTAATCTATTATTAATAAGAGGTTGTTATTGCTAAATGACCAAATTTCAGGACGTCGAGATAAATTTGACACTTCTTCTTGTCGAGGATTTGCTAAATATATTAATTTCTCTAAATATTTGTCCGTCAAATGTTCTTTTGAAGAATCCTTTCCATTTTTTTGGTTAAATACCATTTCAAAATTATGTCATCGTTTTTACATCACGCACTGTATGGGTCTGTTTTTTGTTGTTATTTTTCACTTAAATGTACATTTCGTGAACATCGTAGTTTGGACACAGCCATCTAAACACTTTTTCGTTACTTTCGTTTGCTAATACTTTGTTGTTTGATGAACATTGTGTCATTTGTATGATCATGTATTTAAATGCCAAATCGTTCTTCATTATTGTGTATGTTTTTAAATGTTTCCATGACGTTTTACCTCATACGACGCGGAAAAGAAGTCGTAAAAAAAGTCATAAATAAATATAAACTCTTTCCGAAGTTTTTGTTTTGAATATTGTTTTTTAGTTTATTGAATTAATACTCTTAAAATTGCTAGATAGTCAATTCAGTTATACAAATAGATAACTCATACCCAATGAATGATTTTATATGTACTATGCTGAGTAATTCAACACGGCAATAATAAATAAAAATAATGTCAGAGGTATCAACAAAATTTTTTCTCTGAACAATTGTAACTGCAATATTTTTTTGATAGTAACTCGTAACAATCCCAAAGAACACGGTAAAAAGGCTTCATCGCTACTGTCACGACATTTTCTATAAACAGCAGCAGCTACTGTTAGATTTCCTGGATTTACATTCTTAAAGTGAAATTCTATCCAATCTAGACCATGAAGAGAATAATTGTTTTCAACCATGTAGCCTAAGTTATATATTGCTTGAGGGTTTTGCTCTTTATTTGCAGCTAAGTTGTATAAATGAGCAGCTGCAGTTGTATTTTTCTCTTCATAAACCCCATACCAATGGTTGTCAGCTGTTTTAATAAGTGATGGTACCCATTGAAGATTTGCTGAATGATTATAATATCGACTTGCACAATCAATTTGTGTTTCTTTTGATAAATCATTCCATTCGCACAACAATGCCGTATTGTACTGTGCAATTTCCACTCCGGCTTCAGCTGCAAGCAAGTAGTTCAACATAGAAGGATACCACAAACTTTCAAAATATCCATCAAGACCGTTTCTCAGAAAGAATCCTATCTCTGGGTTTTGATCGGCTACGAACTTATAGAATATGAAAGAAATTTTATAATTACGTTCAACATGCTCTCCTAAAGCAAAAGCGTCCCCCACTACCACACATGCTCCAATGTGTCCTTTATTGGCTGCGCTGATGTAGTGATTCATTGCCGACTTGATGTCACCAACTGTATTTGGAGCAAGGCCATTCTCTACAGCAAAACCGAAATTATATAAACCATCTCTGTCTCCCATTTGCGCTGCATGTTTAAAATATTCCACTGCCCCCGAATTATTTTGACGTACATTTAGCTCGTAATATCCCAAAGCATTATAGGCAGGCGCAAACCCTAGGTCCGCGGATTGTTGCAATAATTGTTGAGCTTTTTTCATGTCAACAGGTACTCCCTGTCCGCGTAGATGGACCACCCCTAAGTTAAAGAGCATTTGAGCGTCGCCGCGATTTGCACCCATTTCATAAAATTCCGCTGCTTTGGTCAAATTGCGTCGAAATCCACGAGAACCGTAGTAGAATACTTCACCTAAAGCACTTTGTGCGTCAATTGCACCACGTTTTGCTTGATGTTTCAGCCAGGTGAACCAATTTGAATTTGGACCGCGGTAACTGTCTAAATCCTCCTTCTTATCCAGACGAACTGCTTCAGCATGAGTGTCTACCTCATTATGTTCATTCAACATACGGTTACTTTGTACAGCGGAATAACGGTAGTATGTAACTGCAACGTCATGATCTTTTGGTATACCATCGACACCAATATAATGCTTGTATGCAAGAGACATTTGAGATAGGGGATGATTGTAATATGCACCAAGTAATAAATACGTCTGTGCTAGCACAGTGTTGACATCCAACCCTAAACCGATTCTGTACAACAGCGCCAATAAGTACAGAGATTTTTGATGACCTTCACATGATGAGGATAACAATAATGGTATCACGTCTCTTTTTGTGTTCTTATCAGATTTTGTTAAATCGAAAGCAATGTTGTATAAATTCTGTGGAACAAAGATACTTGAATTTTGTGTACTGCTTGATAACACATGATAAATTTCAGAAATAATCCCACTTCCACCCTTATCACACGAAGATTTTTTAGTCGAAATGAAAAGTTTCTTAGTTGAGCAATATCCTAGATGTTCACTTTCTTTTCGTTTTATTTGCTTCACAAACGATCTTATTTGATGGCATAGTCTAAAATGCTCGTTGAAACGTAGGTCTGGTCTCGACAGCACAGTGAAAATGCTTTTAATAGCTGCTTCTGAAAGAACGCTTCTACGATAAATTTTAGCTGGACCAATGAAACCGTTAGTTGAAGTAAAACCTGACGAACCGCCTACACCCCAATAGCCATCCATGTCATTGTAATAAAATGCACCTGAGGGAAAATCAGTGTGTACAAATGATTTCATATGCTGCAGTTTTTTTCCGTAGCGGACATAAACCTGCACGACAGTGTTTTTTACAGTAACTGCAATATGCACCCATCGGTGAATTGGAACTTGAGCATCAGCAAGAAAAGCGTACGCATTGCCATCCGCATAATGAAATTGAAGGTGTAAATGTCCAGACTGTAATAGACCGATGAGAGGAGTTTCAAATCCTGTACCCTTCATACGGTATAGCAATGGGCACATATCTTTAGAACATCGTTTTGTCAGGTATAACCATGTTGCCAACGTGAACTGTGCGTGATCTGCAAATAATCCTTGAGATTCATCAATCTTTGAAAGAAATTTTCTGTAAGGAAACTCGTCTCCGATCAAGGCCACAGGATACGAAAGAAGTTCAACGACGTTGTTAATTTTTGGACATTTTTCAATCATGCTCATTGATATATTTCTAAGTAAATAAGCAATCCACGAAATGCAGGAATGTTTTAAACGTTTGTTTGGTCTGCGAAGTGGTGAGAGCAGAGGAAGTAGATGATCTTTCTGGAGAAGTATTATAGATGGATTTTTATAATCAATAATACTTACTCGTACTAGCAACGATTCGCTGTGAAGATCTGCGATGATTCCCAGAATTTTATCTTCTTTATAAATAAGATTATCTGCCAGCGTAAGTCGTAGAAGTTTCTCTTTAACCTCTCTCGCTGAAAGAAACGGTTCTACCCACTCTGTGTGAAATATGGACCTTAAATTTTCCTCTATTACAGTGAACACATCAAAGGCAATTATTCTTGGTCCAGCAACCTTGTAGCGAATGATTGATCGTAAAATTTTTGTCGATATTATTTTAGGCAAGTCATGCATTTGAATCCAATCAAAGTATTCATGATCATCTGCCATATTCTGTTTTTTTTCATTTACAGCGTTATGACTGAGATTATTCTCATCGTTTTTGGCTGCCTTTGTGGAAATATTGGTAAAATGAAGTTGACAAAGCATACCACAAATCCAAAACAACAGAATCCTACAAAGGCGATTCATAATGTTGAGATGGAGGTCATTCGTGAATGAGTAGTTAACCAGCGGTTGATGCTAACTTTCGTTAGGTTTAGTCATCGTCAACGCAAACATGAAAGTATACCTCTTTCGATAACAAAGTTGAGTTGGATATCCCACTGAATATTAATTTGGTAAAATTTGTTTTATTGTTTTCTATTGTACAAGTATCATTATTTAATTATCGCTGCTTGGACACGATCAACCCACCATAAAAATCCCTTGCATTACCATAATTTAACATTAAATTTAGGTGTTTAATAATCATTTTGAAAATGCATACATTCACTTTGCTTAAAAATGGCGAGTGCATGCGCAGTCCGTATACAAGTACTCTGAAAATAAACGTATATTCGTATTTGACTGGCATAAGAAAAGTCTATTTTTTTATTGACCCTTATGTAAATCGTTACTTTTGGTGAAAAAGGTATTAAACATTAGAAATGAAGCAACTCATTCATTCGCTTCCGTGAGCAAGGTTATCTTCAATCCAAAAAAGAACCTACGAAACCATGTGCTTATATTCTTATACAATGTGCCCAAATGTCACCAAAATAAATCAATCAATTCAAGTTTTCTTAAAATAGCTACCACTTAATTAGGTATAATAGTTGGTAGCCAGCCTGAAAGTTTGGTTATGCTATTTTAATTTCATATCATTACCATTATTCATCTCTTTAGAAATCTATTGTTTCCACAATGAGAGAAAAGAAAATTTACAAAGCTAAATCAAACTTGCGGCCTCGCTTCTCCACTGGTAGGAAAATAAAGGTTTTGCATTTTTAAATGTGTAGAAAAACACATAAGTTAAACGTTTAAAACAATACACACATTATCTCATGTTTTTTAAACACCAAATGATATTTACAGGCGAAATTGCACAATTATGATTAAGAAGTTACAACTACGTAGTTTTCATCATTATGATGAGTATGACACTTAGAAAAAAATATTTGGTTTCACTTCGCTGAATTTGATAGAAATGATCCAATATCGTGACACATTTTCGCTTCATTCATTTATCTATGATTTTCCTCATGATTATGAACGATAATTTGTTTAATTCAATCACAGCCAAATAAGGACTCGACAGCTCTTTCTAAATTCCAGTTATGTGTTGACAAAGCAACTCGGCTTTTATTCTAAAAATGTTGCAACAGAAATATTAACTGAAATAAATGAAAAAAATAAGCAATGGCCGTCTTACGTATATTGGAACGTATATACTACAAATCTTATCACCTTTTTCACTTCTTATTTAATATCATTACCATATTGAAAAGACATTAAATGGTTTAACTTGTCTGAACGAGTAATTTTGTTAGGTAAAATATGTGTTTCCTAAGCGTTTAGAGGTTTTAGGCCAGTTTTCAACGTCATGTGATGTGAAAACGTATCGCAAATAAAATATACCAAAAAAGATCTAAACTCATCATTTTTCTTTAAGGTATTTCACACAAAAAATGTTTGACGCCTAAAGTTGGCTTTAAAGGTCTGCACGACGCCAGCATCCATTGTTTTGATATATTTGAAAAAGTCATTATCCCATAGTAAGCACTTTCTACGCTGGGTGCAAGGAGCCCCCTGTTGTAAAAAAGGTTTCCCAACCCCAAACAATTTTTGCAAAAAACTAATGTCAATGTTATGATTCTCTCATTACAAAGCTACCACAAAAATCTCCTAGCTAATATTACAAGATTGCACGGTTGATAATAAAGGGGATGAAAATCAAAGCTTTAGTTTTTAAACAGCAAGTTCTACCTCATCAAGCCCCATTTCTTTTAAATTTTTAATCTTTTCTACATAGTCTGGTACAACACCTGGTGCTGAAAAGATTATAGAATTGAAAAAAATGAAAGTATTTCATGAACGACAATATGCTACATACAACACAATTGAGACACATAATAACACAACTAGGTGTAAACATACCACTAGCATAGACTTGTGCCCAATGTCTTGCAGTTTTTCTGTATACATCAGGCACAACATTACACTAAAACACAATCAAGAAGTCAATAAAACAATGGAATATTAAGTAACAAGTGGTATGAAATGTGAAATGTCAATATATTTTCAGCACATTTCTTTAAAAGCTTTAAGCTGCTCATATTGAGTTTTGTATTGTAAATAGTGTGTCATGTAGATAATATAAAACCAATTGCAAGCTATTTAACTATCAACATATCTACCATCCATTGTAGATTAATACCTGTTTTGCAACTACAGCATCCTGTGGGTCGTCTGGCTCTGGTGAAGCAAGTAACATCTAAATAATTATTTTAATTAAATAATTACATTTCATATGTTCATTTCAAAATTTTATTATTCATTCTGGCTGTCGAAAACGGATTAAGAGAAAAACTGAAATTTCATTACCTGTATTGAAAGAAGGACTGTTCGAAGAGTCATTGCAGCTGCCCTAGAATAAATCATAATCTCATCAATTTACAATAGTAATTCTTTGGGTGCAAGTTATTTCATGGCAATCATGAATAAATTCACAAAGGATTTTTCTATTTATAAAACAAACATCTTTGTTTTTTAACTTCCCAAGGAGGAATTACACACAAAGCATGGAAATGTTAGACTCACAGAGCATCACTCCTTTAAGTGCTTTCTCTGAATTACATTGATTATCACAATTTTTTCATTAAACAAAATTGGTAACATACCATTGATCTTTAAGAACATCCAAACATATAGCACCAGTAACAGAACTTATATTTGGATGCCATATTTTTGTTAAAAATTTTACCTTTAAATGAAATAATTTAAGAAACAGCAATGAGTTTGTGAGTGGCTATGACTGAAATAAAAGTATACCTTTGGTGGATTAAATGGATATGTGTCTGGTACAGAAATATCAACGACATATCTACCACCTGGATTGAAAAAATGAAAAGTATGTTCAAACTTTTAAAACTTTTACAGTGGCATGGAAATCCTTTCATTAAAAATGTAATAGATTGAAATTTCAAACCTTCATAAGGTGTGTCTGGTGGTCCTGCAATTTCACCTCGTAATTGGGAAAAGTTATCATTGACAAGTTCAACATGTATTGCACATCTTATTCCCTAAGAAGATAATATCAAGAAAAGCTAGAATAAATAACCTTCATAACAATTATTATTTTATCAAACAACATTACGTAAGTGCTAGTTCCTTTCAAAGTGAAAATACAATTTTAATGTGATACCTCTTCACTTCGAATCACTTCTTCAAATTCGCGCTTTATTCTTGCAATAGCAATATTAGCCATATTATCACTCAAAATTAAGTCAATAATTATAAATTTTAATTACAAAATAACAGCTAAAAATCATGAAAAAGCAAGAAATGAAAACTGAATGAAGTTTAAAGTTCAGCTTTGTACTTGTTCACATACGCGAGAATGCCTTGATAAACAGCACACCATGCACAACGCAAACCTTTTCGCAGGCTAACTGTTTTTAGCTTTAGGCTTTAGCGAAAAAACACATAAAAAAACGTCACTATTTCTTGTTGGTATTGTTCATAATTAAACGATTGTGAATTTATTTTCATTGCTGACATTATAAATAGCTATGTCAAATGATAAGCAGAAAACTTTGAGCTATATCCAAGAGATGTTTAAAGACAGAGTAGATGACGAATCAATCAAGCTTGTTTTCGCTCAATGTCAACACAATGGTAATAAAAATGTTTTTACTACTTCATTCATAGGGCCTAGTTTTTTTAATAAAAATGTGACTCTTTAAGGTTTGAGGGTTGTATACATACTGTCTCAAAGAGGAATGGTGTGTCAACAGCCACATATCTCGTACTTCTGCGTGAATGTTATGGCTTTGATGTTTCATGCATTGCATTTTGGCATTTATAGAAATATATTTTCAATTGCTATCACTTATATAGTCATGTATGCCAATAATTTTGTAAAAAGCAAAGTTAATTGCAAGCATATTCAGTCCCAGGCTGCACATCAAATAACTGCTCTACATAGCTATGTTGATGGATGGCAACAAGTTTTATTACAAATCAAGCACAAATTCATTCCCTTTTATTTACTCGCAGAAGTTAAAACGATGTTTAAAATATGCCCATGCGTAAATAAAAATAGATTTTATCGTAATTCTAAACTGTGTTTTCTGCCTTTTTTTCTTGTTCTGGTTATTTGCCTAAAATGCTAATGTATCTTTTTTAGTTGATGAAACTGTGATCCAACTACTTGCATTAACCAAGCATCAAAATACTGACAAAGATACTGTTAAAAATAAGACATTTGACTCCATTGATCCAATCTATTTTCCTTCCTCAAAAGGAAAAAAACTAAATGTTACTCCTTTTCAAAAGAATAAGCAAAGTGGCACCTCAGGATCAACGTTTTCTACTTACCCATCATTTAACACAAACTTTTCTTTTTCTCCACAAATGAATAGTCAGTTAAATAAGGATGAAACATGTAAGTCAGATGATTATGGTCATATTAATTCAGTTGATTGTATTGATGAAATTAATGATACTGTAAGCTTGAGCAAGCTAGAAGCTGTTGATAAAAAGCAAAATGATTATGCAAAAAAAAATAAAAATAAAGAATTTTTCGCCCATACTCAGTCAAAGTCAATTTCAAATGGAAACATTGATCCTGAGAATAAGCACACAAATGTTCCTCATCATTCATTACAACAATCCTCTATGATTCCTCATGGAAAGCAATGGCATGAAAATCCCCAGTCAAAGAAAGATGGATATTGCAATATGAATGGCAAAAAGTCTCTCCCTGCGGGCAACAGACAGACTAAGAAAACAACATATTCTGATGGTGCTAATGCAAAACAGAAAAATTTTACTTCTGGAAATCATAAAAACTTTCCTAAAGACAACAATAAAAGGTTTGGCTATAAACCTCAAAACACAAAGTCAGGATATCAAAGAATGAATGACAAACTGCCTCCTGAATCATTAAGCAAAGGTAAGTCAAAGAAAAAATTATTTCCAACCAGTGTGCGAATTAGTGTGCAATGTGCAATTTGCACATCGTTTTGGCTAAAAATAAAAAAATTGCACATCACTTTTTCAAACAATATGCAAAAAATGTGTTTACTGATTATTACTTCATAAATTGAAGAAAGTTTTCAAGCTTAATCTTCACTGATCTTTACTTTAAAAACGAGTGCGCTGCACGACATTAAAATCCATGTTGACACAATGTCATCAAATTCAAAGACGTTGTCACTTTGAGACTGGGAAGTCTGTCAACAGTCGATATACATGTTGCTTATATGCTTATGACAATAGGGATGTAATACATTATTAATGTCAATTTTTGCATTTGCGTTGTTTTGTAAACCGTTACGTACTGTTTTTGGCATCATGGCTATTTTGAGTATTTTCAGTAAGATCGGGAAACATTTTGATTTTCAAAAGTTTGCACAAAAAAAAAGAGAATAACATGCGAAAAAAATTTCTCTCATACATTTGTAACTGGATCAGCGGTTGTAATGAAAAACACTGTCGTAAATCATATGAATTTGTCCACGTTTAAAAATATTAATTTAGCAATTAGCGCTATTTAATAATTAACGTAATATCGAATTGATTATGCCTCTAAAGAAACAATTTTGTCAAAAAAATTGCTCATCGTTTTTTCTGAACTAATTCGCACACTGTTTCCAACCAACAAATCATCTCACAATGATACAGTATTGAGTTAAACCACTGACTAATGCAATTTGTAATCAGAAGTAATCATTTGTTTACAATGTATGTGCTAAAAACTGTTCATTATTTTCTGTAAAACAGGTGAAACTGACAAGGTGCTTAAATCAGTGACTATACTACGTGGACTGCCTGGAAGTGGAAAATCTACTTTGGCAAGGTGCTTATAAAGAAAGATTAAACCTAAATTTTATTAATATCATGGTTTTCTTATGAACTCTAATTTTGCCGCTGCCTTTATCTTTGTTGACCTACGTAAGCAACTGAAAATTCTAAATTTCTTTAAAAAATCATGGCTGTGTGAGGTATCATGCACAACCATAAATCATCACAATATGTCGTTAAATTGTTTTCAAAAGTTTCGTTTGCGAAATTTTCAAAATAAAAATATGCTATCATGAAAAGTCAAAAGATACATATCAAGGGCCGGTTGCACGAAGCCTAGATAGCGTTATCCACTGGATAGCAAATTTTTCTCAACGTTCATCGCTGAAATGAAATATTGTTTCGAAGATTACAAAATTTCTTTGTCCTAAGAAAAAAACAAACACTTTTTTTACAAGTTTGAAAATTTTCGCTATCCAATGGATAACGCTATCCAGGCTTCGTGCAATCGGCCCCAAGTGATTTACTTTGTAATTCCTTTTTAGGCATCTGGCTGCTTCTGGTGGAATAATTCTTTCATCTGATGACTTTTTTTATAAGGGAAACGAGTATGCAATGACATATACAATTGATATTTTTATTTTTCAGTTGTTTGGGCTTATCTTGCGTAATACGATTAATATCGTGCAAAATATTTTACTGAATTTATCTGAAGTGTGAATGTGTGATGGATTATTTTAGTGACTTTATATTTTTTGTCTGCATCAGGTATATTAGTCACTTCATCATGTCCTACGTTCATTTTGTTAACGTTCTGTTTTTGGTTTATTAGATATTGTTTTGTTCTTGAAAAACTTCAAGAAGCTCATGTATGGAATCAGGAACGAGGTAATTGATAAAAAAATATTTCTATTTATTTGATTTTTTATTGAAACATTTTGTCTTTATATCAAAGCGGCAAGGCTTATGGAAGCTGGTTTATCCCCTTTATTCATTGACAACACAAATACTCAAATGTGGGAGATGAGACCTTATGTTATGTCGGTGAGATATTAAAATAGTTGCCCGAAATGTTTTGTGCACGAAATTTCATATTGTGCGAATATTGGGCTTCATAACTTTAAGCTCCATAATTTTTTTTGTTTTTCGATTGGGTTTGCTCATATGTACAAATATTATTGTTTTAAGGCTTTAAAATGTAACTACGAAATTACCATTAAAGAACCCGAAACATCCTGGAAGTGGAATTTAAAGGAATTAGAACGGTACCTATATGGTAGGTGACCAATTTTTTAACTTTCTGCCTAAGACTTTTCTTTTGTTGCATGAATGTAGGAGAAATATACATGGCGTGAATCGTGATGTTTTGGAAAGGATGATCGAACGATATGAAAGAAATGTTACCGTTGATAAAATTGTACGATCTGTGCCTAAACCTCCCGTAAAACGTGAGAATGTGGATTGCGCCATTAATGAAAAGCCATATAACCAGTTAGGACCAGAACATGGCGAATTTAAACAATTTGTCAAAACCAATAAAATTCAAAATACTGCCGAATCCACGAAAAGCAAATCAATTAAGCTCAAAAATCCTTCATCGTCGGCTACACTCTCTGGAAAGAAGGGATTTGTCGATGAAAATAAAAACGTAAAAGCTTATCAGAGTACGAAACAGAACAACTTTAAGGGAAAAACTGGGAATGAACCCGTTGCAAAAAGCATGCCTAAAATTTTTGGTGAAGACGAAAATCAAGTTCTTGACAACTTGAAGACAAGGAAAAATGAAGAAGAGCAGATATTTGATTCCGATAAACCTTTGACTTCTTCACATGTACATATTCAATCGCTGATTGCTAAAGATGAGACATTTTTGCAAAGCAGTACAAGTTTACAGTATGACCAAACTTCTGAGAATCATTTGAATGCCTTCATAGAAAAACAGAATAGAAATCGTGAAAGTGTTTTTTATAAATGTAAAAATGGCACGAATCAATTACCTGAAGTTGAAACAAACAGTCCACAATTGTTGAAAAATTTTGATATCGTAGAAAATAATACCTTGAATTATACCTTTTCTGGTGAAGATAATGTGAGTAATCCTCTTAAGGATAGCAGTTTTTGTCGGGAGGATTTGAACAAGACTGAGCTAAACATGCAAGCATCAAATAAAGTCAATAAAAATGACGAAACAGGTGAAATACGTTTGGAAAGGCTAGCCAATAATGAAAATCTAAATGATGAAAATATTAGAGAAAGCGTTTCTCTTTTGGCAGACAAAACATTTCCTTTTGCACAATCCTTGTCGAACATTTGCCAAGGTCATGATGTAGAATTGCCTTCGATTAATAATGATGGTCTAACTTCTTATATTCCTGGACAGATGCCTATCATTGAACAAATTAATGCAAACAATTTCATGAATTCTGTGTATTTTGACGTTGGACGGGCTGATGTAAAGACTGTGTGCAGTAAAGTAGAGAAAGAAAAGGAATATTTTCTGGACTCTAAACTTCAAACCAATACAACAAGTGAGGGTCTACAGTTAAATGATGATGTTGATGAAGACTTTCGCTATAAATCCTCTGTCAATCAAACGCTTGAAGTTGAGACTGTTAAGCATGAAGGAAAAACATATAACTACAGTTCAGGTAACTTACAAACTAGCCGCGAAAATATGTTAGAATATAGAGAAGACACAAATTTGGAAAGCTCTGATGGAAATATGTCGAACGAAAATGGTGTTGATGTAAACAAAATTGATTCTGTGACATTTTTGAAAGACTGTTTCCCACAAACGAAAATTGATATGTTGAAGTCGTTTTTGGATTCGTGTCATGGCGACGTAATAAAGACTGTGGACTTGCTGTTACGATATAATGATGAATTTCGAAATCAGTCACCCTTCGATGAGAATGCGGATAATGGAAAAAATTGTGATAATGGTTCAACAAAATCAACTTTATCATCTTCTCCTAGTTTTGATACTGCACCAAAGACAAATTGCAACTCGTATAATTCTCCATCATCTTCATCTTCCCCTTCACCGACTACTTGTAAGTTTAGCGATGTTGAAGTTGATGCTCTTCAACTTACTCTTGATCCTGCCTTTGCATTACAACTAATCGAAATGTTTGGAGCATTTAGTGGAGTTTCTACCAAAGGTTTGTAATGACTGTTCATGATGATAATATTGTTTCCAATGATTGACATCAGTTACGGGTAAATGGGGGAGTTATGGGGGCAACATTGAGCTTTAAATATCTTTCGCAGCAAGTGTATAGTGTATACATATACCTGTAAAACATTTGACTTACTAAGATTATGGGTATTTTTGGAATAATGACGACAGCAATGAGTTTTTTACTTTCTTTTGCAACAGGTGTGTATATACCTGTATAATATTACTACGTTATTCCTTAGACATTCGTTTGATGTGTTGACTTTGTTTTAGACATATTGTGCGAAAATGCTAGAACAATAACACTTGGTAAGGAGCTTGCAAAGAGCCTTTACAATAAATGGAGGAAAAACTTTCAGGTGTAGTATGTATAACAAACCATTTTTCGTATGAAATGTTTGCAACTTTAAAATCATTTACTCTGCTTTTTTAAGGCAAATGACAATGAAAAGAAATCACACACATTTTCTCCCGGTTAGCTGATGTTTAATCTTAGTTTTCGTAACATAGCTCTTTTCTTCATAATTTTTAATTGATGATTTGTTTAGCACATAACATATCAAGTCGCTCTACTAAACGAAAATTTACAACACCTTCACGTCAGTTTTATCTTCCTGATCCAGTTCAAGTAAAACACTCTTCACCTTTGCAACCTGGTACGGTAATTTTGTTTTAACCATGATATGAACTCAAATTTGAAGAAAACAAAAGGCTGAATTTCCCACAGCTCTGTTGCGAATTGATATAATGCATTCTTTAACTTTTAACAAAACTTTATCATAAATATCATTTCCTATATGTGAGTTTTTTTAATTAGAGCAATGTGCTCGTTAAAAAAGGTTTCGAACCCTTTTTTCCAAATTATTTTTCTTTTTATTCACAGTTTGAAAATAATGCACTCTGTGATATTCTTAGTTTCATAGGAAAACGGGCTTTCTCCTTTGTATAGATGTAGAATTGGTATAATAAACGTTAACGCTAGATTTGAGCATTACTTAATTCTCTTAGAACCAGTATCCTTAAAAGAAATCATGGATGAACAGTTTGCCATTCATGTTAGTCAAATGGATCAGGTAAAGTTTAATCTCACTTGACTCAATGAATTAAGTTTGAATGTTAGAAATTATATTGACTTTTCCATGTATGTTCGTGTTGTATAGGAATCAGAAAAAAATTTTTATGAACAGCAGCTTGATTTTTCCATGAAACTTAAGAAATTTCGTCTTCACGGATTGTTTCCTGACGTTGATAAAGTAGCTCTTAATGAAATACTCCAAGCAAACAAGTTAGTATATAATATACAGTTTACTTCATTATATTATCAATTCCTTATCATGTGGGGATGACGTTGTCTAATTGACGTATTTCCTCTAATATATGCATAACCTCAATCGTACAGAGATATTGCATCAACTTATAAAGAAATGACAATAGTCACCTCAATCTAACACATGCCTCCCTATTGCAAACTTCCCAACAAATAGGGGAACTCCCTATATCCATAAGTAAAACTTTTACTGGAAAAATTTCTGGCGTTACAATTGACGTTTGACGAAATCATTATTAACTTTAAGATTGAAATATGGTTTTTCTCTGATGTTCTTACTCTTTTTAATTATATGTTTAGAAATTTTGCACTGTAGTATGTGTAAAGCTATTAGCATGAAAAGGATACATATCATAGCATATTAACGTTTTTGTTGTCGTGTGTCTTGATATTTTCAATGTATCTGAGAATTTGTATTTTCGTGCATGCGTATGCATCCAGATTTCAATCAATTAGTTGCCTGAAATTTCAAGTAAAGACAGAAGCTAATATTTTGGCAGTTTTTCTTTTATTGCATATCATTAGTTCTTTATGTCGAGTTATTTATTATCTTTGTTATATTGTTTATTGCTTGATTGCAAAATAGATACCTACCTTTAATACCACTCTCCAATACATGCGGTAAAAATTTATGTATAGTTAAACCAGTCTGTATCTAATGAAAAAAAATTTTTTATAGTTACGACTTAGATACAACAATAAAGCAAGTACAGTCATCTTGTAATAAACCTTTGGTAGAACATTCTCCTACAACTGTTGTTACTGAACATCACTCCTTGACCAAGCGTCCTTCACCAAATCCTACCATTGTAAGTGTCTTGAAATGTTGTTTATTTGCGTGCACAAAAGACTCTAATGATTCGACTTAACAGGAAATTTTTTCTATGTTTATTTTATGTAGAACGACGTGGTCCAATCTGGTAAGTACTACAGATTAAGAGTTTAACAAAGTACAGTGTAACATTTCTATTCGATGTTTCTATTTAATATTATGTGTATTATTTAAGAAATAAAATATGTTTACACAGGCTTATGCAAACCGAGGAGACTGAAGAGGCGAACTGAAGAGCAGATCATTGCAAATGATTGAATTTTTTTTCATTAACGATTTCTGTAATTTTAGACGATGTGGATAAAAATTATCAGTCTTTACAAACTCCGTCATACCAAGATTATCGTACAGAGGCTCAAACTCATTTTCAACTCAGAGCTGAGTGTATAAAGAAAGCTGCTTTGGCTTACAGTAAAAAACAAGGAGAGCTTGCCAAGGTTTATGCAGATCAGGTAGATAATAAAAAGTTTTATGTATCAAATATCGCTTTATATAACAATATTAGCTACATTTACTGTAGTCATTCGTACTCGCGCTATTTCGTTGCAGTCTTCAAAACTCACTCGTGCATGTTTATCCGTAATTGCACTCGAAACAATTACTATTACCTATACTAACAAAATGTCGTTGTTTTTTAACAACATCAATATTGTAGGCGAGGGGTCACGGTGAGAGAATGCAAGAAGCTAATCGACGTGCTGCAGAAAAGATTGTAGAAAGCAGGTGAGTTGAGTTCTTTATATAATTTTGCGTATGATGTTGTTGACTCGGGTATTTGGGTGGTATGATGCTGGTTTATGGACTATTGAGGTGGCATGACGTTGATTCCTTGGACTGTTGGAGTGTATGATCTTGGTTCATGGACTATTTGGGTGCATGATGTTGGTTTATGAACTGTTAAGGTGCATGATGTTGATTCATGATTATTGGGGTGGCACGACGTTGGTTCATGGACTGTTGTGGTGGTATGACATTGTTTTATGGACTATTGGGGTGGTATGATGTTGGTTCATGGTTGTTGGGGTGTTATGATGTTGGTTCATAGTTTGTTGGGGTGGTATGATGTTGGTTAATGGACTATTGGGGTGGCACGACGTTGGTTCATGGACTGTTGGGGTGGTATGACATTGTTTTATGGACTATTGGGGTGGTATGATGTTGGTTCATGGTTGTTGGGGTGGTATGATGTTGGTTCATAGTTTGTTGGGGTGGTATGATGTTGGTTCATGGACAATTGGGGTGGCATGATGTTGGTTCATGGTATGTTGGAGTGGTATGATGTTGGTTCAACAATGATATGAAACATGTAACATTAAATAATAAACAGCTTGTCAATGTTTTTATATATTTTCTAGGTGTTCTTTGTCTCAATGAATTGTTTCGCATCTCTTGATTTCAAAACCTCGAATTAAAACTTTTTTATTCCAGAAATCGTGATTTAATTCATTCTAACACGTTGGATCTTCACGAACTTCACGTAAACGAGGCAATCACTGTGCTGGATAACGTTCTTGAAGAACGTCGTAGAGGTGAGTATGATACATAGGTGATAAAAAATCATCATTCTTATTTTGATAAAATACATTTGATAGATCATGCTTTGAATCATTGTTAGAGCGAAAAAATGTGTCAACAAAGAAGAGCCCTGGATATCTTGAAGTTATTACAGGTCGTGGGAATCGTAGCCGTCAGGGTAAAGCGCGTATCAAACCTGCCATTATAGAATATCTAAAAAGACATAAATACAGGTATTTAACTTATACTAGTGAGAGGAAGAACCTGATGGAAGAAATATGTCAAGCTCATCTACATAACAGACATAAAATCACATTTTTCTTGGGACAGGAAAAATGATTATTCGGGAATCTTTTATGTCCGACCCAGGCTTTTTACGCGCGATTTTGAGTCTCAAAAAATAAAACTTAGAACATCTTCTGTTTGAGTCTTTATGCGCTTCATCAAAAACACAATTTATCCTTACCATATCCCTAAATGTTCCATGTGATAATGATGCACGTAATGATTTACGCACAGTAAAGATATGGATTAAACAACACTATGTAGTTGGGATTTAGGATTAAGAGTTTTAATGCTTGTTTAAATGACGAGAAATCGTTCTTTTTCAGGTATGAAGAGTTGAATAGTGGGTTGTATAGAGTTTATTTTAAATAATTGATCGTAAGTAAACAAGTGCTCAATGAAACGACTGAACTGATTTCATAACATTTTAAAGCCAACTAACTTTTCCGAACTTTATTTTGTAATATGAGCTTTATGCAGGTAACGCTCTCGATGTTTGACATACGCTTGGTTTTATATGTTGTAACGTGTTTATACATATAGTAATTTAATTTTTTACATTAGTCTTATCATTCAAAATATATTATATTTATGTACCATGTGCATAAAAAAATTACACATATACATGCTAATATATCAAAACGGAGTGTTGATAAATGTGATATTTTTTTATGATAATGAAATCATCAATAAGTTTAAATGTCGAGAAATTCACCAATTTCGCAGCTATTTTTACATCATGAAATTTGATCACCTGTGTTCACATGATCATTTTTCTAGTACAGGCATCTCATATTCAATATTTACGTTCACAACTTTACAATGGTTTGTATCAGTTTCTATTTATCAATTTGTTCATTTGTTCTGTTATACACATGCCTATGGAATAGTTGTGGCGCTTTTCACTGCCGAAGTGCAAATTCCAATAATTTGAATGATATTTTACAAGTTCATATTGTTCCTCACTCGCATGACGATGTTGGCTTTATAAAAACAGTTGATCAGTATTATTATGGAGCCAATAATAGCATTCAAAGAGCTGGAGTGCAGTACATTCTTGATTCAGTTATACCTGCTTTGGAAAGAAACCCTAAGAGACGATTTATTTATGTGGAAATGGCATTTTTCAAAAGATGGTGGAGGGAGCAAACAGAAGCAATGCGAACGAGGGTGAAAGCGCTGGTTGACAAAGGACAGCTAGAGTTTGCAAACGGAGGATGGTGCATGAATGATGAAGGAACAACTCATTATTCTGCAATTATTGATCAAATGACACATGGATTGTGGTTTATCAATGAGACATTTGGTAGTAAAGCTAGACCTAAAGTTGCTTGGCATATTGATACATTTGGTCATTCTGCCGAACAAGCTTCATTATTTGCTCAAATGTCGTTTCAAGGATTCTTTTTTGCACGTCTTCATTACGCAGATATGAAAAAACGAACGAATGAACAAAAAATGGAACTCATTTGGCAAGGTAGCAGAAGTCTAGGGAACATGTCAAATATTTTCACCGGTATTTTATATCATCATTATAGCCCACCAAATGGATTTTGTTTTGATGTACTATGCGATGATCCTCCAATACAAGATGACAAAAGACTGTTTGACGAAAACGTTAAAGAAAGAGTTCAGCTGTTTTTAAATGAAACTTGTGAACATGCATTACATTACAAATCTGGTCATGTTATGTTGACCATGGGTGATGATTTCAATTATCAGAATGCTGAAATGTGGTTTAAGAATTTGGATAAATTGATCAAATATGCTAATCAGGTATGGATTGTGAATGTGTGCTATTGTGGGCTACATCAGCGAGTTATAAACCATTGAAGTAGGCGCAGAATTCATTTGGGTGCTATCATTAATGGCCTAAATGTTATAAAATGAATTAATCGTTTAGGATGATAGAGTCAATGTGTTCTACTCGTCTCCTTCCAATTACGTCAATGCTATTAAGGATATGAAGAACTTGGATTTGAAAACTGATGATTTTTTTCCGTATGCCACCTGTCCTCATTGCTACTGGAGTGGATACTTCACCAGTAGACCTGCTTTTAAAGGATATGTGAGGAGAAATAATAACTTTTTACAGGTATGTTTTCACAGGTATGATATGAAAGCTGTGTGTTTGTCCTGTTTTTTTTATGGGTTTTTTTATCTTCGTGGAAAAAATTATTTTCTCATTTTCACAGGCGTGTAAACAACTTGAAGCCTTGGGCCATTTTGAAGATGCAAAGGTTACTTCTCAAGTGCTCCGCGAAGCAATGGCCTTGGCTCAACATCATGATGCATTAACTGGGACAGAAAAGCAGCATGTTGTTTATGATTATGCAAAACGTCTGTCCATCGGAGTCGACCAATGTAAGGTGCGGTATACTTCAAGTTATTTTAATTATGCGAAGTCTTTTTTTTTATTTAATTTTCACACTTTGGTTTTCTTTAACAATATGATGGCGACGCATTTAAATGGATTCAGTCATCAATTATTGAAATATGTTTTATATTTTACATTATAATTTAATATTTTTAGATTGTCATGGATCTTGTGCTAAGGAAATTAACTCAAAAAAGTTCTTCCCAGCCCCATCCATTCTATCGTTTTTGTGATTACCTTAACATCAGTGTGTGTCCGAACTCGGAAGGACGTCGGTCATTTTCAATTACATTATACAATCCGATCTCACGATATGTTGATAGCATTGTAAGAGTTCCCATATCTGGCCATCATGCCATGGTTTTCCATGAAAATGGTTCGCAAATTGTGTCAGCAGTAGAAAAAGTATCAAACAGCACAAAGTTTGTTCGAGGCAAAACTGGCAACGCTTCGTATGAATTGATCTTTCCAGCGATAAAATTGCCACCTCTTGGTTTGGCTGTCTATCAAGTAGAGTTGACCAAAGATGCCATTGACGAAAAGTTCTTTTTTACCCTTGAAAATTTATATGTTATTGAAAACGACAATCTCAGGTTAACATTTTCGAAAAACAGTGGTCGGCTTGTTAAAATTCATAACTTGAAGTCGAATATAACTCTTGCGGCTGATCAACAATATTTATGGTACAATTCCAGTGTTGGAAACAATGTCAGTGATCAAGCATCTAATGCTTATATCTTCAGACCAAACTCTCAAACAGCCTTTAATATCAGCGATGATAATCGGGCACAAATTACAATCAATCGAAACAATATTGTTCAAGAAATTCATCAAGTTTTCTCGCCTTGGGCTAGCCAAGTTGTTCGTTTATATGCAAATAAACCATTTGCAGAATTCGAATACACTATTGGACCAATCGAAATGGATAACGTCCTGGGGAAAGAAATCATTTGGAGGATTGATACGAGCTTAAATACCAATGGTATTTTTTACACAGACTCCAATGGTCGTGAAATGCAAAAACGGAAACTTGATTATCGTCCAACGTGGTCATACGAAGGTACAAATATAAATGCATGTTTCATAATTTACTTTTATTCATTTGCAATTTTACGAGTGAAATAAGTAGATTTCTTGCTCAATATATACGATGAAAGGTATGTGAACTTTAGAACCTTGATCATGTAAACTTGGTCGTGTAAATTATCGCATATAGTATCGTGTAAAGAATCGTGTAAAGTATCGTGTAAAGAATCGTGTAAAGTATCGTGTAAAGTATCGTGTAAAGTATCGTGTAAAGAATCGTGTAAAGTATCGTGTAAAGTATCGTGTAAAGTATCGTGTAAAGTATCGTGTAAATTATCGTGTAAAGTATCGTGTGAAGTAGTATCGCATTTTTACAACATGGTTGTTTATTTTATCAGATAAAGAACCTGTTGCAGGCAACTATTATCCCGTAAACAGCCGAGCTTTCATTAAAGATTCCTTCGGAATTCAATTGACTGTTTTAACCGATCGATCTGTTGGAGGCTCGAGCATTCGAGATGGTTCTTTAGAGTTGATGGTTCATCGCAGACTCCTTTACAGTGATGGTACTGTTGATGGCGAACCCTTAAACGAACCTGGTACAGACGGTCGTGGTTTAATTATTCGTGGAAAGTTTTTGGTTCTTCTTGAAACAACTAAAAACTCTGCCAGATTACATCGTATGGTAGGCGAAGAAGAGTTTCTACGACCATTGATTGCTTTTTCGAAAAATGTGGAAAGGAAGAAAAAAGGAAAAGCAATTTATGAGACTTTAACGCGACCACTACCCAGAAATATTAATATTTTGTCTTTAGAAAATCTTGGTGAAAAATTAATATTACGTCTTGAGCATTTGTTTGCGCAAGGTGAAGACAGCGAACTGTCAAAACCTGTTTCCATTTCACTCAATGGACTGTTTAAATATTTTAAAATTATTTCCATTAGCGAACTCAATTTAAGTGCTGACATTGTCAGGGGAGAACTTGACGAAGATTTTATTTCGGAAATGTCTCCGACTGATCAGAGTTTCCTCGTCACGTTAAAACCCATGCAAATAAAAACATTTAGTATAGAAGTTGAATGGCATGAGAAAAGATCTCATAAAGTTTTTAAATGAACTTTTTATATTAAGAAAAATTACCGAGTGTCTTGCGATGAATCATCGCAGATTCGCTGTCAAAATTGGCTTCCGCGGCCATTAAATTTACCAAACTTACCAGAATATTTTTGAAAATCAATCTTCTGACTTTTTACTCAAAAATAGGCATAAATGATTTTCATAACGTTATTTTGTTTTGCAACTAATTCCCTCTTTGTATGTTTAGGTTTTATTCATTGTACTTGCTTTTACTAATATTATGTGTATAAGTCATATGTTCTTATACAGAATGTATAGATTTCCAATGAGCCAATCAGTACGCAGACTTTTTGATTTAGTCTAATGGAGGGTATTTGAAAAGATTTATTGTGCTTGATAACGACTTGCGTTTTAGAATGTTAAATGGTTGAGTTTTTGATACTCATGCAGATATATAGATATGTTTTTCGTTCATCATGTATATGGTCATTTTTTTATCAGTTGTCTCGAATGTAGATTTTTACACACATCATGTTCTGCATGGTCATTTTAGCATCTATCAGTCAAAATTACTTCTCCTAATCCAAAATCTTTTACAGTACCCACGCCAAAGAATTCCGATATTTGTAAAAAATGAGGTTGGTCGCCATTTTTCATGTTTCTGTAACTTTTTGTTGGAATTGGAGTTATATAGTCGTGTTACCATTTGGTCAGATGGTTCAACTTATCGATGTTTTGAAATTTTCGATTCACGTTTCACGAACCTGACATTTATCGAGCGAAACGTGCAACTCTTTGTTACGGCACTCGTAATATCCTCGAGAACTTTAGAAATGTTTTTATTTTTCTCTTTTGTATCTGCATACATATTGTATTTCATGTCATATCCATTGAGCTCCATAAGACCTGGAGGGGAAAAGGGGCCTGAACCCCGTGGTCAAAAACATGGTGGTAATGGCGGATTTTGTTGGCCTTATAGAACTCAATGGTCACACATGAGCTTTCCTTTGATTTAACGGAGAGTGCTTATGTTTATAATATTTGTTTTATTCACAACAAGACAAGTAGCCCGGCTAGCTCAGTCGGTAGAGCATGAGACTCTTAATCTCAGGGTCGTGGGTTCGAGCCCCACGTTGGGCGCTTGTTTTGGAAATCTCATTATTTTAAATTGTGTTTTTTATTAAAGATAGTTAACATTGGACAAAAAAATCATCTAGTTTTTGGAGTGGTATATATTCTTTATTTTTTGTTAAAGTAATATTAGATTGAATGATAATTTTGAGCTAAAAAAAGCAAAACACTCGCGATTTATAAATTAGCTTGCAGCCCGCAGAGCGGGCTGTTTGTTGTTGTCAATGTAAATATTTTGTTGCAAATTCAGGTACTGTGAAAGCAACGATGAAAAACAGCAAAAAAGATACTTTTGTATTACTTTTCTTTTCACAAGTGAACCAATTTTTTTTTGGAAAAACTTTATAGCCTTATTTCCACAATTCATCTAACAAAAAATGATGCAACTAAACTTAAACCAAGTGGATTATTTGCAGGTAATTTTAAATTCACAGCAGATGGCAACGCTTGCAAATCGCGAGGGAAAGTTAAATGTTGTGTTATCTCTCTGCGCGGGGAAACATCAAATATGCTCAAAAACTCTGTAAGAGTTAACTTATTTATCAAATTGTGCGCGTCAGTGATTCTAACAGCACATTTTCCTGTCTGAAATGCACATGCTAGTTCATTTTACACAAATATATTTTTATGATACAAAATAACGTGAAAAATTAATTTTTTAGAGAGCATAAATGATAATAATTCTTATTCGACTAATGCTCTAATTTTGCCAGAATATTTTCAGTTTATTTTTCATTATTAACTTTTGAATTTATTATAAAGGTTGGTGTCACATCTCCAAAATGCATGAAAATTCTACCAGCTGGTGGGAAAAGAGCTGTACAAAAGGTTGGTATAGGTTTTTTTGATGTCATCATTTCTTTTTTAAGCTAACTTTGGTCATTGATAATTTTTCTAAATGCATAGTAAGGAGGCCAATGGAGGGCTATGAATTTTTGTCATTTTTTACAAAATTTAATTTTTCTTCTATTATAGATTGTTGTAGCAGATCACAGTGGAGTCGTAACTTGTTTTGGCATGAAGAAAGGAACTGTACAGGTAATTCAAGAGGCATTCATTATAATTGAGTTCCAGACTAATGTATTAATTATGGATTAAAAATTTAAGGAACATTGCTAGACAGTACCTTTTCAATAATCAACCAGTTAGACCAATTCATCTCAATTGCTTCTTAATATACATGTATATATCTCCAATCTTACAGCATATATTCTTTGTCAGTTCCAAGTTACTCTTTATTTTTTAACAGAAGTCACACAACATAAATTAAAGTAGCAATGAAAAGCCTTGTTTTATGTTTGTTCATGGAAACTTACAAAAAGAGTTTACAAAAAGCTTTGTAATTTTAGATGGTGTTTAAAACCCTACCTGGTCCCAGTATATCTCGTCTTGCCTTGGGAGGAATTGAGGGTACATTGCGGGATAAAATATTTGTTGCATCAGGTGCTGAAGTTCGAGGATATAATAAAAAAGGAAAACAGTTTTTGGGCTTTGATACAAATCTCACTGAAAGTATTAAGTCAATGTAAGTTTCTTCAATATTAATCATTATCAACCCTATAGCATGTAGTGGAGTGATGCACAAATCAGGTGTAATTGAAAAAAAACCTTAAATGATTTATTTTCTTCAAATACTTGTAGTTCGTGAAATCTTGAGAATAAAATGGCTTCTTAGATTGCTTTATCCTTTAATAACAGCAGCTAGAATTACAGCAACGACAACGGCTACAACAACTGCTACAACAACTGCTACAACAATTGCTACAACGACTGCTACAACAACTACAGCAACAACAACTGCTACAGCAACAACAACTGCTACAGCAACAACAACTGCTACAGCAACAACAACTGCTAAAGCAACAACAACTGCTAAAGCAACAACAACTGCTACAGCAACAACAACTGCTAAAGCAACAACAACTGCTAAAGCAACAACTGAACAGGAAAAACAATTACAGCAACAACAACTGCTACTGCTACAGCAAAAACAATTACAGCAACAACAACTGCTACAACAACTGCTACAGCAACAACTGAACAGCAAAACAATTACAGCAACAACAACTGCTACAACAACTGCTACAGCAACAACTGAACAGCAAAAACAATGACAGCAATAACAACTGCTACAACAACTGCTACAGCAACTGCTACAACAACAACTGAACAGGAAAAACAATTACTGAAACAACAACTGCTACAACAACTGCTACAACAACAACTGAACAGCAAAACAATAACAGCAACAACAACTGCTACAACAACAACTGAACAGCAAAAACAATTACAGCAACAAGAACTGCTACAACAACAACTGAACAGGAAAAACAATTACAGCATCAACAACTGCTACAACAACAACTGAACAGCAAAAACAATTACAGCAACAACAACTGCTACAACAACTGCTACAGCAAAACAATTACAGCAACAACAACTGCTACAACAACTGCTACAGCAACAACTGAACCGCAAAAACAATGACAGCAATAACAACTGCTACAACAACAACTGAACAGGAAAAACAATTACAGCAACAAAAACTGCAACAACAACTGCTACAACAACTGCTACAACAACTGAACAGCAAAAACAACTGCTACAACAACTGCTACAGCAAAAACAATTACAGCAACAACAACTGCTACAACAACAACTGAACAGCAAAAACAATGACAGCAATAACAACTGCTACAACAACTGCTACAACAACAACTGAACAGGAAAAACAATTACAGCAACAAAAACTGCAACAACAACTGCTACAACAACTGCTTTCAACAACTGAACAGCAAAACAACTGCTACAACAACAACTGGACAACAAAGGAAACAATTACAGCAACAACAACTGCTCACAACAACTGCTTTCACAGCAAAACAATTACAGCAACAACAACTGCTACAACAACAACTGAACAGGAAAAACAATTACTGCAACAACAATTACTGCAACAACAACTGCTACAACAACAACTGAACAGGAAAAACAATTACAGCAACAACAACTTACAACAACTGCTACAACAACAACTGAACAGCAAAAACAATTACAGCAACAACAACTGCTACAACAACAACTGAACAGCAAAAACAATTACAGCAACAACAACTGCTACAACAACTGCTACAGCAAAAACAATTACAGCAACAACAACTGCTACAACAACTGCTACAGCAACAACTGAACAGCAAAAACAATGACAGCAATAACAACTGCTACAACACTGCTACAGCTAGCTACTTTCAACAACTGAACAGGAAAACAATTACAAACAACAACTGCAACAACAACAACAAAACAAAACAATGACAGCAACAATCTTTCAACAACAACAAAGCTCAATCCTGCAAACAACTCTACTACAACAACTGAGACAGGAAAAACTGTTCAGCATCAACAACTCTACAACAACAACTCAACAAAAAAACATGCAACACAACCTGCTCAACAGCTACAACAACAACTGGTTTCAACACAATTACTAACAACAACTCTTCTACTGCTCTTCAAACAAATAAATTAATTCTATAACAACAACTGCTACAGCTTAATAATGGACAAAAACTAATAAACAAGCTCAACAACAACTCAAACTTCAACTTCCTGCTACAAACAATGAACAGGAAAAATCTTTCAACTTCTACTAACTCTGCTACAACAACTGAACAACAAAAAACAAGCTGCTACAAACAATATGGACAGCAAAACAATTACAGCAACGCATAAACTGCTACAACAACTGCTACAACAAAAACAATTATGTAACCAACTGCTACAACAACTGCTACAACAACAACTGAACAGGAAAAACAATTACTGCAACAACAACTGCTACAACAACAACTGAACAGGAAAAACAATTACAGCAACAACAACTTCTACAACAACTGCTACAACAACAACTGAACAGCAAAAACAATTACAGCAACAACAACTGCTACACAACAACTGAACAGCAAAACAATTACAGCAACAACAACTGCTACAAGCTCTTCTACAGCAAAAACAATTAACAACAACAACTGCAACAACTGCTACAGCAACAACTGGACAGCAAAACAATGACAGCAATAACAACTGCTTCTAACAACTGCTAACAATGAACAGGAAAAACAATTACAATAAAAACTGCAACAACAACTGCTACAGCAACCAACTGAACAACAAAACAACTGCTACAACAACTGCTACAGCAAAACAATTACAGCAACAACAACTGCTACAACAACTGCTACAGCAACAACTGAACAGCAAAACAATGACAGCAATAACAACTGCTTTCACAACAACTGCTACAACAACAACTGAACAGGGAAAAATGGTGCAACAACAACAACTGCTACAACAACTGCTACAGCAACAACTGAACAGCAAAAACAATGACAGCAATATGCTGCTTTACAACAACACAACAACAACTGGACAGGAACAATTACAGCAACAAAACACAAAGCAACAACCTGCTACAACAACTGAACAGCAAAAACAACTGCTACAACAACAACTGAACAGCAAAAACAATTACAGCAACAACAACTGCTACAACAACTGCTACAGCAAAAACAATTACAGCAACAACAACTGCTACAACAACTGCTACAACAACAACTGAACAGGAAAACAATTCTCTTCACAACAACAACTGAACAGGAAACAATTCACAGCAACAACAATACCACAACAACTGCTACAACAACAACGGACAGCAAAAAACAATTACAGCAACAACAACTGCTACAACAACAACTGACCAAAACAATTACAGCAACAACAACTGCTACAACAACTGCTACAGCAAAACAATTACAGCAACAACAACTGCTACAACAACTGCTACAACAACAACTGAACAGCAAAAACAATTACAGCAACAACAACTGCAACAACAACTGCTACAACAACTGCTACAACAACTGCTACAGCAACAACTGAACAGCAAAAACAATGACAGCAATAACAACTGCTACAACAACTGCTACAACAACTGCTACAGCAACAACAACTGCTACAACAACAACTGAACAGGAAAAACAATTACTGCAACAACAACTGCAACAAAGCTGCTACTGGCTTCACAACAACAACTGAACAGGAAAAACAATTACAGCAACAACAGCTGCTAACAACTGAACCAGGGAAAAACAATTACAGCAGCAACAACTGCTACAACAACAACTGAACAGCAAAAACAATCACAGCAACAACAACTGCTACAACAACAACTAAACAGCAAAAACAATTACAGCAACAACAACTGCTACAACAACAACTGAACAGCAAAAACAATTACAGCAAGAACAACTGCTACTACAACAACTGCCACAACAACAACTAAACAGCAAAAACAATTACAGCAACAACAACTGCTACAACAACAACTAAACAGCAAAAACAATTACAGCAACAACAACTGCTACAACAACTGCCACAACAACAACTAAACAGCAAAAACAATTACAGCAACAACAACTGCTACAACAACTGCCACAACAACAACTAAATAGCAAAAACAATTACAGCAACAACAACTACTACAACAACTGCTACAGCAACAACTGAACAGCAAAAACAATGACAACAGTAGTTACTTAATATGTAGTGTAAAAAGAATCAGGTTTTCATTTTTTTGTCATTATTATTTTTAGGTTTGTTAATGGAGCAGATCTTCTACTTTGTGGAAACTATATATATAATCATTATCAAGACTGTAAAGACAAAAACTACTTCTTATGTAGTGATAAAATCAGTGATGTAATATCTTTAGCATCTAAATCATGGTATTGACTTGTAAAATTTAACCTGCGATTAAGTAACTTTTATAAATATGCAAAAAACAGACTTACATATTCTGACTTTTTACATAACTGCAGATAATTTTATATGTTATGCTTTCTTAATGAAATCTTTGAATGTTTTCTTGTTGTAGTGTCACTCCTGTACTTGCTTGTGATGATCGTTTATTGCGTGTTCTTAAGGTGTGTTCAAATTTAAATGTGAAGATGTTGACAATGCATACTTTTACTTGTCTTAAACCTGTCTTATTTTATTGTAGGATTCAAATTTACTTTACGAACTGGAAGTAGCTGGACCTCCTTCGGTTTTAGCTTTAAAAGATGGAAATGGTGGTAAGAATTTTGGATTAATTTAACTTTGTAGAATATTGATATTATCAGCATTTAGTTTTTGACAAAAAATCTTTGGATCGTTTCAGTTACATTTCTTTTGTATTTTTTTTCAATTTTTTATCTATAAATTTTTGTCTTACTGGGTTATTGCACTCTTTATGTAGGAGAAGAAGGAGACGAGGTTCTTTATGGAACATCAGATGGCAAGATTGGACTTGTACAATTACTAGATAAGTATGTGTACATTCTTACATACGTAAATATAATTTGTATACATAACTATATGTTATGTCAAGTTCCCTAACATCAATTTTGAGAAAACAAAACCACAATACAATGGTAAATCTTTAATAATATTGTAAGTAAAAAATAACAGTATTAATTGTATATACGTATTGTGTACTTTTTGCCATCATTTTGCGCACAATTATCATTTACAGACCATTGCAAAGTCACAGATGGAAAATACCAAACAACAAAAGATATGGAGGTTTTTTTATTGTTTTTCTTTCCCCAAAATATTTATCTCAAATAATTTTTTTTATCTTTTTCATTGTTAATATTATTGCTATCATTTGCATAGGCATTCTTTCTTTGGATAGTTATGATATTACTGCAGATGGTATATCTGACGTCCTAGTAGGTCGTGATGATGGAACTGTTGAGGTTTATGGTTTTGATGAGATGGAAACACCGGTGAATCGCTTTAAATATGTAAGTATTCAGCTCTCAGGATATAGAGTTCATTTTATCCATGTATTTTCATTGTTTTTCATGCTTGTGAAGGTTATAAATTTGGATGATTTTACAATTTTTTATTAGTTTTTTTCCATAATCACCATAATCACGAATAAAAATCTATCATGTATTAGATGGTGGTGAACTACAGTGTGCACTTTACCATGTTTTTTCGATTGTTTTCAAGTTACCATACGTACTTGCAATGGTGCTTATTACATCAAGTATTGGTGGTTACCATATAATGTCATCATAGTTGCCATATAAACTTATGGTAGTTAATACATCAAGTTGTTGTGGTTGCCACACTAAGCAAATCAAGCATTTCAATTTATGACAGTTAACATATCGTGAAAAGATACCTAAATCAAGCTATTGGCATTGTATCATGTATTACGCAACACAACTTAACATTTTAGAGCATAAGCGAAAGCGTAACATCCATATCGGGTGGTTGTGTTGGTACAGCTGGCTATGATGAAATTATTATGTCTACATACAGCGGTTGGGTCATGGGTCTTACCACTGAACCACGTGATAAAGAAACTGGATCTTCACTAATTGATCAAAAGGATGTCATTAGTGAGGAAAACCAAGTGAAAATAATGGCTTTAAGGTGTAGTATTCAAGGATAAAATTTTTGAAATTGATAAAAATCCAGCGGAAATTTCTTTATCTCGTCCATGTAACAAGTTTCACATTTTTTCTTTAGAGAACAGTTGAATGAACTTCAAGATAAAGTTTTACGAGAGCGAGAAAGATATCAACAAACAGCTCAATCACAAAGTGCTGTTTCTGCTTTACCTCATTTTTCTGTCAACGATAAATTTACTTTAAATCGTGATGATGCAAGTTACACTTTAAGCATTGAAGTTCAGCTACCTATTGATAACATTCTATTGCAGGTGTGTTTTACATCTTAACGAGTGATTTAGTGGATGTAGTTAAGTTTTATTAAACAACGATTTTCATAACTAATGGCGAACAGTATGAAAATTTTTAGTTTAACAATAAATTTATATTTGCTACAAGTCGCTGGAAGTGCGTTTTGCTAATAAGCGTGTAACAAACTCTATAAAATCACGATAAACAACATATAAAGTCATTTGTTAGCTACCGTTGATAACACATGCAATGTAAAAATTAATATAAGGCATGTTTATGTACTGTTTTTATTGATAGTCAGCGTTTTTAATCCTACTTACATAACCAAAGTTTGGCTTATTTTACCTTTTTTTCAAGTCCTGATTGAATTAGTTATTTGGTCCAAAGCAGAAAAGCGAATTATTGGAGATAGTTTTGTGAATGTTCTTTAATAATCACCACAAAAATAACACATGATTTCGGTTTATTTATGTAGAGCGACGTTCCAGTAGATTTGTTAGACGTTGACAAAAATTCAGCTGTAGTAAGCTACAGTGCTTGTAACGTGGAGGTGTGTAATTTTTTTTCATTATCGACATAGTTGTATGAAGTTTACATAGTGCATTAATGTAAAATACTTTTACCCATTTCGCTGCATCTGAATATTTTTTTAATTCAGAAGTGATTTAATGCACGAGTTTGAGAGTACAATCTTTTTTATATGTGGACATTTTTTGGATATTTATGAATACACAACTCAATTTATACATAAGTACATATACTACAATCTGTCAATACTCCTACCAGGGCTAATATAACTCTCTATATATAGTACACACATTCAATATACGGTTAACCAAGGCTAATATACTCTCTTTATATATAGTACAAACATTCAATGTACTTTTACAAAAGCTAATATTCTTGAATAATGATTATTGAAATAATTTCTATTTTTGTCGTGCATAGAATGGTAATTTCCTTCTTGCAACCTACCGTTGTCAAGCAAATACTACAAGACTTGAGTTAAAGGTAAGTATATTACTTTAGTTTAACCAGTGCGATAATTGTAAGCTTTTTTCCCACTTTGGTTTCTGTTGAAATTTTACTGCACACAAATAGTGAAGAAGAAAAGCTCTTTTGATTTGGCAGATGGCTTCTCAAACCCATGTGTGGACCATTTTATATCAGTAAAAATTGCACTTACAGATTCGTTCAATCGAAGGACAATATGGCACACTGCAAGCTTACATAACACCGCGTATACAACCAAAAACGTGCCAAGTTCGACAGTATAGCATAAAACCTTTGTCCCTACATCAAAGAGTACATAGTTTTAATGAGGAAAAGTAAGTATCAAAGTGCACATATACACATCTGTTGAAATAGAAAGCTAAAGATCATCACTATTGTATGTACGTATATATACACTGGAGAAAAACGATCTTGTTATATATTTCTAGTGCGTTGAATACATTGAAGCTGACAGGGCCTTTTAGTTTAGCAGAAGTTCACTCATGGGTGTGTTTTTGTCTTCCTGAAGTTCCCGAGAGGTGAGTTTATTTGTAAAAATATCATAGTTTCTTTTTACTTGTTTGTTTTCATTTTTCTATTATTAAATTTTTTTTAACGAAAAACTATATTCACTGATTGAATCTGCTTTAAAAAAACTATCTTTTTAGAACGCCTGCTGGTGATCGTGCCCAATTTCACTTTTTATCGACATTCTTGGATACACAGCTGGATTGTCAATACATGTAAGTCTAACAAAGCTTGCCAAAATCACTTAAATGCAAATATACTTGTAATCGTTTATAGTGCTTCATTTAAAATCAACGAAAGGCATTATTAACCGCGTCATTTTCAACTAAAAACGACGTGCAAAATTTTACAACACATGGGAAGTATTCTATTTTATAGGAAAGGCGAAGCTGTGTTTCGTTCTGATAATGTATCAACTATATCCATTCTTAAAGATGTGCTCACAAAAGAGGCGACAAAAAGAAAAATAAGTTTGAACATTTCCTGTGGTAATGTTACTAATATAAAGTTTTCACAGTTGTAGAAGTTCAAGGACGTGTAATTGCTAAATATGATTTATTGGTTTACAACATTTCTCGACAGATTTCAATGAAGAGTCTGTTCTTCATACTCTCCAATTGATTCATCCAAAACTTGAGTATCAACTTCTTTTGGCAAAGAAAATACAACTTATCGATGGTTTGAAGGTGTTGTCAACAGAAATACGTATTCTACAGAATTATTAGATTTTTTATTAGAAATTTCTATTTTGGTGTGACTGGTGTGTGTACTGATGAATTTTGTAGGAACTGGAAATGCATGAAAATGATGTTGGTTTTCTTGCTCCCGAATACAAGCAAATTTTGGGTATCTTTCTGTGTTTTCTATTGAAATTATTTCGACACGATGTTTTTTTCAAGTCAAAACTTTTGATATTTTTTCTGTATAGAGGAAAGCGAGAAATTACAAGAAGAATATAAGAAGCAACCTTGCCATTTGGAAAGACTATACGGTCAGGCCATTTTTATTGTGTTGAACTTGTCAATATAGGCATGCGCAGTTTGAAATTAACAAAGGTACTCATAAACAGTCGGCTTATTAAAATGAAATATTAAAGTGTGTTGAATGCGGCATTGCAAAATCCCTATTTTTTTACTTCTGTTGAAATCTAATTCCTTTTTAGTTTTTGAAGAAATATCTTTTATTTTCAGGTATGGTGACCGATTTATACATCGATAAATTTAAATTTATGGTAAGTTTGTTCAATTAAAATTTTTCATTCATTTCCTTTTCTCCTTTCATGCTTTTATTTGAAAGCTGTACTTACTTTCTTACTTACTTTTCTTATTGACGTTTATCTTCAGCATGAGTTGTATACTTTGCATTATTCTCAACAAACAATTAAGAAACTTTTATTTGCAAGAATTACGATTGTGCAATGAATTTATAGGGGATGAACGTCAAAAACAAAGTCCCAAACCTTTTAGAGGTTTTGGACAACTATGATCTCACAAACTTGATCGAATTTTTTGAAACTGTATAAACACGTGTATCTATTGTAAAATAGTTCTTTATCTATTATCTGCTTTTAATAAATTTTTCCTTCTGCTATATAAAAATTCTTTAAATTACATAAAAGCAAAAAAAAAATTGCTAACAGCCCTCGCCTAATTGCATCTTTATTTACCCAAGAATGTTGTCAAAAATGAATATATCTGTAAAAGGAGGTATGAAATGAATATAGTTTTCAAAATTATTAAAAACTCTTACGCATTAGTAACTTCCTTTTTGATCAATATAGTTTTTAAAGCGTCAATGAACAAAAGCTTATATAGCTATGTATTCACACTTTAGCGGTTAGCTACTTTACTCAACTTTAATGAATACCCCATGCGTCAACCCAAACCTAATTTATTTTATTGTTTATATATTCATGTATTATATATTGGCGTCTTTTATTGTTATCTATAAAATGTATATACACGTTGAACACAATGTAGCGAAAATTACATTTTAATACTCGTTATAAATGTTTTTGTTTCGTATATTAACATATTACTGCAGTTCTACGTACACTATAGCGACATTCATATAATGTCATTTTACGTAAAATGAAGAGGGATGCTGCATTTTGCTATATTATAAGTATTAATCGTTGTAGTTAGGCGCTTTAAGTCAGTTTTAGACTGTATCCAGACCTCGCTGAGGATCGTTGTTATAAGTAATAGTTAATTGAATTTTACATATCTGTACCACTGACGTTTATATGAATTACTTGGACGTACAATCTCATCCAAATTACCATAGAAATAAATTATCTGTGCAAAGCGTAGGGTTGAATTTTACACCTCTGTGTTTTTCACTCAATTTAACAAAGTTTACCGACCATAATCCATTTTAGTATTTTTCAATCGAGAATACAGAATAAAGATATTATGTAGCTATTGTTTATGCATATGCATGTGAAAAGAATACAACATTGAAAAATCACCTCATCTCTCTTATTCATACACTGATAATTATTGAACTTTTTTACATTGTCTTATATGAAGTAAATAAGGAGCTGATGCTCATATGAGTTATTGATTTGTTATTTTATAAATTCATTTATAATTTATACATCGTGTATTATGAACAAAGTTTGTTACCCAAACCAAAAAAATATAATTATAACTAAACATCAGAATAACCTTTGTAGGAAAAGTGCAATATGACAAAATAATAACAGCCTTCGATGGCTGACGAACACATGTTCCTAAAGACTCGATATGTTAAATAAAATATTGTAAATTTTAATAAATTTATCTTGTGGTTAACGAGTGCAGACTCTATAATTAAATGTAATTTTAATTTGCATCTATTATTTTATGTCTGTAAATATGTTCTAGAAAACTCCCGTTGTTGTCTTAATTTCATACAGTTGTTTGTGATAATAGGGGCAATAATTGTTCTTATTGCTAACCACAAGTTTTTTTGATGAGGATAAGACCTCTGGGAATACAATCATGATTATCATGTGATAAAATCCATGTTTGGTCGAAAGTCATGCTATAAGTTCTTGGAAGTACATTACAGAATCATGAACCAAGAATCGAGTTGCCTTTCCCGAGCATGACGACCTTTCTTCAATTTAAAATTGTGTCGGAATCCAAGCAACCAACCATACTTTTCACATTTGAGGTTCGTGTATTTTTTAGATTTCCACAACGAGTAGTTTTTCTTTGATTCTTGAGGTTTGGGTGGTTGTGGGGTCAAAAATACGCCATTATATGATCTGGTGGGCTAAATATATTAAAGTATTTATTCATAATCGACAATTAAATTGTAATTTCTCAAATGTTGATAAAGTATGAAACAAAGTATATATGAAAGAACAATATATGAAACAAATCCTTACCAAGGCTTGGAATTTTCCCTTTGCATTGCAAGTCAAATACTTGTTGCTCATTTCACCTTTAATCAAGATTTTCACGGCTCCGGCGAGTAAACCAACCATTTCTATTGTGAGGTTAGCTGAAAAGATTATAATCGTCTAGCGTTATAAACTATTGACGTCGTAAATTGAAATATTATATTTTGGACTTGCGTAGAAGAATCATGTATAATTACATCAATTATGCCCCCTGAGAATTCAGGGTAGTACCTTGACATAAATTTATTTTATGATTATATGTTGATATACACTGCAGCTGGGTTCTTTTTTTTGGTTTTCGGCATCAAATGTTGTTTAATCATATCACCATCAAACTTTTGCTTTTGTTATATTGCAATACGAAACCTTTATTGTACAAGTTATACGTCATTTTTTTGCTAGCTAGTTGACATTTTGATCGAAAAACTAATCGAAATGGGGTTTATTTAGATTAAATTTTGACAAAAAAAATTGAAAAAACACCGTGCGCTTACGAAATACAGAAATTGAGCTTGTATTATATCTATTAAAGAAAATTATTTTCTTACTATAAGGACTGCTGTCATCTCTTGTACCATTAGCATTTCCATTGGGAAAGATCTGCAAAAATACTCCATTACCAGACACGATCTTCTGGTTTGTGTATACAATTGATGGAGACAAATCCGTAATGTCTAATGCAGCTTCCATTCTCGCAGTAAACGAATTAATTGGAAATTTCCTTTGTTGTTCCATGATTCTTCTTCTAAAATTTATATCTTGAATCTTGTGTTCAAGTGTAATTAACATTTTGTCAAGTTTGTTGAGATTCTCTTCTTCTCTTGTTTCATCTTTTGTCTTTGTTGTTGTGCTAGTGGTTGGCTTATACGCCTCGATAATTGAAGTCGATGTGCGAGCCATACTTTTGTTGAACTGCAGTAAGATGCCGAAAATGGCGTAACAAAGAATTCTTACGTTCGCCATCGTTATCAATGTTTCTCTACGAATATAATCAATTTGAAATATTACTGATCGCCTTCACAATAATATTTAAGGAATTTACTATATTAGGAGTGCATTGTTGAAAGCACTCAAAATCTAGTTATATTGTTCGGTTAATCACCCATTGAACCATTACCTCTAAAAATGAATTTGTTGGACAAGCTGCTTTGTCAAAATGTATTTTAGTAATTCTGCTATAGTGTTTCTTAAAAACATGTTCATTGTAAATCAATTTTGCTTAGGGAATATAAGTACATTTTTAAATTATAAATAAAAATTATCAATAAAAATTCAGTTTACTTACTTTGAGATTTAAGCCAAGTACGATAAGAACAAAATAAACTCTTGTGTCCTTATCTGATCTTCTCAAGGTTAAGCGCAAGTTTGAAGCCAGGGGTCGTCTTTATTCTTTTTATACGAAAAGTGCATTTGAAAGAAGTTGCTTGAAATCTGTGGGTTGGCTTCCGTTCTTTTTTCCCGTTAATTTCCGGCGACGCTCCAACAAAAATCTCGTCTTTTTCGTGCTAGCAAAATTTCTCTTTAACAATAGGGTGTTCAATCTTTATCTATAAAAATAACATTGAAAAATAAAAACATAGTGGGGAGTGTATTTTGAAATGCTTTAGCTTTTCACATGTTTACGTGTTTTCTTCATGCACAAAGTTGAATCGTTTGTGAATTTAATCTTCTTGCTTATTAAATCATTATTAAAACCGTTATATATATTAGAACATTATCAAGAACTTTATGTATACATTAATGGCATATTATTGTGTTACGTTCCGTGTCATCGTTTGATCGACACGTTGCCAAATTAAATGACCGTACCATTAGCTAGTCCATCTTCCGTATAGTAAATTTATCTTTTTTAGATAGGGAAAACTTGTCGGAATTATATCCGAACAAAATCGTTAGGATTAAGAAAAGACAGCCAATATGCTATTAAATAAAAAAAATCGTATGTTCAATTCAAGCAATGTTTCCAATTTTTTAATGAGGTTAAGCATTAAAATGAAGTTCAATATACATGAAAGAAAACGTGCTAATTTCATTAATGGGTGGAGTAACACCACTTTGGCAACTTTAATAAAACGCTGGCATAATGGCAATAGTGTCCATGTGCGAATTATTTTGTGCATTGTCATAGCAGTTGTAAAATGGGTTTAGTATTCAGTTTGCTGTTAATTTTCTTTTAATTTAATTGTCTGGGGTCACCTACTGAGACTAGATTCAATACATTCTTTTCGTTAAAGTGTTGTCTTGTGTTTGAGTACGGAGAAACGACAAACAGACGGCACTATAGCCATAGTATCTTGTCATTTTCAGCTAATTACAGCACAGTGAGTGAAAACAATACAAAAGGTCAGGCTGTAAATTTCTACTTCACATCAAAACATGTTTCCTGCTCTTTGTTCAACTAGCTGAAAATAAACTGAAAATAACATTTTGTAAAACCACTCTCAAAAGCCTTGATTCTTGAAAGTTGTTTGACAATCATATTATATTACAGATCTTATGATACTTCTATTTAATTCTATTGAGAACACTTAAATATTGAGTGTGACATAAGTGGTTGTGACGGTCTCTTGAAAGGTTAAGACTTTTACAGCATTCTTATTTCGTACATAGTAAGTATAGAGTTTTCCTTTTCTGTGCTTCAATGAAATTAAACGATTTGATCTGCGTATTTTATTTATAAAAAAATTGTCATGCATACTTTCTTAAAAGTTGTCTCAAATCAAAATGATATTGTTCGATCGTCGTAATTGATTCAGAAAGAAAAGCTTGACACCGTGTTGGCTTTATTCAAATTCAGCATCCTTAATTGCGCTTATAAAAACATTCCTTTTAGCCTCAAGTCGCTTGGACCCTCTATTCTGTTTACATGCTACGTTAAAAAGGGAAACTTTCATTTTAAAAGAGGAATGCTGTTTAGATAGTAAATATAACTTGCTGTTGGATTCATTTAACTATTCTTAACGGAAGCATCATAAATAATATACACGCTGTGTTCAATGCTGCTGAAAGAAACAAATTCTTAAAAATCAAGTTTCAGTACACTAATAATGACTGCAAATCATGATTTAAGTTTCAAACTGTGGATTCAAGAAAGATGACTCTGTCAGTACAGTTGAAAAATGAAACAGGTATTGTAGTGGCTAGCACTTAATGTATTTTTTAAGTATTCGATATTGGATAGATAATTTGTCTTCATTTTTATTGAATGCATTACAAATTCTTAAAGAATAACAAAAACATGATCAAATGATAGATGGTACACGACAGGGTTCACTTTTTGTTATCAAATTGAACTGTTGACTGTTGACGCAGAAAGTTTATTGAAAGCAGCTAGTTCAAGCGAAGATCACGCGCTTTATATTGCTCTCATAAAAGTTTACGAGCATTAGAAATATCATATAAAATGTATTTATATTTTTCTGCGTTTGCTCAGAGAATTGAACATAAACAATTTGTAAACAACTAACCTTTTGAGTAAGTATGCTTATCTGATTGTTCAGTAAAAAAAGATGATTGCAAAAAATGTTAAGGAAAAACTAAGCGAAAGAGTAATTCAACGTCGTACTTAAAATGCAGTAAAGCAAAGTAGTTCCTGGACAATTTCCTGCGGAGTTTTATATTTAGTCTTGTTTATATTTTGCTCGTTTCGCTTCTCGATGCTTTTCGTATACTTTATACTAAACTTTTGAAATTCAAGTTTGTAGATAGAGATTGCTTTTTAATAAAGCGTGTATGCACCCAGTTATGTATACGGTTAATGTTATAAGAAGAGCAACCTACTTGTTACTCTGAAAATTAGCTATTGTGAGCAAACATATGATTTTTCCCTTATGGAAAAACGTTACCTTTTATTTGTTCTGCAGGTGCATCTATAGATTCAGTGTTAAAATCTACCTCCCAAGATACATAAAATTGCAAAAGTACAGCGCTTGTGTATTTGTAGTGTATCTGAGATCTTTCTAAATTTTTACTTTGTTTTACTGCTATGGCTGTAAGAAGAATTAAGTGAATGTTATGCTAGTTATTGTTTGTACTTGTCAACCTATGCAGTGAAATTTTCTCTATCTTCTGTTGTTGATATGATGGCATTTACACGTAGGAAGCGGAGGTTAATAAAATCCAGGATGTACAGCATAGCTATTATTGGCGACAATTGGAAACATGATACTCGTCACAGTAATATATAATTGCTATTACTATTTTGTACATCAGTCAATCAATTGGAAAAAACGATTATTTTCCCAAATTAACTTGATAGAGAGCAAGGGAAATAATAAAAAATATTTTGCTAACTTTTTCTTATTGACTACAATATATTTTGCGCGATGACATTTGCAACGTATGGTCTTCATTGACATTTGTATCGATTGCTGGGAAAAGGGTTTGACAGATTTAGAAATTAGCATTCATGCATAAATGTATCATTTGGTAAGACAGCTGTCAATACTTTATTATTTTCATTTGTATCATTACTGAAAACACGCTAAAAGCACGATGCTAGCTTTTTGTGATGGCCCCAAAGTAGAACACAGCACGACCATTTAAAGCACTTCTTTGGAAACAGTTGGAGGCACATTTGAAATGATGTTGTTGGCAGAAAATCATCAATCACATTAAATACGTTTGTTATTTAGCGTCATAAATCATCACTTTTTCACCAAGAGATTGATAGCATACTGTCTTGTAAGTATTGACATCTGCTTGTGTTCTATGTTTTAGGGGTTTAACTCCATGCATCATGTCTGTATTTATCGGAAGTTGCTTGTTGACAAGCATCCACGCATCAATCACTTAATAGATTAGTTAAATAAGTAATCGACAGCAAAGCACAACTGCCACCAATTATAAAGACTCTTGTAGGTCAATACTTTGCAATTGCTACATATTGACGAATTAATAACGAGTAGCCTAGAGCCAATCAGATAGCTGAACTAGCAATATTATACACCAATAAAATTCCAATAATTTTTTAAATAAACCTTTAGAGCAATTTTTCTCTCTACACCATATGCTGTAAACGAAAAATTCGTTGTATTTAAATCTATTGTAAAATTATAAAAACATACCGCACACATAGAATGGTTTTCCTTCCGCTGACATGCAGAGCCCACAGGAACAATTCTCACGGTCATTGTTGCGATTAATGACTCCATTTAGTGTTCTCTCACATCCTAGTTCGTGATATTTTTATAATTAAAGGAATGATTAAAGTAAACATTCTTTAAAAGACATTTAATGTGGCACTACGCGAATTTAGTGGACATACGATCACCAAGACTTTGATGAAGTTTAGTGCGTTTATACTAACCACGATTACCAGAAAATAGGGTAGTAAAATAAGCAGAAATACTAAACACTTGCTAGCTTTTCAAAGGTTTATGAAAGATACTATGTTTAAAATCAAAAAATTACAATTTCTAAGCACGTGGATTTGGCTTCAAAAAACCTGAATCTACAGGTCCTATGTATAAAACAAAAATTTCAGTCCAAGAACGACACGAGCGCACAAATTAATAACATTGTCACAATTGCTAACATTTAGCATTTTTTCTCTTTTACTAACGTAAGAATGGTCAGTGGAGTGTTTTTTCTTTACTTAACGTATTTACATTTATTGTTCAGCCATCACAATCAGCTGAAAAATTTTCCGTTTTTGCCCAGTCATTGAAGATATGGTCAAATACTCATAAATACTTATTGCTTTCTGCTTTTCATAATTCCTTCTTGTCCGATTTGGAATACTAATTTTGTCCTGAAATTGATGTGAATGACGCTAAATTAAATTTTATTGATGTTCATAAATATCGCGTTTTATTCTACTTCTTCTTTATTGAATCTTTGATTGAATTTATCCAGTCCGTCGCGGTTTTTGACACATCCGGAATTCCAGCATAATTTTGCTGGACATAGCATCCAGCCAGTGCTCCAATAAGCAGTCCTAATATAAGATTTTTATTTATATGTGATAGAAAAACGCCTGATGCGAATCCTTTGATAAATGACCCACTTATTTCCTTTTTATTCGTTGAATTCTGTGAAGCATCCGCTGTTTGTTCGTTGTCTTTCGCCATATTTGATACTTGAGATACTTCATGTTAACTACGTTGAAATTAGACAGCGCGAGTCATACGTAGGAAAATACGAAATGGTCACATTTTTTGGTCAGATTGTTTCTTTGAACATTTTTTTTGAGATCAATGGTAGATTATATAAGATAAATAATTGTATTTTAAATATAAATATCAAAGCCAAGCAAAGTGCTTTTAAAAGAGCCATTTAATGCATAGAAAGAAATATTTATTTAAAAGTGTAACGTTTCGTCTTGACTCTCAAGACATCATCAGACAATATTGAATTACAAGTATAGAGGGATGTATATATAATAGCTATATACATAATATTAAATTAAATGGAGGGATGAAAACGTATTAGTAAATATTGGATAAGATGGTATGACGTGGGATAAGTAGAAACACGAAAGAAACAAAAAACAAACAAAACACAAACAATCACAAAGTATACAGACATGAGGACGGACGAAATTAGATTAAAGCAACTGAAGGACAATGGAGTTTCCTTGGACGTTAAGAGATGGTTTCATTTTGTTGATTAAGAGGCTTTCGTGAATAAGAAGTTCTTGTGAGTTTGAGCATGAAGAAAGTATTTTAAAATCCTCGAAGGTGGCGGTGTGTCCTGTGGATATAAAGTGTGATAGTATGGAGGAATAACAGGGATGTTTAGAAGGTTTACCAGTCAAAGGGGTGATGCCCAAATGCTCTGAAATTCGAGTGTGTAGGTGACGGGTGGTTTGACTCACGTACGATGCGGAGCAGCATCGACACTTAAAAGAATAGACAACATTCGATTTCAGAGTTTTCGGCACTTTGTCCTTGAAAGGAAACAGGCTGGAGAGGCGTTTGGTGGATCGAAAGAAGAATCGTATTTCACAGTGTGGGAAAGCGGCACGACAAAGGCGATTGATTTGTGTGCGGATTTGGGATGAGTATAGACCAGTAAATGGAAGGCCGAAATACAGTATTTTCTTGGGTACGGTATGAACAGGTGGTTTGGGTTGAAAGACTTTGTCAAGAAACATTTTTACACAGTGATCAAATATGTGACAGGGAAATGAATTGGAAATAAATAATCTGCGTGCTTTTTCGATTTCAGTATGGAAGTTTTCATAAGTGGAGCAAATACTAAAGAAGCGATGAACTAAACATAATATTAAACTGCGTTTATATGTTAGTGGGATGAAGCTGTGGAAATTAGTAAAAAGACCAGTGAACGTAGGTTTTCTGTATATGGACGTGAAGAACTTTCCATTAGAGCGATGAATAGTGATGTCAAGAAATGGAAGTTTTCCATTGTATTCGATTTCACTCGTAAACTTAATATTGGGGTGTTTGTGGCTTAAATAGGTAAGAAAGGGTTGCACATGGTCAGCAGTACGAAAAAGGAGAAAACAATCATCAACGTATCTTCTATAAAGCAAGGGCTTAAAGTGAGAGGGACAATTTTTGAGCCATATTTCTTCATGGAATAACAGTAATATGTTAGCGAACAAAGGTCCTAAGGGGCTGCCCATGGCAACGCCATCAACTTGGCGGTATAGATGACCGTTAAATAAAAAATGACAATTCTTAACTGCGAGGTTTAAGAGATTAGTAAAGTTGGGGCGACTGAGGCTTTGAAAAGAATTATGGTGGGCGAACAAACGGTTAGTAATTATTTCAATGGTTTCATCAACGGGGATGTTAGTAAAGAGTGAAGAGATGTCAAAACTGGCCATTACAACATTATCAGTGTTGATGTTCAGGGATAAATTTCCTGAGTGAAAGAAAAGGAATCTTTGATCATGAAAGAATTGGACGAGATTGGGGTGAGAATGGGGATGAAAAATTTAGCTATCTTATACGAGTGATGATTTATACATGATAGGATAGGCCTTAGTGGTATGTCGGTTTTATGTACTTTGGATAGTCCATAAAGAATATCTATTCGTGAACCTGTTGGGTAGAGTTCGTCATATGTTTTTTGATCATCTGTTGTCATCTTAAACAAAGACGACTACAACAAAAAAATGGATGAAATCTTATCCGACGACTCAAAGTTCGTGCGCTGAAATTAAGACCCCGTCAAATTGACCCTACAACGTGAAAACCAGGTAAAGACTCTCCTGAAAAACTTGAAAGCATCTAAATCGATTGATAGGCCTATCCTATCATGTATAAATCATCACTTGTATAAGATAGCTAAATTTTTCATCCCCATTCTCACCCCAATCTCATCCAATTCTTTCATGATCAAAGATTCCTTTTCTTTCACCCAGGAAATTTTATCCCTGAACATCAACACTGATAATGCTGTAATGGCCAGTTTTGACATCTCTTCACTCTTTACTAACATCCCCGTTGATGAAACCATTGAAATAATTACTAACCGTTTGTTCGCCCACCATAATTCTTTTCAAAGCCTCAGTCACCCCAACTTTACTAATCTCTTAAACCTCGCAGTTAAGAATTGTCATTTTTTATTTAACGGTCATCTATACCACCAAGTTGATGGCGTTGCCATGGGCAGTCCCTTAGGACCCTTGTTCGCTTACATATTACTGTCATTCTATGAAGAAATATGGCTCAAAAATTGTCCCTCTCACTTTAAGCCCTTGCTTTATAGAAGATACGTTGATGATTGTTTTCTCCTTTTTCGTACTGCTGACCATGTGCAACCCTTTCTTACCTATTTAAGCCACAAACACCCCAATATTAAGTTTACGAGTGAAATCGAATACAATGGAAAACTTCCATTTCTTGACATCACTATTCATCGCTCTAATGGAAAGTTCTTCACGTCCATATACAGAAAACCTACGTTCACTGGTCATTTTACTAATGTCCACAGCTTCATCCCACTAACATATAAACGCAGTTTAATATTATGTTTAGTTCATCGCTTCTTTAGTATTTGCTCCACTTATGAAAACTTCCATACTGAAATCGAAAAAGAACGCAGATTATTTATTTCCAATTCATTTCCCTGTCACATATTTGATCACTGTGTAAAAATGTTTCTTGACAAAGTCTTTCAACCCAAACCACCTGTTCATACCGTACCCAAGAAAATACTGTATTTCGGCCTTCCATTTACTGGTCTATACTCATCCCAAATCCGCACACAAATCAATCGCCTTTGTCGTGCCGCTTTCCCACACTGTGAAATACGATTCTTCTTTCGATCCACCAAACGCCTCTCCAGCCTGTTTCCTTTCAAGGACAAAGTGCCGAAAACTCTGAAATCGAATGTTGTCTATTCTTTTAAGTGTCGATGCTGCTCCGCATCGTACGTGGGTCAAACCACCCGCCACCTACACTCGAATTTCAGAGCATTTGGGCATCACCCTTTGACTGGTAAACCTTCTAAACATCCCTGTTATTCCTCCATACTCCACTTTATCCACAGGACACACGCCACCTCGAGGATTTTAAAACTCTCTTTCAAACTCAAGCGACCACAAAGCCTCTTAATCAACAAAATGAAACCATCTCTTAACGTCCAAGGAAACTCCATTGTCCTTCAGTTGCTAATCTGACCAAATCCTCATCATCTGTATACTTTGTGATTGTTTGTGTTTTGTTTGTTTTTTGTTTCTTTCGTGTTTCTACTTATCCCACGTCATACCATCTTATCCAATATTTACTAATACGTTTTCATCCCTCCATGTAATTTAATATTATGTATATAGCTATTATATATATATCCCTCTATACTTGTAATTCAATATTGTCTGATGATGTCTTGAGAGTCAAGACGAAACGTTGCACTTTTAAATAACTATTTCTTTCTATGCATTAAATGGCTCTTTTAAAAGCACTTTGCTGGGCTTTGATATTTATATTTAAACTTCGCTTTCCGCCGGGTATATCCCTGGTTACAATTGTACTTTAAATCAATTAATAGATATACCAATCAAACCTACCTGCGATATTTTTTTCGATTTTAAAGGAATATCATGAAGAGTAGAAGTAACATAAGGTAAAATATTGACATAATTGACAATAAAGAAAATACAACGTAAATAAACCTTTCTATGATGCACTTTGTATGATTCCTGTATGTAAACAAAGAAAAGAACTATCAATATAAACATATGCCACAGGCATTGGACGGAAGTTGAGCATTGAACGGAAGTTAAGCATTGGACGGAAGTTGAGCATTGGACAGAAGTTGAGCATTGAACGACATGTAACGGTACTCCGGGTTCAAACCATTTACTTTATTACGATCAATTGAACGAAATGTTTGTCACGTTTGTTGTGGGCGTTTGCGGTTTGCAAACTGCAATTTGGCGTTTCCATATGATAACACGACTAGATATTTTGTAACTGCGAGATGTAATATTATGCTCAAGAATGAAACTGCAAACTTGTGAAAGAAATGGCTAAGATAGAAAAAGCATACTCACAAAATGAACAGAATAATAAAATTTATGTAATCCATAGTCGAGATTTAGGTGCAATCTCTAGGGGTAAGGCAGAATCTTTGTTAACATTACATTGAACTAGTAGGTAATTCTAGGGCACAAACATCCTTATCTCTATAGGGAGAAAAAATCCAATCAATGTTTTCGTGAATATCGAATCATGTGCAAGTGATCAAGAAAGGCGTTTATTCATTGCAGTTTAGTCATGTGACAATAATCTGGAATCGCTCGCTGGCGTCGCATTTTTCATACATCTTGATTTTTTTAGAGGGTACTGGACTGACAGATAGGAGTGAAGTAGAATGACAAAAAAACTGTATTTTCTATCCCTGTGAAGGGCGTTTTCTGTATGAAAGTATACACATTTCAACAGGCCATGAATACTTTTATTAACGGAGTTTATTTCGAAAACTGTAATCAAAAATTAGAAGCCGTTTCGGAAGGATTAAAAACGATGGGTGTGCAGCTTATCGCAAAGAAATGTCATCTGTTAAACACGGAAACCCTACACTTTGGCAATGAACCAGAAGGGCATCGCAACTTAAAAACAAAACAAGAAAAAGGGGCGAGCAATTAAACTTCGATAGAGCATTGGGGTTGAGAACGGGAGTGGTTCATTGGAGTTGAGCATTGGGGTGGAGCACTGAAATAGAGAACTGGGGTGGAGCACTGGGGTAGAGCAATGGGGTTGAGCAATGACGTTAGCACAAGTTGTGTACGACCATACAAAAAAAAATTTGAAAAGATGGTAAATTCTTTCTAAGATCAAACTTGGATTGTAGTTTTCAGTCTTGCAATAGAAAACCTGTGTCCACATCTTTATTACTTTCACGTTGATTTAAAATAGTGCTCAACCATGCGAGTGCTTTTCTAATAAGCTCCCTTATTGCTAGTAGAAAATTTTTGCTTTGTATTAGTTGAGGAGCAAATTATGTTAAACGTTTAAAATACAACAACTTTATAGAACATTTGTTGCCTGAGCTCTTCATCTCGAATTGAGTAAGGTGTCACCTCCTGGCTTTTACCAGGCTACAGCAATAAACATTTATCATTTTACTACTCTTTTTTTTTAGTTATAAAATTTTATTGGAGTTCTATTGTTACACGTTCATTATGTCGTATGTTGCAAAGTAGTAAATTTATATAAAAATAAACAAAGCTCAACTGCATGCATTTTCATGCCGTTCACTGCAATTTACATGCAGTGGCATTGTGAACCACGTCTCAAAAGTCTTAATCCACCGGGGCATTTTGCATTTGGAAGACACGCGCAGTTACAATTGTTGCTCCAATGGTTTACTTTCAAGTCGCAACGTACTTGATTATTGCTGCAAAGACATTGACATTTTTCGTGATTCCAAACCTTCTTAAACCTCGAGTTTACAGAACAGTCTCGAGTACTCCTCAGTCTATCTTCACCACAAATGCATTTGCATTCCTTATCACTCCACTGAAATGGTAAAAAATAGCTTGAAATTAGAGTGAATATATTTCCTATGCCTAAAAAATTCAAAATACCGGGTTAATCTTAAAATTAAACTAAACTCAAATCTAAATAGCTTGAAAAACAAGAAAAAAAAGGCAAATGATAAAAATGTCATAAAAAAAATGCGATACTTACTATAAATGGTAAGGTACATTTTTCTACGCGACGACATTTGCATTGACAAATGTTGCTATCAAGGGTTTTGTTTTTCTCAGCATTGCACATCTTCTCGGTTGTTACACATGCGCATCGGCAACTCGAGTGGCCAACAACGGTTATTGGGATTGTTTGTACACCATTTGAACTCCGTTTTTTTATTTCGTGTGTGGGATCTATAATATGATGGCAAGCATTAGATCTTTGTTTTATGAAAGGATTTCAACATAGTTGTCGCATTAATGTCTAATAATATCGAAATACTTTAAGAAACTGATAAAGTTTGCAGAAACGAATACAACATGCACAAAGCATTAATAATAACCTATAGCAATGGATGAACTTACGAGCAGTGTTTATATCGAGCGTCAAAGCATAAAATTTTGACAAAGAACAATGCCATAAAGATTTTTTATCATGATGTTTTTTATAAATGACATAATTAATTCTAGCATTAGAACTCCTCGTATAGGTAGTATAGGCTTTATTTCGTGTGGGCTCTATTTTAGTTAAATATTTGGCTGCCATATTTTTTCAAATATTTTATTTTCATCATTGCTGGAATACTACAACAAATATTCAAATACAAATTTGGAAATTTAATAAATAATGATACCTTTCATTTTGGCCAACTCTTGCATAACATCACGTCTTTTTCTGCTACTGCTATATTGCAATTTGTAAGTAGTCAATGATATTTTCATTTCTTGATTTCCCTGACATTTGACGATCTCGTGGTGAACACTACATGAGCCAGTACACCAAGGTATTTGTATTGCATATGGCCAAATCAAAGCATTTTCGCTGAGGGGTGGTTGCTCCAGGAAATGGGTATGAGGACGAACATCGCATTCCTGATTATCTAAATTGATCATACCTAAAATATGTGTATAAAACAAATATTTTAAAGAATCCAAGACCGCACTACAGTAGAAATTGCGTGGCTTACAAGGACAGTCTGTCACTGTCAGTATAACGGAGGCATTTTATTGCTCGATAATGAATACCAACCAAGTATATCTAACATAATTTCTTGAAACTATCAACAAAAAGTATTTAATAAACGTACATATTGTTGATTGTGTACCTGTAATTGAAGAACTTTGGCCTCGCGATAGCAATCCGAAGCTTGGTAGAGCAACTTGAGAAGGCAAAGCTCCTCTAGCTTTTTCTTTTTTATACAATTTATTTCGCCTTAAAAATTGTTCGGTGTTCTTTATTTTCTTCATCATTGCATATACTCCTTCAGGCATCTATAAAAATTAATCAATTCTTATTATACGTTGTGAAACTGGCTGCATGACTGCCGCCTACTGGTATATGACTGACTGCTGCCTACTGGTATACGGCATTAGGTTTGCTGTTTGTAGAAGACAAAGACTCACAAAAAAACAATAAATTGCTTAAATTGTTTAAAATGGTGTGGGTTTATATTGTGAAAAAAGGATGAACGTTAGTACATTTAAGATAACATAGTATAAGTTACACAAAAAAGGCATCTTAAGCCAAGTTCAAACTTCGAACCTTACATGAACAGAACGCATTTAAAACAAAAGATAATGAGGAAGTTTACCTCATTTTCTTTTGACTTTAATGAATTCGACGCATGTAAAGTTCGACGTTTGAAACAGGCCTTATGTTAATTCAATTTATAGACATACCGACCGATTGCACCTACCTGTGGTATCGTTTGTGGTTTTATAGAAATACCAGTACCACTACGAGAAGAAGTAACATAAGGTAAAATATTGTCCATTGACAATAACAAATACACAACGAAACTAAACCTTGCCATGATGCACTTTGTATTATTCCTGTTAATGTTAAACAAAGTAAAGAACTAGCGATATAAACATACGCTACAGGCATTGGACAGTTATAAAGTCGTTTATATAAGATAATATTTCCTTTTGCGTCATGACATGTCATGATGATCAATCGTTAACTCTGTTTGTCGTAAATGATTTGACGCAGCTGAGATTTGCTACACCTTGGGTGCAATATGTGTATTCATCGTGCGCAATTGGATGACTAGAAAAATTCGTATTTTCTAGTGCCTCAAATGTAAGACATATGGTTCTAACTAGAGTTATGTTCAATAAAAAGCTTATATATAAAGAAGAAATTCTGATTAAATCGATATAGTCTCAGAAATATGTTAGTTGTGTTATAAAACTCAGTGTTTAAAGTGACGTAAGTTGACGAGATGACCTTTATGGGTTTTGTGATTAAAAATTAAAATCTTTTTTTAGTCAAAAATGATTTCCATGTGCGTAAATGTCACTCAACAAAAACCATTGAACGTAAGACGTTAATATACTCATTCTTTTAGAATTGACTGCCATCGTTTCAACCAATGATAATGATATACTAACTTCATCTTTATAGTTATTAGAAAAAAAAAATGAAGATACAACACAATCTTATGTTCGGGTCTTTATATATCTGCTTAAAAAACATATATTTTTGCCCGAATTCCAGCGAATGACAGCAGGAATTTTGTTGTTTTGACTTTCATCCATGCAGTGGTCCAATAGAGTCAAATTCAGAATGTTTACTAGTTTTACTCGCAGTAGAAAATATTGCTTGATAGCTAATTAACTAAGCATGTTCTCTGGTTTGCATGCTTATGGGTCAGTTTCTATAAGTATTTGTGGCTACTATAATATAGCTACTGTCTCTTTTCAAAACCATTGAAAAAAGACAGTTATCGTTGCCCGTAGAAAATATTTCATCTTAGATGTTTATGTATTTATTCTCAAAGCATGGATAAACAATACAGGTAAAGAATGAAAGGTCAAAAGGATCAGTTTTCATTACCCTCAGATCCTTCCCATTAGAAACGTTGTTTGAAATCATTGACTCATTTCTTGCACCTTCTACCTTCTTCCAATGAAAAAAAAAGAGGCAGAATTTTTCGGGGAAAATTCATCTTACATTCTACAGGGTGTATATCAATTAATATATCAATTAAAAAACTGAACAAATCTGAAAACGTCGCCAAAGTTATATCAGTGCACGAGATTTGCAAAAACCTTTGATAAAATAGGCATCTGTCTTTAAGCAGCCGAATTGTATTGCTAATAGAAGCAATTTTGTCTATTCATAACTTCATGCTTGAGTCTTTACACAATGTCTGATGATTGGACAAAGAAAGTTTTTCAAACATTTTTGCTCAATATCTGGCAAATTGAAGAATTATCAAGAAAATTACCAGTTAAAGCAAAAATACAATAGAAAGAACTATACAAAACAAAAGCGGCTGTTATAATCTAAGAAAAACATGACGCATCACCTCATGCAGCAAATGCATAATTCAAATTACAACATACTACTCAGAACGTAATTCTAAAGATGATGTTAACAGTATACACATTTAATGTTCGATTCAAATAATTTTACATTTCCACATCATTTAATTCAGTGATCAAGGTATTATATCATCCAAAAGACCCAAAGTTATAAAGCTGCGCATCATGATTTCAAATTGACTTTAAAGAGTTGCAATGCAAGTTTTCAGCTATGCAGTTCATGCAATTTTTCTATTTTGCTTGTCTTTTGAGTACACCCTGGCTATAAGATTTGCTGTAAGCAAAGGCTCTTCAAATGCTTCACATACAACCGTATGATCAGTCAAAAAATATACCTTATCTTTTGGTACAAGTTTATTACCACTACTTAAGAAAGTTGGAAAGACAACGGCAGTTTTTGTAAAGTTTCCATGTATTGTAAATGAGTCAAATATAGTTTCAGAATTTATTACAACCCAACCACATGACCTCTGTTCAGCAGACTTGCACTTCATTAATGTACAAACTTCCCAATAATATCCATTAGGATTATATCCTCGAAATACGCCAAATGCAAATGTTTCAGTAAAATTTTTTCCTTGTGGAAGCGCATATTTCATACTACAACATAGACCATTGCCACAAACAGAGACATCGTTTTCTGAAGAAGCCAACTTAATCAAGGTAAAAAGATTCGAATTAATAACAGCGTGGAAAGGCTTGTATATATCCGTGGGGTCACTAAAAACTCTTTCTTTCGCCGTTGTACGTAAAGCCTTTTCAACAGAAAATTGCTTTAATATTTCAATTTGTCTCTTTCCCTTCTGATTATGAGTGTTGAGGTTTTCAGGCAGTGTTGAAACGAGCAATCGATTTGCAATTGAGCCGTTGTAATAAGTGTATATCTTTACTTCCCCACAGCTGTAAATTCCACTTCCTGTGAAATCCAATAGAGAATACAACAAGTTAGCTGCAATAAGGTTTATGCAGTTCGTTCGTGACCAAGCTTGTTGGAACTCGATAGAAATAAACATTGGAAATCCTTTGAACCAAGCCGAAGGAAACACGATATTTTTTACGCCATAAACTTTCACCAAATCGATGGCAGGGTCTTTGAACAACATGTCAAAACATGTAAAAACTCCAAAGCGCACCTTGAGTGTAAAACAAAAAATTGTAAAAAATAAACATGAAACGTCTCCTTCATTAACTAGAATTCTTCAACAAGTTACTCCTAAATCATAAAGTAGTTTAATCATACCTGAAATGACGTAACAAATGTGACGAACTCACATTTTGCAGGTGTGTTAAATGCCATCTCATGAAAAAGATGTTGCTTGTGGTATTTAGCGATCAATCGACCATCAGTATCAAACACTACATCTGTATTGAACTGATATCGGCCATCGTTAGGGCAATTTGGATCCCGTGATGTGCAATATTGTATATCACCCATGTTTGCAACCAAAGCGATGGAGTTATATCGTGCAATACAGCTTAGTTCCTGGAGTATTTCATTTCTCGTCAGTGTCTTATTAATGCACGGATTTATGAACATTTTTTCTGAAGGGTTCGGTATTGGTTCAAGATAAGGCTTTATTGTCGATCGTGAGTGACTAAAACCGTATATACCTTTTTCTGGAAATACAATAATCTGTGCACCTTGTTCAACTGCCATTCTCGCTTGCTCTCTGTAGACAGCAACGTTTTTACGCATTACACTTAATGCTTCATTTCTAGTCAAAGGATGAGGATCTACCACAAAAATGGATAATGTTCAAACGCTGCAGCTTTGTAACCGGTGACTGAGTTAAACTCAGTAAATAAAGAAAAGAGAATCAAGACAAACATCTGCGTGACATCCATTTTGTACTTATACTTGATACACTATACAATTGGGATTATCACATGAAAATAATCTTGCTTTTTAATAATAGCTACAGGTTATTAATTTGGTGCATATCCAGTGTCAAAGTAAAGAACTAGCGTTTTTAACATACGCTACAGGCATTGGACAGTTATAAAGTCGTTTATATAAGATGATATTTCCTTTTGCGTCATGACATGTCATGATGATCAATCGTTAACTCTGTTTGTCGTAAATGATTTGATGCAGCTGAGATTTCCTACACCTTGGGTGCAATATGTGTATTCATCGTGCGCAATTGGATGACTAGAAAAATTCGTATTTTCTAGTGCCTCAAATGTAAGACATATGGTTCTAACTAGTGTTATGTTCAATAAAAAGCTTATATATAAAGAGGAAATTCTGATTAAATCGATATAGTCTCAGAAATATGTTAGTTGTGTTATAAAACTCAGTGTTTAAAGTGACGTAAGTTGACGAGATGACCTTTAAGGGTTTTGTGATTAAAAAATTAAAATCTTTTTTTAGTCAAGAATGATTTCCTTGTGCGTAAATGTCACTCAACAAAAACCATTGAACGTAAGACGTTAATATACTCATTCTTTTAGAATTGACTGCCATCGTTTCAACCAATGATAATGATATACTAACTTCATCTTTATAGTTATTAGAAAGAAGAATGAAGATACGATACAATCTTATGTTCATGGCTTTATTTATCTGCTTAAAAAACATATATTTTTGCCCAAATTCCAGCGAATGACAGCAGGAATTTTGTTGTTTTGACTTTCATCCATGCAGTGGTCCAATAGAGTCAAATTCAGAATGTTTAATAGTTTTACTCGCAGTAGAAAATATTGCTCGATAGCTAATTAACTAAGCATGTTCTCTGGCTTGCATGCTTATGGGTCAGTTTCTATAAGTATTTGTGGCTACTATAATATAGCTACTGTCTCTTTTCAAAACCATTGAAAAAAGACAGTTATCGTTGCCCGTAGAAAATATTTCATCTTAGATGTTTATGTTTTATTCTCAAAGCATGGATAAACAATAATGCAAATTGAAAGGTCAAAGGATCAGTTTTCATTGCTCAGATCCCCCATTAGAAACGATCATCTGAAACTCGAGTGACGGGAAAATTCATCTTGTTCGGTGTATATCAATTAATATATCAATTAAAAAACTGAACAAATCTGAAAACGTCGCCAAAGTTATATCAGTGCACGAGATTTGCAAAAACCTTTGATAAAATCGGCATCTGTCTTTAAGCAGCCGAATTGTATTGCTAATAGAAGCAATTTTGTCTATTCATAACTTCATGCTTGAGTCTTTACACAATGTCTGATGATTGGACAAAGAAAGTTTTTCAAACATTTTTGCTCAATATCTGGCAAATTGAAGAATTATCAAGAAAATTACCAGTTAAAGCAAAAATACAATAGAAAAACTATACAAAACAAAGGCTGATAATCTAAGAAAAACATGACGCATCACCTCATGCAGCAAATGCATAATTCAAATTACAACATACCAAACACTATTCTAAAGATGATGTTAACAGTATACACATTTAATGTTCGATTCAAATAATTTTACATTTCCACATCATTTAATTCAGTGATCAAGGTATTATATCATCCAAAAGACCCAAGGATATAAAGTTGCGTATCATGATTTCAAATTGACTTTAAAGAGTTGCAATGCAAGTTTTCAGCTACATCATATGCAGTTCATGCAATTTTTCTATTTTGCTTGTCTTTTGAGTACACCCTGGCTATAAGATTTGCTGTAAGCAAAGGCTCTTGCTATTACAACCGTATGATCAGTCAAAAATATGCCTTATCTTTTGGTACAAGTTTATTACCACTACTTAAGAAAGTTGGAAAGACAACGGCGGTTTTGTAAAGTTTCATGTATTGTAAATGAGTCAAATATAGTTTCAATTTATTACAACCCAACCACATGACCTCTGATCAAACAGGCATTCGATTAATGTACAAACTTCCCAATAATATCCATTAGGATTATATCCTCGAAATACGCCAAATGCAAATGTTTCAGTAAAATTTCGCTGGCGGCGAACGCCAGGCCATGACACAGCATCGTTTTCGAAAACCAACTTAATCAAGGTAAAAGATTCGAATTAATAACAGCGTGAAGAACGTATATATCCGTGGGGTCACTAAAAACTCTTTCTTTCGCCGTTGTACGTAAAGCCTTTTCAACAGAGAATTGCTTTAATATTTCAATTTGTCTCTTTGCCTTCTGATTATGAATGTTGAGGTTTTCAGGGAGCGTGGAAACGAGCAATCGATTTGCAATTGAGCCGTTGTAATAAGTGTATACCTTTACTTCCCCACAGCTGTAAATTCCACTTCCTGTGAAATCCAATAGAGGATAATACAAGTTAGCTGCAATAAGGTTTATGCAGTTCGTTCGTGACCAAGCTTGTTGGAACTCGATAGAAATAAACATTGGAAATCCTTTGAACCAAGCAGGAAACCGATATTTTTACGCCAACGCCACCAAATCGATGGCAGGGTCTTTGAACATCATGTCAAACATGTAAAACTCCAAAGCGCACCTTGAGTGTAAAACAAAAAGTTGTAAAAAATAAACATGAAACGTCTCCTTCATTAATTAGAATTCTTCAACAAGTTACTCCTAAATCAGTAGTTTAATCATACCTGAATGACGTAACAAATGTGACGAACTCACATTTTGC